CTTTTCTTTCATAGCGAGCTCCCGAGTAAAGTCGACAGCTTCCTCAATGGTGCTATACACCTTGACTTCAGTGCGAGGGTCAATGGACCGCCATGTGTCGGCAAGGCTGTTCTGGACATGCAGTTTCTCCACATCCGTCGCATTTGTGTTCATGCTGACAAGATCGGGTCGATAACCGGCAGCCTTGTAGGTGACGTTGGTGCAGAAGATCGCGTGAGTAAATGGTTGCTCCGAGCCCAACGCCGCAGCCAAAGTCTCGTAAAGAGCCTGGGCCAGGGCATTGCTATCACGGGTCTGTTGGTTGAAGATCAAGACCCGCTGCTTCTTTTGCGCAACTGCAGCAGATGAAGAGTTCGCCTGGATCTGAGATGCAAACCATTGGCCAGCCAATCTGATACTTTCAAGCGTGTGGCCGCCGTCGATGTACCAGGTGATGCGTTTCTCAGTGCGTGTCTCACAACGACCGCCTAGACGGGCCTCTTCCAGGCCCTTGCGGAATTTTGCTGGTAGGGGTTCCTGCAGGATGTCTGACGGCACCTCCCCAATGCCGACAGTCCGAAGGAATTCAGCCGCTGTTGCAACTGCCACTGCCGCATTGGTATATTGGAAGTCACCAGCTAATCCGAGCTTCACGCCCCCATCAGTCTTGAGCTCGGGGTGGCCCCTCACGATGTCCAGCGAGGTTCCCTTCTCGGCAGCACGTTCGAGCAGGACCTTCTCAGCAGACGGAGGCTGAGGGGCGCTGAATGCTTTGGTGCCAGATTTGATGATGCCACCTTTATGCCATGCGATCTCCTCAATAGTGTTTCCCAACATAGCAACGTGGTCAATGCCCAGGCTGGTGATGGCTGTCGCAGCTGGCTTTTGAATCACGTTGGTGCAGTCGTACTCTCCGCCGATTCCACATTCAATAACCGCAGCATCGACTCCTTCACTTATGTAAGTGTGGAATGCCATCAATGTCAGGTACCGAAAGTATTGAGGTTTCGTTCTAAGATTCGCAGGATCTTCGCCGGCTACTCGAGCAGCTTCTTCCAAACGATCCCACACTTCAAAAAAGTATTTGGCAAACTTCTCCTCCGAGAGCGGTGCGTTGTCGATTTGGATACGCTCTCTAGCAAAGCGCAAATGAGGTGAGGTGTAGAGCCCGACCTTATTGAGGGATCGCGAGGTTGAGTCCGTGTCAGATAGCTGCGAGGCAGTGTACTGTGACAGAATCGATGCGATAAAAGCCGAAGTGGAGCCTTTGCCCTTCGTGCCGGCGACATGTACAGGATTGATACGGCTTAGATCCGAGGGCTATGGTCCAAAAATGGAACGGAGTCAACACTGGAGCATGACAACATAATGCGGGGGAGCACGCGGACCTGATATCCAATACGACGAAGCCACTCAACAGTTTCTGGAATGGACAACAGGTTCATGTCTTTCCGTGACTTGCGTAACTCTTCCACAACTGCAAAATTGGTTTGCAGTGAGTTCAGAGCTGCAATCGCAGCCTGCACCGTATCGTTAGACTTGACGCCCAGTGGCTTGCGGACAAATGCCTGCGGGGAAACCTGCCTCATAATTGCGAGACATAATGGTAGAACTGGATGATATATGGCGAGTGAAATGAAAGTGAAAGCAGGTAGGAAGTTTGCGAAAGCCCCTCATCAGGGTCAAGTCAGTCACTGCTCACGTGAAAGAGGGCTATTGCGCATCGACTAATTGAGGGACTTATTTTTAACGCCGTACTTGCCTACACGCAGTCGGAGTAGTGTCATCAAGCGCCGGTAGGTCCGAGTTCGGGCTCCCGATAAGGTCACGTGAGTAATAGATAGACATCTCAAACCATTATCCACGAAACAATCTTACACCTTGATTCTTACATGTGAGAAGTGCAATGGGAAACTTCAAACTTGACAATTAAGTGTTGCTGGTAATGATCCTAGTTTGGCAGAGACAAGATGTAACGAGAAGGTGTTATTGAAGCATGGAAAAGTGTAAGCAGGGTGTGGATGTAAAGGGGTAGAAGACGTGTGTGGCTAGATATACACTATAGAAAGGTAGACAAGTAAATATTCTATAAAATGTAGCGCAAGAAGTAGTGCAATAAAAGGCCTATTCAGGGACTACTCGATCCTTGTTTTTCCTTCCTCCAAGAAAACCAGCCTTGCGTTGCTGTAGCCTCGCTGGTGTCTTCTGACAGGAAGCCACTGGCCGATGATCGGATCCGTGCGAGCCTTGATAAGCGCATCTTGATACCCTTCAGAGCCAGCTGCGGGTGTGTTTAATTTTGGCCAATTTACCTGGAGCGCTTGCGTTAGTACCGAAGACCACATTGGAAGGTGTAGCACCAAGACTTACATAAAGCATCCCATGGGCAAGTATAAATCGGGCACACCAGGCGCTGACAACAAGCCAGAAGATAACGAACAAGCGCAGTGGCCACACAGTGGAGTCTGGTAGGCGTCTTGTGAAGGTTGAGACCAGGATCATAAAAACCCCAGCAGCAAAGATGTATGGGATTGACTGGATGATGAGCGGTCGGCGATCGAGGAAGAGCTGAAGGCTACCCAGTGTAGAGTCGGGAGGGAGATAGGCACCCAGGAACACATCAAAGCCATCTTGTCGGGGACCGTCCAAGAAGTTGTTTCGCACATAGCGTGTAATAGAATTGTTCAGATCCTGCAACATGCCTGCGCGGGTACGCTCTCCTGTGCGAGTGAAATCGGTTTTGAGTGCGCCCGTGCCAGAGTAGGATTTTGAGACCACGTCCGCGTTGTCGGCCCAGATATTGCGGAAGAGATTTTCGAACTCACGGTCGTCGTTTGCAGCCTCTCCTGGGCGTAAAACTCCAGCATCGATGAGCTGACGCGTAATGGCCCAACGCCCCAGCATACTCTGCACCACATTTGTGCGATCAAGGCAGTCCATGCAGTTGGTCCGGACGACGCTGGTCTGCGAGGATCGGATGTCCAGTTGTCCACCAGGGACACCAGGGTCTTCCACTCCCCGGAAATAGCCACCCCGAGTGAGTCCGTCCATCAACCGATCTAGCAACAGCTCTGCACGATGCCATTTGAGTCCCTTCGTCTCATTGTGAAAGTCGAAGTAGATATAATGTAATCTATCCATCTCGTTTTGTCTGAGACCGGGCTCAACAGCGTGCAGCTTTTCCGATGTTGCGTCATCTGCCTCGGTGTGTTCGGTAGAGGACGACACTAGTATACGGACCAACTGCTCGTAAGCATTCTTGACTCGTTCTTCCCGACCTTTGTGATTCACCAGGTTAACCAAGTAGTTTTCGCCATATAGTCGGATTTGCTCGGAAAAGTGCTTGCGGGCCGCATCAACAGCAGTCTCCACCCCACGGACTTGAAGCTTCGGTGTATACTTGAGATTGTTGACTTCGGCCCAATACACGGGAACGCTGCCTCTGGTTTGCACAAACGCCATTACCTGGAGGTCTTGGCCAGAGCCACCTAACTTCTCCTTCGCTAGAGACTGACCTCCGGCGAAACCAGAAAGACCACCCGTTGCGTCATTCAGGATGACAATTTGCTCGGTCTCGTTGTAATTCGAGACATGACCTTGATCATCAATGCCACGTGAGAAATATCTTGTGCCTCCACGATATCTGGATCTCCGCGTAACAAGAGCAAATGTGAACGACGTTGACTTGACCTTTGCCGGGGTTATCCGTAACATGCCGAACATGACGGGGAGGATATACGGATCAACACCTGGCTGTGGGCCGAGCCGCACACCAGTCGTATCATGTTCTCCAAGGCTGAAGTCGATCAAATCGGATTGTATGAAGCGGTTCCAGAAGAAGCGGTCATCCGCTCGCTTCCACATAGGCAGGCTAAGATCACTCTGTGATTGACGCTGGAAGCTGTTGGTGATGTCCAGGGCGTAGGAGAAGTACATGGGTCCAGTACGAAGGTGTTCCTTCAACAGTGCCAGATATGTATCTTCATCGGAATCATGTAGAGGGCGCTCGCGCAGGGGGAGGAACTCGGTCGCCGCAACCTTGTATACCATGTGGCCACGTAGCCTGCCCATGGGCTGAGCCTTGGTGATGACGATGATGTATTTGTCTAGTACAATCAGTAGCAAGCCCTCAAGAACTATAGCGCGACGGTGAACATACCTAGTTTCAACTTGATGATGCCCAGTATACCAGCGATACTAGAGATACGCTTCGCACCAGAAAGGGTGCCATTTGTGAGACGCAAGTCACCGGTTGGACGCTCGACAACAAGGGTAGGGGCATTAGGTGACGAGGGAGAAGTGAAGGCATAGTGAGTGGACGAAGCGTGAAGATTGATGTCGCGAAATGGTAAAACGGAGGCAGCCATGACTTTGAAGTTAACCCGTAAGGGAGCAGTTGTCTGGAAGTGGGAAGCGATCAAAGAAACAAGAAAGAGTGAGTTATGAACCCTAGCGCATAGCGCGGAAGATATGATATGTGAAAAGAACTGTAGTTAAGGAAAGGAAGACTCAAAAGTCAAGGCAGGAAGGTAGTAAATTCGAAAGTGGGAGGAGGCGGGAGGAGAAGGTGTTTGAATGTGATGATGACGATCTCCAAGAAAAGGGTGTGGAAAGGCAGTGTACTGTACTGTGTACTACAGGTACTTTAGTCCGACAGGCCAACACTGCGGGAATTCAAGTCACTTCCCTTTTCTGCTTTAGGTCTAGGCTAAATTGGGGGCGCCGCTTTCTACTTAGTAAGCGGCGGGGGCATAAGTTAAGTTACGGTAACATAACCAGTAAATTGGTGCCTGCCTATTTTTAACAAAAAGATAAAGCTTTAATGTGACTATTCTATGGGTACACCGTAAGATGATACATCTTAATAGGATTTCGTTGAAATTTTATAACCTTTCTTTTGGGGTTTCTTAAATATCGTCATACTAATTGAATGACCACTGGGCGAATATGACGGCGTCCGCCGCGGCGTCAAACAAGGAACGAAGTGAGTGACTGATGGTTTCTCAACTTCACTTGTAAAACTAAAGGGTTTGAGTATGGCAGTATGACAGCAGACCCTGACATCCCCATTCACCTCCGATTCCACTTTCTTTCCAACTTGAAAAGTATCCATGAGGGTGAAACTATTGAGCCATACCGTTCCGACCTCCAGCTGGCGTGCAATGCACTTCGCCGTCGCCATATCGAGCGCCCAAACACAGGCACCCAACCCGCTCTCGGTGGCATTCACGCGACAAATGAGCTCGGCCTCGTCGAACCACTCAAGAATGGGGATAATGGGCCCAAGATGTTCTTCCTGGACAATGCGGGCATTGTCGGGCGGACGGTCCACCACGGTTGGGGAAATGTACAGCCCCGGCAGCGGTTCCTCGTCGCGATCGGGGCCGCCCACAGAGAAGGTGTGGGCTTGTTTGGCGCTATCAGCGAGGAAGTCTTGAACAATCTGGTACTGCATGCGATTCTGCAGCGGGCTGAATAGCGGGGAGTGCTCGGCCGCGCGGTCGATGACGATCTTTTGAACTGCAGCGATGAAGGCGGAGCGGAACTGCAGCAGGATGTCGCGGTGGACGTAGACTCGCTTGATGGCCACACACATCTGACCCGCATAAAAAAAGCACCCCTGGGCCACTCGGGCGGCTACCTCGTCCACTTCGATATCAGCGCAGACGATGTTGGCATCGTTGCCCCCGAGCTCCAGGGTCACGCGCTTGAGCGACCGCCCCGCGCTTTCTGCTATACGGCAGCCTGTGGCGGTGAAATCGGTGAAGCTGATCTTGTCGATGCCCGGATGGGTGGTCATGCGCGCCCCGACCTCGTTGCTCCCATTTAGCGCCTGGAGTACCCCCTTGGGAAGGAGATCTAGTGCATATTCGACGAATTTCAGAGTCGCGTACGGGGTCATTGGGGAGAGCTTTACGATCACACAGTTGCCCATCACCAGGGCTGCTGCTATCTTGGCCACCGCCAGCACCAGCGGGAAGTTCCACGGGCATATGGCGCCGACCACGCCCATACGTGGAGACAATTCGGACGGATCCAACCTCATATTCGATCTTATCGGGACATGACTGGGCGTCTTGAATCCCCAATTCGTTGGTCTTGCTCCGAGAGAGAGAGAGAGAGAGAGAGAGAGAGAAAGAAATAGAGTCTTTGTTTTCTTTTGTTCTTACCATTAAACCGGAAGAACCGCAAGGCATCGTCAATCTCAATATTCGCCAGAATCTCTAACAACGCCGGCCTCTATTAGCCAGTCCCCTAACACAGCAAGGGTCAAAGGGGGAATTCGCATACCGACTTGCCTGACTCCTTGGAAAAGAATAGGACGGAGCTCGTCTTGTCGATTCTCCAGCTCATCTGCTATCCGGTGCAGACATTGCTGTCGATCTTCCAGAGGCCGGGCTTTCCAGATGGGGAAGGCCTCACGGGCTGCCTGTACCGCCTCGTCTAAGTCGTTCTCCGTGGCCACTGAGACCGGCCATAGCTCGGTGAGGGTTCGAGGATCGGTGACTGTCACTGTGTCTCCCCCATGTCGTTGTTCCGAGCGGATGATGTTAGAGAACATTGTAACCCCAGTCAACGCTTTGATGGTAGCCGCACACCGTTCTACTGCAGAGAATCGGAGTGCTCTATGCCTATCTTGAAATAGAGAGAAAAGACCCAAGGCAGAAATGGGAAGAGGAAGATGCAAAGAAAAAAATCCGAAAGCATTGGATAGCAGAGAGATCATAGATTTTATACTAGATGGACTAACTTAGCGGCGGGATATCCCCACCAGCGGGGCGGGAGCCATGCGGGAAAATCACACCCCCGCCTTGTCTGCACGGCTTGTTCGGTGGGGCGGAAGTGGGAAAATGCCGTTCCACTACCCAGCCTCGGAACAACATAAAGATGAACCTCATATGTATTCCAGGTGCAAGGCTTAAGATATCTTCCAATTTGATCATTGCTTCCAGCTCTGGGCATCAAGTCATACGTGAAACCACAATGGCGGAGCAGCCGGTAGCGATTCTCAAAAATGTAAGTATGCAGCCTATCAACTTATAGCCCCCCTCCTCAGGAGCATTGGTAAAACACTACTAACTATCTTCAAACAGCAAGGAGCAGACTTCACCTTTACAATAACGACCGCAACTATTCCAACCATCCAACCTCGGGAAGTCCTTGTTTGCCTGGAAGTGACAGGTTTTTGCGTTACCGATCTGTCGCTCGCCCGCGGACATCTCGGCCCTTGCAACACCATCCTAGGCCACGAGGGAATTGGCCGAATCGTGGCCGTAGGCGCCATGTGTGAAGCTAGAGCGGCGGCGGTAGGCCAGCGAGTTGGAATTGGCTGGATTCGCGATGCCTGTGGCGCGTGTCCCAACTGCATGAGCGCGGGGGCGGGCGAAACCAGATGCACCACCCAGGTCTTCAGTGGCCGAGATGTGGCCGGCACGCTGGCGCGATATGCTGTCGTTCCGGAACGGTACCTGGTGCCTCTGCCTGAAGAGAGTCCCAGCGAACTGTTGGCCCCGATCATGTGCGCAGGGGTAACAGCTTACAAGGCCCTCAAGGTAGCCAACGTCACTCCCGGATCGTGGATCGGTGTGTCCGGGGCAGCAGGCGGCGTGGGCTCCCTGGCAGTGCAATATGCCAAGGCCATGGGGTATCGGACGGTGGCCATTGACGGCGGGGGCGGCCCTCGACAAAGAGCCATCTGTCTGGAGGCGGGGGCTGATGTCTATCTTGACTATGAGGAGGCCAAGCCAGATCTCCGAGCCAATCTCCTTCGCGCTACGGGCGGTGATCTCTGTGCTGCTGTACTTGTCTGTGCCGGGGCCGCCACCGCGTATGAGGATGCCCTGCCGTGCTTAGCCTACTTTGGAGTCCTGGTCGCCGTGGGGATTCCCCCACCGACGTCGAAAGTCTCCTTTCACCCCCTCACTCTGATTGACTATGGTATTCGATTCGTCGGCAGCATCACCGGGGATCGCCGGGATGTCCTTGAGGCGGTTCAATTTGTCCTCCGCGGTCTGGTAAAGCCGCGGACTGTACTTATAGACTTGGTCGACCTCAACAATTACGCGAGGCAGGTCAATCAGCTGCCTGGGAAATTGGTGGTACGCTTGGGGGATGACGCGATTCAAGCGAGTATGAGTACCTGTATATAACAGGAAGTAGGTAGTCATATTCATGATAATAATCTAGACTAGGTATTAGTCTGTCACAATCCGCACAACGATAGAAGAGAAACTGTAATTATGAAATCGCAAAACACGCTTACATGTTGATCAATACCTAGTAATTCATACTGGGTAATACGCTGACCTAGATGACCAACCCTTCTTGGACACACTCGGGAACGGAATCCTTAAGCGATTTGCAGCGTTTCTACGGAGTCAGTATCCAGATACCTTGGTACTGGGCCGGAACTTAATGCCCCCTCCGCCTATCGCAGCCGTGGCGGGCAGCAGGAAATTCCCACCCCCCGCTTCTAGCGGATCCCCGCTTCGACCCCCACAGGATGCTGATCTTCAGCACTGCACTAGGTTACGTAGGCGATGAAGACTCTACCCTATACATTCCCATGTTATGCCTGCGCCATCGTTCTCACCATTAATTCCCCCAAATATGCTTACATTACATTTAAATTTACCCGGTTCCTCCTCTTATTCACTTTTCGATGGAATAGAAAAAGTGCTTATCACCTCCACCAGTTCGACCATAGGAGTTCAGCCTGGATGAGCATTCAGCAATCAATCAATCCACAGAAATCAGCTATACACAATGTTTGAACCATTAGCACTCCCTCCTGGGCTGAGTGCCAAGGTATTCAATATCTTTTTGGACAAGGTACTCTCGGTCGTTGGTGCGGGGAACGTCGATGTGATCACGACGAAGGAACAATTAGATCCGGGGTCATATATGAATCCTCAATATTCTGTTGACCCTCATCCTGTTCTGGCCCCTGACACCTTCCTCGCCTCAGCTATCGTCGCACCCCGAGATGTGGCAGATGTTCAGTGAGTCTTCCACCAACTGTTTGACCCTACGTACAATACGCCGACTAATTGGATCGTATCAGAGCGATTGTACGCCTCGCCAATGAATTTCGAGTCCCACTGTGGCCGGTTTCGATTGGTCGAAACTCGGGATATGGGGGTGCTGCCCCTCGGGTTCGGGGATCTGTCGTCCTCAACATGGGGAAGAATATGAATCGGATCCTGGAGGTCAATGTTGCTGGGGCCTACTGTATTGTGGAGCCAGGTGGGAGAGTCCCAACTGCATAAATTCTTCTCCCAGACTAACCTTCTCTGATATGTAGGTGTCACTTTCCATGACCTGCATAACTACCTCGTTCAGCACAATCTGCGTGAGAAAGTATGGATTGATGTCCCCGATCTCGGTGGGGGGTCGATCCTAGGAAACATGCTGGAGCGGGGAGTTGGATATACCCCGTATGGAGATCACTACATGATGCACTCAGGGATGGAGGTGGTAATGCCAACCGGAGAACTGGTGCGCACGGGCATGGGTGCCCTGCCGCACCCCGAGAGCCGTGGCGGTTCTGAGTCCAAGAAGCCCGAAACCCGGCCCTGGAATCCGACCGCCGCCCTGTTCCCCTACGGGTTTGGTCCCTATTTGGATGGCCTGTTCACGCAGTCTAACCTGGGTGTGGTCACCAAGATTGGGATGTGGCTCATGCCCAATCCCGGCGGGTATCAGTCCTATCTGATCACCCTGCCCAGGGACGAGGATCTGCACCGCGCGGTCGATATCATCCGGCCCTTGCGCCTCACCATGACCCTCCAGAACGTGCCCACCATCCGCCACATTCTGCTTGATGCTGCCGTTCTGGCCCCTCGAACCGTGTATACTGACATCGATGGTCCGCTGTCCGACGAGGCGCTGGATGCGATTGCGAAGAAGCTGAATTTGGGCCGGTGGAACTTTTACGGGGCGCTCTACGTAGGTCTTGCTTGCCCTCGATCCTTCAATCTACGCCCGTCACTTCGGTGACCAGGTCGTCCTGAAACTAACCCACCGCAAAAACCTCCAAAGGGACCTGAACCGATTCGCCAGACTCTCTGGGCAGCCATCAAAGCGGCCTTCTCCACAATACCCGGAGCCGGATTCTATTTCCCGGAGGAGACCCCGGAGAACTCGGTGCTGCGCATCCGTCACTTAACGATGCAGGGGATTCCCACCTACGAGGAACTCAAGTGGGTGAATTGGGTACCGAACGGAGCCCATCTGTTTTTCTCCCCGATTGCCAAAGTGACCGGGGACGACGCTATGGCGCAATATCTCCTGACCAAGCAGCGGTGTCAAGAGGTCGGCCTGGACTTTCTAGGTACCTTTACCGTTGGGATGCGAGAGATGCGTGAGTTGTCCCCTCATTCCCGCGCCTGTCTTTCTCTCCTACCTTGAACTCCAGATCTAACTGCCTTTAGACCACATTGTGTGCATTGTGTACGATAGAACCTCGCCGGTGGAGCGGAACAAAGCGCTCACTTTGATCAAAAGACTGATTGCCGACTGTGCGGATCGCGGTTGGGGAGAGTACCGGACCCATCTGGCGGTCATGGACCAGGTGATGGGGACCTACAACTGGAACAATGGCAGTCTACTGAAGGTTCACGAGGTCATCAAACAGGCGCTGGATCCGAAGGGGATCCTCGCCCCAGGCAAGTCAGGTGTGTGGCCGGCGCAATATCTCAAGGAGCGGGAGGCAAAGTTGTAAGGAGAGATGGTTTCATTGATGGGCTGTGGATTGTCGAGCAGTAGCTGGGCTACTGAGTATGTATTTTTTACTCATTCATTGTACATGTCATTGCCCACCCACTTACTTCATGTCGGCTTTTCAATGATCATTCCGACGAACTTGGGAAGACTTCAATTCGACAGGGTTGGCCCTTCTATTCCCACGTGTCTTTCGTACAATCTATTTTGTCCATTGAAAAACAGGAACTCTTGACTTATTCAAGCAATGTAATTCTACATCATGTAGTGAAGTACTGCATCTTAGTTTGAATCCAAAATCAATCCTTGTCCGGGAAATATCCCAGACAAACTAATTGGATCGCCTGCGCCAGCGCCTCCCTCCCCCGCTTGCTTCTCTTCTTCACCCCCAGTACTACATCGCCGTCACCTGCCATGTTTGAAAGCGAAGCCGTTCTGATGCCCTGAAACGACACTGGACCACTTGCAAGCGTTGTTGGGCCAGGTCTCCCGAAGTCCCGGGAGCTCCCTTGCAGAAAAGAGGAAGAAATTGTAGAGCGTGACGATCGTTGCGTCTGCCTGGATCGGGTCTGTGTGACCCTAGATAAGGCTCGTGGCCAGCGTGTATCGGAACATGCGGCAATCCATTTCTGAGTTTGTACAAAAAGATTCTCCAAATGTATTATATCACGCATTGTATCATTCCAGAGATAGCTTTCAACAATAATACCGTACTTCGTTACATTATTGGTAAGGGGCCTTGGCAAGACTATGTGGATGTGTCTAGGAGCTCTGTCTCTGTATCCTTCTCTCTACTATAAAGAGAAGTTAAAATGTACTCGGCATCTCTAAGAAATATAGTGAGCAGAGTACAGAAGTAAGGAGAGCAACAACTGATTACACCGAAGATAGATAAGAAAGAGGAAAATGCAGTTAAGGTTTAGTGGCTTCTCTCTCGTTTCCCTTGTTCAAGTCCCTTCATCAACCACTCATCATACAAGAGCTCCAGAGCTGTCGGTCGGTCAGAAGGGTTCCATTGCAAAGCCCGTCGAATCCATCGTAGGAACCCGTCCTTGTCTTCTCCCTTGATATTGGCAGCTAAAGATTCGAATGTGATATCAGGAATCGGTGCTAATTCTTTCCAGGTGCCGGAGTCGTCCCAGAAAACAGAACTGAGATGGCTTCGTTCACGGAAGTCAGGTGGTGGACATCCTAGGAGTGCAACCAGTTCTGCAAGGTGGGCACGATCATCAAATATGCCATCTGGATTTTGATGAGTGTCGAGGAGCTCACGATATCCCATGCCTTCAGCATACTGATTAGCATATTCTCAGACCCAATAAATCACAATTAAACGACTGTTCAATAAACGTAGTGTCCTTACAACCATAGCGATATTCCAGATATCAACTTTATAATCCCAGCTTGCTCTCAGAATCACTTCAGGCGCCCTGTAAGGATTTGGCATGATATCTTCAGTATGCTTCTTGTTGCTAAGCCGAGCTTCGCCAAAATCACTGAGAAGCGGCAGTCCGTCTCCAGGAGGGAAGCGGGCGGACGTGTAGATTGTACGGTCATGAAGCACCTTTCGTGCCGATGGTCTTCTTATCTCCTCTTCCTCGAAGTTAGAAAGCGCCTCTGGCTTTGGTGTGGGAAGAAGCAAGTTCTTTAGCTGGAGATCTGTGCAAGTCAGCCTCCCAATATCTTTAAAACCCAGGAGGAATCAACGCGTACCCGTGTGGATCACACCAGCTACAGAATGTAAGAAGTCCAACACCACCAGTAACTGTCGGGTACAGACCTTCATATCCTCCAGAGTCATTGCTTTGCCAGGGATCCACTCCAGCAGCTCACTCGCACTTATCCCTAGAGGCTCGTGAACGAGACAGATGTGTTGGCCATGGGGACCCGTGATAATAAAATGGTCGAATAATTTTCAAATGAATCTTTTACCGGGATGTTCCCAGTCCACTGAATTCAAATGCTTATAAATGTTCAGTTCATCATTTCTATTCTCGCCCGTCACGTATATTTTCAAAGCAACATAGCTGGAATTACTGTATCGCATTATCAACAAACCCCCGAAAAATCAAAAAGTACAGTGGATTGCATGTACTTACACCAAGTCACGACCAAACCATACAGTGGACGTGACTCCGTAGCCTAACTTAGCTGATGCCTGATGTTGATTGTTGAGTACTTCCCCCTGTTGGATTGGATAATATTTTTGGGCTTGATATGTAGGTAACGTCTCTTCTTCAATATGTACGGACGAGTCAAGTAACTTAAAGCCAGAAGATGGAAAATCCCGTGGCACAGATGTCCACTGAGAAGAGGACATCGCTGGTCCTTGAAGATAACTCCCAGGTCTTTTTGGAGCGAGAAAGTATAATGGGTCAGAAGAGACAGAGAGCAGTGGTCGCTTTGAGGCTAGCCACTTCAGAGAAGCAAACGGAATGCTAGGGTATCTTGAAGATCGGTACATTAGAACCCCGAATTTATATGACAGGAAGTGAGAACAAGCAGTGGAAACAGGAAAGCTGCAGATGAGAGCGAAGGAGAAATGCTAGTGTTATTTATTCCCTCTGCTAGAAGAAACCGGGTGGTACTTACAGCCCCTACTGGATATCCGCGGTAGTGATCTGCGAAATCTAGAAGAGTTAGCCCCAAGCCAATCTGTGATTGTGATCAACAAACTCACAGTATTCTCGATCAACTTGCAGACTGTCCTTGTTGCATTCATCCAAATAGGGCCCTCAATGGCGCCATTGGTGATCACCATCCCTTCAAGAGGAGCTCCAGTAAATCGTATCAAGGCAGAGAGGCACTCTGAAAGCCCCTCGCCAAATTGCGGCTCATAGTGAGAGTAAATATATACCTTTGGATTTCTGCAATCGCGGGGTGAAAGAGAATGGAAAAGGATTCAATTTTTGATGGCCAAGATATTGTACAGTATGCTTTCCGATTTATACCTTATAAAGATCCCCACCCAAACACCAGGAATCTAGAAAACCACTCCCATTATCATGTCTGCACTACAATGTACCTGTGTATATCCGACCAGCGCGTAGAAAGCTTTCGCTGACTACTGGGTTGGCGAAGGCCCGTACAGTACAACAAGAACCCTGGTTTGGGGACCAATATCCCGGAAACCACTATACAGTGGGCTGGGAGAGATGCAAAAAAGTGATGAAGGAGGTTTATGGTCATAGTCTTGGAGATGGTAGCAGGAATGAATGTACCTGACATTCTGCCTCAAGAGCCCGCCTTGTCGGCTTTCTGCCCGCCAGCTCCGCTTCTAAACATTCTGCCATGTAATTCCGCCTAGCAGTGGCAGTTTCCCATGTAGCAGCTAGAATAGCCAGTAAGGAATAACGAGCATAGATGATTCATGTTTAAAAGTCTAGTGTAGTCAATGTCACGAGGTATCAATGGAGAGCCCTTACAAAAGTAGCAGCTGCCATATGGGGCGATTTGCAGAGAAATTGTTGTAAGTATACATACCACTCCTGCACATACAAGCAGACGCCGCACCGCCCCGCACATGGGCCAGTCGGCTTAAGCCAGGTGTGGCTGAACCCCCTTCGTCATCTCAACCACCGCCGTCGACGGCAGGCCGCCATCAAACCTCCCCCAGCGTCCCGATCCCGCCTTTCCATTATCTTCATCTCTTCTTGCATTCTTGAACTTTCCACTCCGGGTCGAGTTCTTCTGCCACGCTTCCACCGACCACTACATTATTGCCTCTTCTCTTTTTTTACTTTTCAAAGTTGTTCTACCACCTCCGTTCACTATGGCCACCAGAGCCGCAGCAGGCGCCCGTCCCGGTGCCAGATTCGCTCAGTTCAAGCTGGTGTTGCTTGGTTAGCTTCCCCCTGACTATAACCCCACTCAAATTCGTCGGAAAATGAAGACTGACTTATGATTTATGTTTGAAACAGGAGAAAGTGCCGTTGGAAAGGTGAATAAGTCGTTGAATTCATTGTTCGGGCCGTCGCTGATGTTCTCATTACTTGGCAGAGTTCGCTAGTCCTCAGATTTGTTAAGGTTGGTTTACAGCCAGAGGGCTTCTTCTTGACCCCCAGGGGCGGAGCTCATATGGGATAGGATCAATTCGATGATTACCGCGAGTCGACTATTGGCGCCGCCTTCCTCACACAGACAATCTCCCTGGACGAAAGCACGACGGTCAAGTTCGAAATATGGGACACCGCCGGTCAGGAGAGATACAAGTCCTTGGCTCCCATGTACTACCGGAACGCGAACTGCGCTGTTGTTGTGTACGACATTACTCAAGCGGTACGGCCTCTATGTGCTCTCGGACCAGCATGATCGCGCGGAAATGCTAATGTGGATATGATGGAACAGTCGTCGTTGGATAAGGCCAAGTCATGGGTGAAGGAGCTACAGAGGCAAGCGAACGAAAACATCGTCATCGCTCTTGCAGGCAACAAGCTCGATCTTGTAACAGAGAATCCCGACAAGCGCGCGATCGCGACCGCTGATGCCGAGGCCTATGCACGTGAAGCCGGTCTGCTCTTCTTCGAAACGTCGGCCAAGACGTCATCTAATGTGCGAGAATTGTTCACCGCTATTGCGAAAAAGCTGCCTCTCGATCAGGCAGGCCCACGGAACCTGCGAGCTGCCCCCCGGCCCGGTGTCGATTTGCGACCAGAAGCCCCTGGCACTCAGGGCGCCGGCGCCTGCAACTGCTAGATATCGCCCTCAACCCTGCCTTTTCAACTCTAGCATTGTGATGCCTTCTCTCTACCCATGGGTGTTTTAGCTTTCGTTGGTTTGGTTTGTCTAGATGCGAAAGACGTGCTTCTCTTGCCTGAGCTTTACCTTTAATTCCAGTGCAAACCCTGACGACTTCAATCGGCAGCTGAGCATGGTCGCTATATGTTTCTCAAGAGATGATTATCCGGCATCCCTAGCCGAATTTCTGGCGGCCTGGATTTGACACGCAACATCAACCGGTTTCTCGTTGTGGCCCCCAATCCGAGCAGCTATTTTACAGTTCTGTCGCCCACTTCTCAAGGCCTTCCCATTCTCTCGAGGTCTGTCCATGCCACTTGTGACACCCAACTCTGGCCATGTACACGGGTACAATTGGCTCTGGTGAAGCCGACTCCATGTTGCAGGAGATAGCTTAGGGTATTCGGTGTTTCAATTTGTTCCCTCTGTGTTTTCCTATTGCTGGCGTCTGTATCCTTTGTTATGGGTTGAGCTGCTGTTTTCCTTCTCGTTTTCCTTTGTTTTTTTTTACCCTCAGAGTTTCTCAGTATGCTATGCCTATATAATATTTCAATAATCTTCCTTGGTCTTGGGATGACGTATTTGATCTCGAATTGCGCACATGTGGCTCTCTTTACCGGCGCAATCAGAGGTCGAACAAGAAAAGTTCACAATAGCTGTATGTTGACCATATTTTTCTAGACTATGGTAAACTCATTCAGCGGGTACGAAACAAGTATAGTAAGTGACACTGCTCTCATGATGAACTATACAAGTTGTAATGTCGTGACAGTAGAAGCGGGCGGGCGGTGCGACCAAGGCCGAGCTGACTGAGCCACTATTTGGCGGTGCAGGATCGGAGCGGATCGTAAAAGCACCTACTAATCCCAGTTCCAGTTCCGGTCCGCGTTTTCACCTTCGTCAACATCAACCCCTCAACTTCTCTCGCTCCCAGCGCTTTCCTTCACAGTAGTGCGGCCCACGATGCTGCGCTCTTCTGTTGCCACGGGACGCCAGGTGCTACTGTCCTCCGCTCGCCAAAGGACGGCCGCGCAATGGCTGTCCAGAGCTGGAGCAAGCAGCCGGTTCTCGAATCAGGTACGGTGACGGCATCCTCAGTTTGCGGATCATCAATGGCAGATTGGTCACTAATATGTCTTTCACTCTCACTAGAGATTCTTTGCCGATGCTAGACCCCCTACTACTGGTGCTCCCACTCCTGTTACCCCGTCCTCCGCGTCGCCTGTGCCCCCGGAGGTTGTCATTCCTAAGCCGGAGCCTACCGAGCAGGGTACTGTTGCCATCGTCACTCGAATACACAGCAAGAACTGCAGACTGATCCGATCACAGGCTCCGAAGTCCCTCCCGTCGTGCCCACTCCAGCTCCCAAGAAGGGTGGACGTTTCCGCCGATTCCTTCTCTACCTGCTTCTGACTTCAGGCTTCGCTTACGGTGGTGGCATCTTCCTGGCTCTCAAATTCGACAACTTCCATGACTTCTTCACCGAATATATCCCCTATGGTGAAGAGAGCGTCCTATACTTTGAAGAACGAGACTTCTACCGCCGATTCCCCAACACCCTGAAGAGCCAGGTCCGCTTCCCTACTCGTCGGGATGAGAGCAACCAGATCACGATCCCTAGCAAGAGCGGATTGACCTCGAAGGTTGCCGAGGAAGAGTCAGCTGAGAAGGGCCCCCACATGAGCTCCGCTCAGAAGGACAAGGGCAGCGAAGCGCAAGTCAAGCCTGCCGCTGCCAAGCCCGAGGAGAAGTCCGCCGCGGTCGAGAAGGCTAAGGAGTCGAAGGCCGCCAAGGAAGAGGCACCTAAGCCGGTCGAGAAGGAGGAACCCAGACAACCTGCTTTGCCCGCAGTGACCCCTCTCGAGTTCGCCAAGGTCAACGAGGGAGATGAGGCCATTGTCCAAGAATTGGTGAAGACTTTCAACGATATCATCACCGTGATCAGTGCCGACGAGAGTGCCCCGAAGTTCTCCAAGCCTGTTGAGAAGGCCAAGGAGGAGCTCCAGAAGATCGGCGATAAGATTATCGCTGTCCGGGAAGAGGCGCGCCGTGCTGCCCAGGAGGAGATTGACCAGGCCCACGCTACCTTCGACGAATCCGCGCGCGAGCTCATCCGTCGCTTTGAGGAAGCCCGTGCCACCGACGCTGCTCAGTATCGCGAAGAATTCGAGGCCGAGCGTGAGAAGCTTGCTCGCGCTTACCAGGAGAAGATCCGCACGGAGCTGCAGAGAGCCCAGGAGCTGGCTGAGCAGCGTCTTAAGAACGAGCTGGTCGAGCAAGCCATTGAGCTTAACCGCAAGTACCTACATGAAGTGAAGGACCTGGTCGAGCGTGAGCGTGAAGGTCGCCTCAGCAAGCTCAATGAGTTGACTGCCAATGTCAGCGAGCTGGAGCAGCTCACCACCGGCTGGAGAGAGGTCATTGACACCAACCTCAAGACTCAGCAATTGCAGGTTGCTGTTGACGCTGTCCGCTCGGTCCTTGAGCGCTCTGTGGTTCCTCGCCCGTTCGTGCGCGAGCTTGTTGCCGTGAAGGAGTTGGCCGCTGAAGACCCCGTGGTTGATGCGGCTATCGCCTCGATCAACCCTACCGCCTATCAGCGTGGTATTCCCTCCACATCTCAGATCATCGAGCGCTTCCGTCGGGTAGCCGATGAGGTCCGTAAGGCAAGCCTCTTGCCCGAGGATGCGGGTATTGCCAGCCATGCTGCCAGTTTCGTTCTGAGCAAGGTCATGTTCAAGAAGGATGCCGTTGCTGGCAGCGATGATGTTGAAAGTGTTCTCTGCCGGACCGAGAGCCTTCTGGAAGAGGGCAACCTTGATGGTGCCGCCCGTGAGATGAACAGTCTCAAGGGCTGGGCCAAGATTCTGAGCAAGGATTGGCTGGGTGAAGTGCGCCGAGTGTTGGAAGTGAAGCAAGCCCTAGAGGTAAGACTAACCCTGATGGCTATGATATCTTGTTCCCTTTTGCAGTTCAGGCTAACACATCTTGTTCTTACAGGTCATCGAGACTGAAGCGCGTCTACAGTGCCTGAGGGTCGAGTAAACCAATACCCTCAGCGTTTGTTTCGTTTTCTTGTATCTCATGCCTCTTCTTCTTCCTCATCCTACAGGAATTGTACCTCTAGTTCCCACGTGCGTTGTTAGACTCAATGCTAGATGTTTCCTTTGTATGACAAAAGGGTGAGACTGTACAGTATTGTAGTTATATATGATTAAAAATGGTAACAAGGTCATTTGGTACTGTTGACTTCTATTCCGCCGGAAGTGGTTGTTTGCCATGTTTGCAACTCCACGTGCTCCGCCGCATGATGCAGTTGGGGGGAGGAAGTGTACTTACTGTACGACTAACGTTGTCTCGACAGCACAGACCGACGAACGTGCACCTATTCGTGTTGCCCCTAGTTTCTTGCCTGTGCTCTACAGTGCCATGTTTAACTTTTAGCACTTTGCTTGGGCATCTCCATGTCCTCTTCACCCTGTGAGCCGACCCCCCTATTTACTCCGGCGGGACGGACCACCAATTCGTCACCCTGGTTCTAATGTCGCCCAAGACCAATGAACCGCCCACCGCATCCCTTCCCACTCCTGGCCCGAATGACACGTTGTCGGAAACTCGTCAACCTTCGAGCAATCCTCATGACGCAACCTTTCGACTAAGAGAGCCGCAGATGAACGAGGGACGGGCGAGCGGGGAGCTGGAGGGGAGCACGCTAGGCAGTAGCTCTCGCGATGGAGATAAGACAAGTCGAGGAGCCCAGCGCCGGACACATGGCTCCGGTGGATTCTTTGTCGACTCATCCTTCCTACCCGGCTCCAAGAGCTTGAAGGGCAGCCAACACCAATTCCTCCGCCGTTCGGGGTCAAATCGGAAAGAGAAACGGGAGCCTCCTGAGCCGGGTCCGGAGGTGTCAAAGAAACGATCGCGATTTCCGTGGAGTCGTCAGAAGGAACAGAAGCTGGGCTCAACTGCGGCCCAAACGGCTGAAGATGAGGCTACTGCTTCTTCTTCGCATGTGGCGGACGATGATGCGGCACAACACCAGGAGCAAGCAGAAACGGAGACGCCGGACAACCAGGCTGCCATGGGCCTGGACAGGGATTCTTTACAGATCGTCAATCTCGCGCTAAATCTGAGCGAGTCGCGAACACGGAACAGTCTAGGACGTTCGGCTTCCAACCGCTTTCCGGGCAATCGGAGGATGGTGTCCGTCGGTCAGCCTGCTGCTCCTTACCCTGACATTCAACCGATGGCTTCTGTGGGCGGCCTTCGCCACAGTAGCCCCCGGCATCGCGATGCAGTGCACAAGTGGAGCGATCGCTACAGCAAGCCCACCATCCCTGAAGGGGTGGCAGGATTTCCGGCACATACCCCCTCCTCGGTGCTCAGTCTCCTGCCTCAGTCGATCGATTCGGAAACTTTGCCTTCTGGGATCTCAGAGAGCACTCTTATCCGGGCTGAGAAGGCCCGGCGTCATTTTGAGCTACTCTCCGAATACCTACGGCTTCTTTCGTCGCTTCCGCCTCTAGAGCATCTCGACCCGTCCGCTACAGACTCGGTATCAGTTGCGAGTAACAGCGAGCTCTCCGCCAGAAGATACAATCCTCTCCAATGTATCCGTAACCGGAAAGTAAGGTTTCGCGAACGATGCAGTATTGATACTGAAGCCGAGGGATGGTTTGACACCGAACGGGTACATGAATGGGTTGACTCGGTGGAGTCGTTGTACAGCCATCGCAATCACAGCGCGGTGGAACGTCTACAACTTCCCTCGTTTCCAAAATCAAGGAAATATGTGCCTTCGGAACATCAGCTGGATATCGATCATCTTGCAGCCTCTCCTCCTTCGAGCCTGAGGCGCGCTAGCCGTACTAGCAGTGTCAAAGCCCGCAGGCCGCGATCGGATTGGGTCATTGATCCGGCAGAAATGCTTTCCGATGCTGCGTGGGTTGAAGATGATCACAACAAGAGTAAATTAGTCGACAAGGACGGAAACCTCCTCTATCCAAACCCGAATATACTGATCGATGTCGGTATGGATGATGCCAATCTCAGCTTGGAGGAGAAACTGCAACGTCATCGACAGTCCATGGACTCGGAGCATTACATTTCCCGTGCATCTCTATCCGACGCTCATCCTAGTCTGACAAGCGGTACACGTGGAAGGCAACGGCACAGGTTTCGGACTTCCGGCCGTAGCACACATGATAGCGATGTCTCCGTCAAAGATTTGGAGCCCGGAAGTCGCAAGCTTGGCTTGTTTAGTAGCTCTGCGAGCACGTCCAGCGCGGATGACCGGCTACACCGTTACATGCACGCTGACAGGACAACTTCTCCTGGAAAGTATAACCCGCCAACGCTGGGTGCATTCCAAACCAGGGGCTCTGGGGCGATTTCTGAAGATGACAGTCTCACAGGGGTCAGGTATACCCCGAGCCATGGCCCACTTCCCCGCCATAGGACTGGAGGCCGCGCCAGATCAGAAGGGAAGCGAAGCTCTATGTCCTCTGTGCCGAGCATCGATGATCGTTACGATCCTTTGACGAACATGGCAACTCTCGATACCAAGTCCTCTGGTGTTCATTCCCAGTTAGGGTTCTTTCCTAGTATTGCGAGCAATCTATCTCCCCCATCAAGCCGGTCTCCATCACCGTCTAAGGGACGGTTTGCGCGGGCCCGTGGCTCGCGTCACGAGCGCAGCAAGAGCAACATTCGCGCAAAGGACAACGCCGACGAAAATGTGCCAGACACGGACGGTGTGCGTCAAGATAGCTTGTCCGAAGCCGCGGGTCGCATTGGTTTGGAACCCAGTCCCCTTACCTACCAGACCACGTCATCCACGTACCAGGATGAGCTTTTCAAGCCTCAATCTCCGATGCGGAAGGACACCTCTCAGACAGAGTCAAGGCTACGCGGCATTCTCAAAGGGCCTGGAAAGATAGCCGAAAAAGTAGGCAATGAGATGTCGAAAGTCGGCGATCGTATTATGAAGAAAGACTCGATGGCGATGGCACGCAAGACCTCGCATTCTAGCCTAAGCAGTTCGGACTCCGATAATGCTGATGAGGCCGAGGAGATAAAAGGCGAAAAAACGTCAGGCACCAAATCTCTTCTACGTCGGTTGCCTGCGTTTGCCGATGATGGCACTCGGCCTTCGCGCAAGAATCTGGAAAGAGTCGGTACACACAACCAGGCATTGCTGTCGCCACATCTATTGTCACCTGCTGGACAGGAACAGTTCACTCAACTTCAAAGCTCTGATTCTACTGATCTGCCGGGTCACACTACGGACACTAATATATACCACAACATGGACGGCTCTCAGAGGGACGTTGGGAGTTTCTCCGCTTCCCTTTCAAGCAATACAAATGTTCACGCACCACCCACGCGCCTTGAGAAACTGTTCGGTCCCGAAATACATACAATCCGGGAACAAATCCAAAAAGGCAGGATCAAAGATCAATCTGTACCTTTCAGTCTCACCCGGCCACCTATGACGGGTCTTGCGCAGGCCAAGGTGGAAGCCTCCCCAGCGTCGCAAAATAGGCGCCCTGTGTTAGATGCCCAGTCCAGAAGTTGGAGTATTTCCAATCGCAGTCTCTCCACTGCGCTTGTCAGTGGTATCCCTGGAAAACGCGAGGTTGAACGAACTCGAGCGCTTCTCCTCACCTCGGGAATTAAGGCTCGGGAGATCACCCGCCGGGCCGGCACCGTGCGCGAACCACCTCCTGAGTTCCTTCTGCGCACATATGGTGATGCCTCCGTACCCGTGCCACGGGTGACTCGACTCTGCGAGTATGATGCCGCGGCGCAGGGACTACTCAAGAGGTTCGAAGAGACCAACCGTGCTTTCCGACATGCCATGGACAACTTTTCGGGCTCGGTGTCATCGCCGCTGAATGCTCAGCTGAGCAGACTCGAGAAGATAGTCAATGAGAGCATCAGCCCTCGCGTTCAGGCAGCGACTCAAGATGCCGAAGACCTGAGCATTCAGCTCAACACCACAAGCACCCTCGCGGTCAAGCAATTGAGCGATACCCTCGATAAAGGCATGCGCAGGCGTCATCGCAGGCTGCGCTGGGTCCGACGTATAGGGTTTGTCATGCTCGAATGGGCGCTCGTTGGTATGCTGTGGTGGGTCTGGCTCATCGTCATGGCTTTCAAAGTGCTTCGCGGCGTTTTTCGAGGATTTCTCTCGGGCGTTCGATGGATTCTGTGGCTGTAGTCACAGGCAGAAATGGACTGACTCGGGTCAGTCAATGTCCAGGCCGTTTTCTTCGGTTTCGTACTTTCCATTTCTTTGTACTATACATTTTTAATTTCGAGTATCTAGATAATAATGATGCCTTGTGACCCTTTTTGTGATCTGCGTTGAACAGTGAAGCCAAGAGATGGTGATAACAAGCACCTAGCCTATAACTAAGAAAGAGGTACAAGTGGAAATTGGGTAAAGTGACATGGCACGTTCATCCATGTACTGTCGACCACGGTACCTCACTGCCCGCTTGTCGGTACTATCCTTTCATCACAGACGGAAACTCCCGCACAAAAGCTTTGTTTTCTTGTCACCCTGAGGGTGGAAAGCTTACAGGAGATTTTCGACCGACCCTTTATTCCGCCATGACTCAAACCAGCATCAATTCTCAGGTACGCCGTACTAACAAGATATATATGCTGCGTTTGATCCCTCCCGCGCGCCCCCCTCGTCGCTGTTCATCTTTTACCAGAACACTACATGCTTGGTACTCCACACACACGCGCGTGATCTAATTACAGTCTACAAGGTATATTATCCGATATACTACTACAGTTCCAGATCGACACCTCACACCAAATTCAACCCAAAAAACACATACAGTATCTCACACAAACCCCACAATAACTGCTATTCGTCATTCACAATGCCATTGCTGAAAGGCATATTGCATGGTCGCAAAATCACCACTGACTCAGGTCAGCAGCAGGACGGTGGCGGCGGGGGTCTTCGCCGCTCCAACGCAGTCAAGCACCACGGCCAGCAGCAGCAACAGCAAGCGTCCACGGGAGGCTTCGACCTTCTCAGGCGGGAAGCAGTCCGTACCAACACATCTCCGGGCCTTGGGTCTGGCGGCCAGGCCCCGATGGTGGCTCATGCGCGGACACGAGCAACTACCTCTGCGGCCGCGCAGTCGGGTTCCGAGTGGAGCTATGTTCCGGTCAATGTCCAGATTCGACAGCACCACGGCCATGGCCACGGCCCGGGGCAGCGAGACCAGCTGGAGCGGCGACAAGAGCTAGAAGATGTACATTCCCAGCGGACGCAGCGGTGGGTGGCCGACCAGCAGAAGCGCATGATGCTGACGCCAGCGGTGACGCGAAAGCCACTGCCTCCTCAGCCACCGCAGTCTCAGTCTCTACCACGACCAGGAGGAAGACCACAAATGCAGCAGAAGCAGCAGCCACAGCCACAGCCACAGCCCACTATTCCGAGCAGCGGAAACCGACGGCCGTTCTTCAAGAACGATGCCGAGCTGGAAGACTGTGTGCGCAGCACCTCTCCTCCCTATGAGGATGGGATCCTGAACCACGGGGATTGGAAAACCGGTAAGTCCGTCCATACCGTGCAGGCCAGACGGCCGGTCCACGTCGTCACCCCCAGCCTGTGCCCTGTCTCCCGAGTAGCGTCGCCGGTGGATGAGATCTCCGATCAGAGAGAGGCGGCTCGTAGGGCTTTGCGGCGGAGGAACTTGCCTGGTAGGTGAATCGGGTCAGTCGGTAGGGTTGTTTGGAATGGGCTACGTGCTGGTCTCGTAGCTTGCCCTGTGGTTCTTTGATTTCATGCATTGCGGGTGGACTGGGCTCCTATGTCAGCATTAGCATCATTGGGTTTTCTCTGCTGTGTACGTTGAATGAGATTGAGCATGGCTCGTCAATAGACTTTTCTGATACGGTGTAAATCCAATGTGGTTGATGTTTCTTTTGTCCTTTTATTCTTCTTGCCCCTGTTTCATGAGACTTTGTAGTACATTGATGTATTTTTGTTAGATGGAGGTAGACTCCGAAGGGAGACATTCCAAAACCCCAGATACTTCCTAAGATGCAGAGTCTTTGAACATAATAGGTTTTGTATTATCAGCAGCACAAAGTAAGTCCGAATAAAGATGCACCTCAATGAGCAGCTAAAATCATTCTTTGGCTCTCAATAAACATTGGCAACAGTCAGTGTTGTTGTTGGAGGTTGAAAGAAAGAGCGATCACGTGCCGCATACAGCCCGGGACCCTGCCTTCACCGCCCAAACAAGCTCAGGAACGACCGGCAGAATGACCTCAGGCGGTCAGAGCGGGTTAACCCAATTAGGAACCTCAGAAATACATGTGTAAGACTCCAGGGTGGGGAGATTACCCATGCTTTACATGGACGGCGGCTGCTGCTGCGAGACTATCTACATCTGTTACAGTCCGTGTTGACCGATTTTCCGTTTCAGATAAGTTTAGGACAAAGAATGCAATCATCCAAGAAACCGTCATCTCTCGCAATGGATTTGGGGGAGGGAGGAAGGAGAGAAGAAATTCAATGGCCTCCGGGCTTATCCATCCCTCCCCACCCTCTTCGTGTCCGGGCCCAGAACGCCGATCAGGAACCTGTCTGCCAGGCGAGCGATTTTTTTGGTGACCCGCATGACGCAACGCATTGTGGCTGGGATGCTGTCGTCTGTCTAGTCAACGCAACGCAACCCGCCGTCGGCATTCATAGAAACAAAAAAAAATCTCTCAATGACTGACTCAAACTTTAGGAGGCGGTCAATCCCCTCCTGTCTGGTCTTTTGTCAGGGGACAATTTTTTTCGTGTTGGATGGATGGACTAGATTTTGGGTTGCATGGGTCATGAGGGATAATTCGACATGCCACCAGATCGAATCATCTGGCGGAACTGGATGGGAGATCTCGATCCGAGGTCCATGGTACCAAGAGTTCTTCAGTAGTCAAAACAACGGAGGCGTACGGGAATCAACCACTGCAGTGGCACAGTGGGTGCCAGGCAGTGTGAGAAGACGAGACGAGACGAAGACCACGTCAACCATGTCTGCATGCCTGCGGTTTTCGCCCGGCCTTGAGTTTCTGCAAGATGCAACGGCGGGTCGGGGATGGAGGGAAGAACTCGAGGACTCGATCATGATTGGAATTTTGGGATGCTCACATTTGTAGTTATGGAGAGGCGAGAGGCAGGGTAATCGTACTGTGTCGAGGGAGGCAGATAAGCTTGGAGTACTTGATTTTGGGTGGAAGAAAAGAGAAGAGAGGCTGCAAGGCTGCAAGTCGCGCATGTCAGTCACAATACCGTCACAGACTCATCGACTCTATTTTCTGAGTCACGGTTGATGCCGTAAGTGTCTGTAAGTTAGTTAATAACTAACAAGGAATAAGTTAACCCCACTACGTCCTATTACGGCTACGGAGCACTGGCTACCGCTTTCCCTCTCCTCTCCCTCTCCATTTTCCCCCCCTCCCCCTTCTTTACTTCCCTCCTTGTGTTCGTTCCTCTCACCACACCACATCCCCATTCCATCCAGGTGAGTTTCTCTCCTTACGCTATCTTGTTCCTTGCTGCCTATACACACCCCCCTACATCCATGATTTTCAGGTCATCTGTCATCTTCCTGTCAGATCAAGGAATCAGCATCATTCCCCCACCCCCCGGTGTCTGCCTGACGCCGTGCCCTTTGCCCTAAATTTCCCCCCTCCACCGGAAAAGTGTCGTTAAAATTCTGCACGCACCTCTTGTCTCCTCCCCCTCCCCCCTCAGCACCCTCCCCCTCGGACTACCCCCCACGACCCAGGAATTAAATCTCGCATCCCTTTTATCTTGATATCCGAGTTCTCGTTGCTCATTTCTTTTCCCGCTCTCTTTCAATCCCGCCGCTAACAGTTGGGCTGCTCGGGTCAGATCGTTTCTTATTTCTCGGAACTAGAAAAGACCCTGTTTTTTCTCTTTCCATCTTCACCACACTCTTCTTCAATCGCATTTTCAAGACCTTTGGAATCCACCAGTTCCAAAGGCAACTCAGGGCACCACGGCTTACACAGCCTCGCTTTCTCTTCGTCAAATTGTATCGCATAGACGTCAACGCGACACTCTTAATAACATTCCCCCTCCTTCTGGTCTCGATCTCCGTCCCTCCGTCCGGTGCGCCATTTTTTCATAAATTGACGCCCTCACAATTCACACCTTCGCCTTTTGAGCTGCCGCATAGGACTTCTCTGAAGGTTCTTCCTCTCAAGGAGGAAGGGTCTAGGAGGCTTGGTCCAGTCAACCTCGGTTGCGAAACTTTTCGTCCTCCCTAACACGCAGTCGCGTTCAAACAAACTTTTTTTCACTTCCTTTTTTATATCTTTATCTAAAGACCTATTCCGTGCTTCGTCGCAGCGCGCATGGTTATGGCACCGACTGCTTGTTTGCCAGCTGAAATATGCACCACTATCAAACATATTCCCGACAAAAACGACTATAATCTCAATTGGGATCATGGTCAATTCAGCTATCATGGAGAGGACGATCAGCCGCAGTCTAGGTTGGCTGCCAAGGAGCTTATCCTGGACGTCCTGAAGAAGCGTGCGTCTGAGGTGGACGTGGACGCCTGCGCCCCGGGCGCCGAAGATGCCTTTTATGTGGCAGATATGGGCGAGATTTACCGCCAGCATCTGCGCTGGAAACTGAACCTGAGCCGTGTCCGGCCCTTCTACGGTAAGTTCGATTCGATTGAAGTTGGACGACTACGGAGGAAGACAGCGACTGATGTCGATATTCATTAGCCGTCAAGTGCAACCCGGACCCTGAAATCCTCCGCCTCATGGCCAAGCTCGGCAACGGTTTCGACTGTGCCTCTAAGGCGGAAATTGACCTGGCTCTTGAGACTGGTATCGATCCGAGCCGCATTATCTACGCGCAGCCTTGCAAGACCAAGTCGTACCTGCGCTATGCAGCCAAGATGGGGGTGAAGCAGATGACCTTCGACAATGCCGATGAACTGTACAAGATCAAGTCATGCTACCCTGACGCAGAGCTATACTTGCGCATCCTTACGGATGATTCTTCCAGCATGTGCCAGTTTAGTATGAAGTTTGGAGCATCGATGGATGTCGCTCGTCACCTGCTGGAGGTTGCGTACCAGCTCGAGCTGAAGGTTGTCGGTGTGAGCTTCCACGTCGGCTCTGGCGCTGAAGACCCCAAAGCCTTCCTGAAGGCCGTGCAGGACGCGCGGCTGGTCTTCGATCAAGCCGCTGAAGTAGGCCACGAGCTTCACACTCTCGATGTTGGTGGAGGTTTCAGCCAGGATACCTTCGAAAAGTTCGCTGGTGTTCTTAGTGACGCTCTGGAAGTCTACTTCCCGCCGAACATCCGTGTCATTGCCGAGCCCGGCCGCTACTACGTTGCCAGCGCCTTCACCTTGGCTGCCAATGTGATTGCTCGTCGTGACGTGCGGGACCCCGAGAACCCGACGCAGGATGCGTACATGTTGTATCTCAATGACGGGGTGTATGGAAACTTTTCCAACATCATCTTTGACCATCAGCACCCTGTGGCTCAGGTCTTGACCTGCGACCCTAATGTCAATCCTCCGAATGCTGCGACTTCGGAGGGCATCGCCTACTCTATCTGGGGGCCGACCTGCGATGGCATCGATGTCATCAGCAAGCGCATCAACCTTCCGGCCCTCCTGAACGTAGGTGATTGGCTGTACTTTGAGGACATGGGAGCCTACACCAGGTGTAGCGCGACCCGCTTCAATGGTTTCTCGGACAACCACGAGGTGATCTATATCTCCAGCGAGGCTGGAGCTTCTGCTCTCCTCGAGTACTAGGTGTTTTTATCTCTGTCTCTGTTCATTGCGTTCTTGGATTTAATGCACACTTGTCTTTTGTCTTTTATCAAGCAACTGGTGCTGCTTGCGCAGCGCGCTTGCCTTGATTCACAACTTATCCATGTTTTTCTTTAATAGAGTAGATGCAGGGGGGATTCCCGAGTGGAGCTTGAATTTGAGCAGAAACCTGTATTTAGTGTTTATTCTCGGTGTGTGTTCAAACACAGCCATGTGGAAGTCCCGCACCTGCTCGTTCGATTGATTATATCTCGTTCATTACTGCTATGCTTCTGGCCCTTCCTTTCCAACCTCTAGAAGTCGTCTATCATTCTTCTGGGAATCAAGTCTAACTATCATAGAACCGAACGCTTCCGCCGCAACCCTTCAGTCGTTTCGTCCTCCGTCATAAAAGTCATGTGCCAAATATCTAAATCGAAAAGAAAGTGAGATCTAGTTCCAAAGTCATCACGCCTAGGAGCCAGCCCCTGCGCGCTGTATATGGTAGGTAAAAGAAGGTAAATAGATTGCATGTCGGAAGCTTTAGAGCAATCGCTCCACAACCAACTCGGCATCGTGGGATCCAGCAACCTGTACAAGCCCCCCGGCTTCGAGCTTCTTCTTCCACTTGGCGGATTCATAGCGAGCCAAAATCAACGTAATCCGGGCCACCACGGCGGGGTCAGCGTTCTCAGCGACGACGTCCGATGGTGTGAAGGTCCAGCGACCGAAAGCCCAATTCAGAATGTAATAGCGGGTGGCGGGGCAGTTGGCCGAAGCGGGAGCGCGCGTGACGGCGGCTTGATCTTCCGAGGATTCCGCGGGAGGCGCGCTGGTCGAACACCGCATGATGCCCTTGATGCGATAGACTTCTTCCTTGGAGGCGGAGCGAAGGAGCTGCTCCAGAGCCGGGATGTCGACGACGGTGGCATCGGTGGACTTGAGGTTGACGGAGAGGACTTCCACCTCGGACTGATGATCGTTCTTGTGCTCATGGTGCTCATGGTGATCATGGTTGTGATCATGGTCATGGTCATGGTCATCATGACGATGCTCCTCCTTGGCGAACAACGCCCCGTCAATCCCGAGCAGAACATCCTTGTCGACCTTACCGCGATCGGACTTAACCCACGGCGTGGGAACCTCGAGGTCCCCGACCCGGTCGAGGCAGATGTCGAAGCGCATCTCCGACACATTCTCCCACTTGTTGAAGATGATCAGATCCGTGTATTTCGCCTGCAGCTTCGCTGTGTACGAGGTGTCCTCGTACCCCTCCCAGTTCTCTACGTCGATGACGCTGATGACCCCGTCCAGGACGAAAGTGCCCGGGTTCTCGCGCGCCAGGCGGTTCACCTCCATGGCCAGGGTGGCGGGGAAGGCGCTCCCGCTGGTCTCAATCACGATGCGGTCCGGGTGGACCTCGGTGCGGAGCTGCTCGAGCGCGTCGCTCAGCTGACCGACGAGGTTGCAGCAGATGCAGCCGTTGAGGAGCTCGCGAACCCCGGAGATGGACTGCGTGGAGGCGAGTTGGGAGTCGACGGCGACGTCGCCGAATTCGTTTTTGAGCAGCGCAAGCCGGTAGGTCGCGGGCAGTTGCGGGATGAGGTTGAGGAGGAGGGTGGTCTTGCCGGAGCCGAGGAAGCCGGTGACGATGGTGATGGGGATTGGAGGCATTTTATGAGGAAAGAATGTAGAGCTCTAGAACAGGTAAGTCTATAAGTGTATCAGTATAAGTGTAATGAGGGGAAAAATAGAGAGAGTGATCGAGTGGAGAAGGCGAAAGAAGATAAGAGAGTGCAGTGCGGATGGTTGATTTCGGACGGCAGAATTCGGCGGTGGCGGAGGGGCTGCGAGGGGGTGGCGCTAGTCTGGATTGGTAGAACCCTAAGTCAACTGGCTTTGACTTACTTAGTAGATGATTCGTTTGTGAGCCCATCTTGGAAGTAATGGATTGGCTACGAGGGGACTGTAGAGGCTGTTTCAATCATGGCACTGTACGATGTACTGTATATCAGTGTGCGGAAGAATACGGTGCCGCAGTCACTTCGGACCTGAAGTGATCGGCCGTGGTAATTCCCAGTTGTTAACATGACCCCTGAAAAAAGGGCTAGGTGGCGTGATGCTCAACCGCTAAGTTACGTTTCGAGTGATAGTATGCTTTCAAGCTGGACTTTCGTTTTGCTGTGAAGTGAGACATCTGCCAAGTAATCGTAGCGCTTCATGATAGACAAAGCACCATACAACCACCCGCTGCCTGCTCGTATGTAAATCGAGTTCACCCCACCCCACCCCACAGTAGTAGAAATTATGCTCTTCCAAGCGTCCTGTCAAGAACAAGAAGAGAAGTGAACACAAAACCAGCCCGACAATCTCCGCCGTCGAGGCATGGAAATCCCAACCTGATCCACAGGGCTGAAAGTTGACTGCAATAGTGTCAGAGTTACCCGGCCAAAGTCCCCCCCCCCGATGATATCATCCCCCTCCGTCCCGTTTTAGTTACCCGCTTGATGTCATCTCCAGCCCTACCAGGCTACAGCCGATTTCCGGAATTGAATTGGGGGGGAGATTGTTTGATCTAGACCAGACCATGTCAACTTCCTCATTTCCCTCTCTCTTATTTTTATTTTCCACCTTAGATTGTACTGTACCTCGACCCTTTGCCTTTGTACTGTGCTGAACCCCGAACAACATTCCTAATTCATCATCCTTCTTCAATTACCTGTGACTGTGACCTTGGGATCTTGGGATCTTGGGATCTTGTGCTCGAGAATGAAAACCATCGACGACACGGCCCGCGACCTCGGCTGCGTGGCCCCCCACGAAGAAGACCTCCTCGAACGCCAACGACAAGAGCGAGAACGCGAGCTGCAGCTGCCAGCCCAAACCCAAACGCAAACGCAAACGCTAGAGCAGCAGCCGCAGCCGCAGCATACCCCCTCCGACCCGACCTCTATCACCTCAACCACGTCCACGACGACAAACACATCCACATCCACGTCCTCGTGTTCGGGAATCCTCCCGCCCCCCGAGAAAATCACCGAGGTGGCCAGTACCTCGATGCAGGAGGTGCGGACGATGCTGAACGCGGCGTACGAGAGCGAGCTGGTTGGGAAGGCGATGCAGCGGGTACGCGAGTATGTGCCTGGGTTAGCCGGGGGTGCGGGGGAGGGGGATGGTGAGTTTTTTTTGGTTCCACGGAAGATATCTGTGCGTGTTGTCGAGTTGGCTTGCTAACCCGGTTGCTTTTGGATGGATGAATGCAGGCGAGGGGGACCGATGCGCCGCCGACCCCGAGGAGATGCGCCGGATCGACGCGCTGGAGAAGGAACGGATCGTGGAGTTTCTGCAGGAGAGGACGCGGACGAAGACGGATCTGGAGAAGAAGTACCACCGTAAGGAGCAGCCGCCGCCGAGGCAGTAGCCGTGTGTTGTTCATTGGTTTGCATTCAAGAAAGGAATTGATTGATCGCGCTTAAGCCTGTTTTCTTTTCCCTTTGCTGTGTGTTGTGTACAGATCAATGGGATTGTGATGAATATCGACCCCCCCCCGCTTTTACTTCCCATAGTTACTCACAAGCCTCAAGCCGTTCTGTTCGAAAAGCTACGGCGACGCGACGCTACGCTACGCTACAGCAAAGCCCGCATCCCCGACTCCCCCCGCCGATCCAGCCCCAAGAACTCCGCCACCTGGCCCAGATGATCCACCCCGAAGAACCCCTCCGTCTCGCCCTGCGCATTCGTGCACTCGAACCAGGGCACCCCGAACGCCCCGGCCTGGAAGGCCCGGTCCGTGTTGGCGGTGAGCTGCGCTTTGATCGCGGGCGTTTGCATCTACTCGTTTATCAGCTGTCTCTTTTCCTGAGTATTCTCCGGAAGGGAGATAGTCCATGGTCAAGGGGGGAAAAGGAGCTTACAGCCTCAACCACCCGCCCCGCCACCTCCGCCCCCAACACCCGCTCCAAAACCGGCACGAAACACCCCGGCTCCGCGATCCGCCCGTCCCCCTCCACCCAGAACGTTCGGTAGAACGCCTCCTGCACGGCCTCGTACTGCGTCGGGGCGAGCTGCGCGACGGCGGCCAGCGCCCGTTGCGTGTGCAGCGTGCGCGGCGGGAAGCCCGGGGGTGGGGTCGGGATGATCGGCACTGAGAAGTAGGTCGCCCAGCGCGTGCGTTCGCGGTTGATCCAGGCGGATTTATCTGGGTAATCCACACATGGTTTTGTTAGTGGGGGTGTCCTCCGCGGGGGGGATACTATCGATTATGGCGTAGGCGTAGGCGTACGTACTCTTGATCTCCACGGGTGGAGTGTTTCCGCAGGCGTGCATCAGACCACCCAGGAAGATGGGGATGTAGGTTATCTTGCAGTTGGCGAAGATAGGGGAGTTCTAGGTTGTGTGGTTAGTAGAAGGTGGTTTATAGTTCTTGGGCGATACGTACTCGGAGGACGTGGAAGGCGATATACCCGAAGGGGCTGACGGTGTCTATGTAGAGGGTTATACTGGGGGCGGACATTCTGTGGATCTGACTGGTTGCTTAGGTAGATATCTGAGAGTTGGAGGATTGTTTTTGTTCTTATTTCTTTGAGTCTATGGTGGAGATATTCATAGCTATAAGTGTCGGTCGGTCAAAGGCAAGCCGGCAGTCATGCTCTCCTCCGCACGGCTGACTCAGCGCCCGCAAGCCGAGGTTGTTGGTGTTGATTAGTCGTGTTGGGTTGGGGTGCATTCGGGGCATCTGCAGAGCACAAGTATAAGCTCTACAAGCGTTCTCGTGAGAATGCATGGGGTCACATAAAACTGAGCCCAATCGGGTCAGCGTTTCTAAAATCCCCCATGCATCTCGAAGTAAGCCTTATCCGAAATCAGATTCCAAGAAAACACACATGCAAGCAAGCACACCGAGTTATTAGGCCATTCTTGTCTTTACTATTTTGTGAATGAGTGTATACTAAAATGCTGGAGTATAAGTAAGAGGGCATGCGAGTATGTAAGCCTGAATGCTGGATCAAGCACCCCAAGCACATGTAGGATGGGGGACTCAACAACTCCGGACCATTTGATAAGCAGAAGCAGCAAGCAGTTGCAGTCATACTTCTGGGTCGCTCTTGCCGTCCCTCGACGATTGTCAACCATCTCTCCCCATTTCCCAGTCCATCCATAATGGCTTCCTGCAAGCATAAATCCTATGCAGGAATACGAAAACCAAGCCCAGCGAGCACAAGCAAAGATGCAGGACTCTGAGCGAAGAACCCCAAGTGTAACACCACCCATCGAACCACTTATAGCAGTGCCCCAAATCTGACTTTGGCATAGCATACATCGACACCCCAGATCCCCTTCAATCCTTGTTCAAGTTGCGAATCGATCATTTCCCCGGCCCGGAAGAGGGCTTCGCATTCGCCGACCCCGAGTCGATATCTGTTGCAGAGCTCGATACCCTTGGCCAAGCGGAATGGTTGCGCCCGCCTGCAGTCGTGCAGGGACATGCGGTTAGGCCTAGACGAGATATGGTCGATCCAGGAGGGATCCCTGGTTCTGTGCGTCAACCCATCCTTTACCATATCCGACCACGTGCAGCCGAGATGGGATGAGCTTGAGCTCGTGGCCGGAGAAATCCTGGTCGTCTGCCGCCTGTATGCCGATTTGTGGGCTCTTTGTGCCAGTGCTTCGTTTCCTTCCGCCGCAAAATCCAACGAGACGGCCAATGCCCAGCCAATGAGCCTTGCATTCGTGCCTCTCTGCGCAGTGACACTTGCAGCGAACTTCAGTGCTTTCAATCGAAGATGCATCGAACATGATCTTCGCGACCCCAGTGCTCCGAGATTTCCAGGAAACGGACTCCCTGTGATGCCGCCTCCTCGTTCGTGCAGCCTCATTGATGGTATGCAGCTGGCTCAGTCTGACAGACTGCATAACCGACTTCCAGAGGTAGTATCCGATACGCTCAACAAGGTGTTGCCGGAGTCCGTCGAAGCTGATTATGTGCCCCTTGACCTTCATGTCGGAGCCCTCCTGTCCAATCTGAAAGTTAGACGCAATCGCCAGTCACAATGTCTAGGTATACCCGCAGCGGTTGATCCGCAACCGCAACCCACTGAGCCAGATCCAAAACCTGCCTCCTCTGCAAGCCATAGATTCAGAAAACTGCTTGGACTTGCGTGATCCAAGGTCATTCGCACTGGTGGTACTATTTGTGAATGCGATAGACAGTCTCCATTAGAGAAAGACCCGAGAGAGCTGGTCATGAAAGGTTATGAACACAGCTTCATCCATGCTAGATGTCGTGTTTGCTCCAAATCATTCGACGCCTTGAAATGGGGTTGCTCGCACTGGACTGAAGCACAGTAGTTGACTGGCAGCAACTCAGCCACGAGGACAGGTCGAGCCAGCACTTGGAAGTGTCAGATCTCATATTGTAACTACGTTCACATGGCAGACAAGAATGAATTATTAGAGGTTGACCAGGTAGTTCCCCCAAGAGATTCCCATTAATTGAAAGGCCGGATAAGATGAAAGCTCACTGAGACTGTGATCAATAATAGCCTTCGGTATGATTTTTCATCGAGTCCAGGCCATTGCTTAGAATCCGCAAGTGATTTTCGATTCCCGTAGTATGGAACATCTAGTCCACCAGTTATCAAGTGTTTAGGTGTGCTTTTGGTCGTTCAATGGGCGAATGGGCGGTCTTGAGGACCATCAGGTCCCGAAGCACATTAGAACCAATGATGAGTGAGATCGCGTCACCAATGAAGGCAAGATGCCTTGCGGTTGGATGGCTTGAACAAGAGCCTCGAGAAGTAGCTTCTTAGCCTTCAAGCATCCCTGCCTGGAGGTGATTTAACCCTGTGTAGGAGTGCCACGGAGGCCAGAGAAAGCAATAGTGACAACGCCTATTGCTGTCAGCCCTGATGCCTTCTCTCTCGCCCAAAGCAATGTAGTTCAATCTGATCCTGTTGATCATGCTCGGATGGAAGCTGCATGTGAGCCAGATGCAGACTGCAGATATTTGCCGACCGCATGAGATCAAAGAAGACGGTTTCACTTTCGTGTCGTCTCTTCAACGCCACCAGGATGACTGCATCCGGCGACATCTGCAGCAAGCGGTTTAGCACCGAGACCAACGCAGGTAAGCTGTCCGCATTGTAGGTACAATCTGAGACAAGGATCAGGTCAATGGAGCCACCGCATAAATCTTCTGGAAGCGGCTCATCCCAGTCCAGAGTTTGGAATTGGAGTGCCGAGGACTTGGCAGGTCGCGCAACCGCAATATTCTTCGTCACAATTTCTTCGACCTCAGGAAGATCGGTGAGCGTGACAGAGCACTCGGGAAGAAGCTCTGCCAGCGCGATTCCTACAATGCCACATCCAGAACCCAGTTCGATGGCGTGAAGCGGGCCGTTGCGCGATCCTCGAAGAAGCGCTTGCAACAGTGGCGCAGAGATCTCTGCGTCTCCCGCAACTATCTTCTGAAGATAGACAACTGACGCTACCGCTGCATCCCTGGGACATATGGGAGTTAGCTGAGAACAATGGCCCCCTTGGATAAAGAGGTGTCTCACCAGATATGCCGGGCGATACTGTTCCCGGTTTCTTCCCAGATTCGGAGGCCGAGCTTGTCATCTGGCCCAAAGCGTCGTTCAACGAGCTTCTCCGCTACTGAAGTCTGTGATCCGCCAAACGGAGCACTCCAGCCTGATACAACTAGCGGAACTTCGGACTTTCCAATGAGTGAGTCTGGTAACGGTGCCTGCAGCTTGACGGAATTGGCAGGGGATACTGCAAGCACGGCTGTGTGTTGAGACAGGTTGGCGGGAAATGGTCCCAGCGATATTGGTACTTCACGCTTGCCTGCGTTCCATGTCATGGGTTCCTGATACAGGACCTTTCCTGTGCCATGAGCGACCAGGGTCACATGCAAATCCACATCTTGAGTCAGGAAGGCATCCCCGAGATCGGTAGTGATGCAGACCAGCGCGGAGACTGATACAGCACCTTTCTGCTTGGCAAACCTGGGGGTTTTGAGGAATCGAATATAATAAACCATGATCACGAAGAATAATCCCTGAACTGCATCCGAACAGATTAGAGATGCCCATCCCGAACAGGAAGGCGGCCCGTGCCCCGTGACCCGTGACCCGTGACCGTGCGGCACGTGCTTGGACCGTTGGTGCTGACTAAGGAGCGGGAACGATGACATCGGCGTCTTTCTTCCTCAGGCTGCCATTCCTATCCATTTCCCATGGGTTGGCTGGTTGGTTGCTTTGGTTATTCGTTGTGTCTTTCTCTGATCTCTGATCTCTGAGAGCTCATCTCTCTTTCCACCAATGCGGTCTCTACCTATCAACCGACTGCCGACTTCACTGTTTAAGTCTCTCCCCCATCATCGTCGCGCGGACTTGATGGGGCCAGTTGGTTGACGTTCTTGATTGAAAGTGATCTGAGCCTTATCATTATTTACCCCTCGGCTGTGGCATGACAACAATTAGTTAAAGACGTTAAGCCAGCAACCGTTGTCCCTTACCTAGTACCGCCCACGCCCTACCCAAACCCGCCCCCGGCTTAACATCATGATGCGATCAAAGGACCCTCGAGTCCGCCAGAGGATAAATCAAATCTCCCACAACCTTGAATCCGCAAACGAGACAGCCCAGGAGGGCCTCTACACCTTCTCTCACAACTATATCCTGCCGTGTTTCACGGCCATCGGCAACTGCGTCTACAGCTGCACGGCACCCTGTCTTCCGACCCGGGAGGACCAGCTGCGTCGGCGCCGACGCGGCCGCGCGGAAGCGAACTTTGACTTCTATGACGATTGGGACAATGAGGACTCAAATGCTGGACTGCTGGGATGGGGCACCGATGAACTCGACCGCCTGCTGGCTGGCAGTGGTTTGGCCCGTGGCGGTGCCGAGCAGCCTCGCCGGCAGAGACGGATGAGCTACGGGACGCGGCGTGTCCGTCGGAAGAGCACGGCTCTGGCCCAAGATGAACGGAATGACCCAACCGTCATCCCCAGCTCCTCGTTCCTGGGATTCCTCGAGCGGTTCCCCTGGCGCTTCGGGGCGCGCGGACTGAAATACCGTCCCTCGGCGGCGGATCTGCAGGAACATCCGGCGGGGGGACTGCGGAGGCACGTCTACGAGGATGAGCCGCTCATGGAGGCCGCCGAGGATTACGATGCCCAGCCGTCCGGGAGCAAAGGCCGGTATCGGAGTTCGACCCAGTCGTCGCGGGAGACCACGAACTCGCTGAGTTCGCGCGGGGATTTGATTCCCAGCGATGACGAAGAGGATGCTGTGCCGTTGGATGATGAGTTTGCCATGGCGTTGGGCAGCCGTCGAGGAACGGGATTGGACTCGATCGACATGATCGGGGATAAGCCGGCGAGCATGCGGTCCGCGTCCGGAACGTTTAGTCTGGGGACCACCAGTTCGTCCAAGGCCTCCAAGAAGAAGCAGAAGAACCAGCGGAGCAGCCGGCTTCGTTCCCCGCAGGAGTCCTACGTAGATATCACCCGTGATGATAGCACGCCTTCATTGGCCGATCTCAAGAAGGAGGAGGAGCAGGCGGCGTATGAAGAAGAATCGGAGATTGCACGGAAACGGCTGGCCGCACAGCAGTTGGCATCGAACCGTGGTCTTGATCATCAGGTTAGTCGTTGGCAGTTGCTGCCTTGCGCGGTCTTCAGACTTGTGCTCTAACTCCATTTCACTAGCTTTCTTCATCGGCGAATCATGGCACGTCATCAGATGTAACCCACCAAGACACTCACCAGTCCACGCCTGGGTCACCAGCAGAAGACCCTCCTATACGAGATCATAATGGTCGTTCTGAATCACGGCCACTGTCCATAACAACCGAAGACAATTCACAAACCGAACCATTCCCGCCTTTCCCTACAACACCTGAACCCCACGATACGATGGTTGCATCACCAAATAGCGGCTCCCATGGCCAGAACAATGACCATGATTCAGCATTAGCCACTGACCCTAAACCCCACTGAACATGACTGCTTCAAGGTTGTGCTACTCCCAATGCTAGTCAAAGGACAGACTGTCGCCCATCACGGTTTGCGGGTCAAACCTTGGGCACTAGGTTAATAATTCTTTGCCACATACGCAGTTACTCAAGATTATCTATAGTATTAGTGGAATATGTAATATGAAATGACTTACGAGAGAGATTGCGCCTTTACTTAGGGGACCAGCTGCCTGTGCAGCGCGGTATATGAATCATGTTGTTCTGGTAAAACAATCCCGCTCGCAACCCACAATTTGATGTTCTTTACCATCTTTCATTTGAATGCACAACCAACTGGCACCATCACAGATGATATCCACCTTCCATAACCCCAACACCACCACCACCACCCATAGCCAACCCGTCCGGTGAAACGAACTGGTTCGCGCGTTTCTGCATCTGGTCCGCGCCGCTGCCGCCGCCGCCGCCGCCGGAGATATCCTCAAATAACCACGGCGGATTCGCCAGCGACAAGATTTCCTGGTCAAAAATGGCCCAGGAGTAGTCCCCGGCCTCGGACTCTGGCGGCGGGTAGCCGATAGTCAAAGCTACCTCCGGCGGCGTGTGCATCGCCTGCAGATTGGATTCGAGGCGCTCCGCTAGGACGTGATGGATGCTTGGAATGGACGGATGGCTTGGTTTCAGCTTGGCGATGTGTTTCTCGATCAGGTAGCGGTCTGACTCATAAGCACAGATCGTGTAGATGGATTAGCAACTGTCTTTATTGGTCCGAGGGTGTTTTCAGGATGAATCCATGATCAGAAGACTAGATTGAAGAGTTTGTCACTAAAGAAAACGTACCGTCTGGGTGGGACATACCGTCCTCGATGCCGCGGAGAAGTAGCATAGCCGCGAAGGTGATCATCTATGTATGTTATTCGTCTTCGTTCGGATATTTGTTTGGTGTGTCTCATGTGTGTTTTGGGGGGGGGAAGGAGGTTGTAAGGGGGACCGTACGATCAAGTCCCAATTCGACCAGATGCTCGAGTCGTCCAACCGCAACCGCACCACCGCGCGAGCGGACACCAGCAACTCGTGTCTCTCGGCCGGGGCGATATCCGCTGAAGAGCCTAGATCGAAGCCCCGTGCTGGGTGGTAGATCGATAGCACGTAAAGCTTGTGCAGGTGGTATTGGAGGAGGATGAGGATGCCTTGGCGGTTGGAGGGGGTTCGCTCTGGATTTGGGTAAGCCGGTGGGTAAGTCGATTGCAGCGTTTTGAGTTTTGTCCAGGGACGGTGTCTTGATGATAAGGATTAAGGAAGGGGATAGGGGTGTCCACTCACGCGATGTCCTGTTATACCTGATCAGCCAATCGTCCAACTTTCTTGCCCACAGGCGGATGACCCGGGCGTCTTCGTCCGTGAAGGAGGTTCGGATTGAGGGTGGATTGTCGGGTTCCCGTGCGCTGCTCACGAAGGACCAGATCGTGGGAAGGCCCCTGCCGACGAAGTGGCTGAGGCCTTGGTGCATCATCTGCGAGAGGCCGCGGAAGGCATGCTCTTCATCCTCGTTGTCGTTGCTGTGGAAGGAAGTGAGGGCTGCGGTTGGAGGGTGTTCCGGCAGCAAAGGGCAGCACATGTGCATGGATGCGTGCTCGATGTCGATGACCTGGAGGCCGGAGAAGAGGCCGCCCCAGTCCTGACTCGTGCCGGTTTCTGCGGTGGTGGGAAGGGTGTGATCGAGGAAGAGGCGGTAAGCCAGGGCGATCCAGTGTCCGGTGACGGGCACGTAAGCTTCGGAGCTGAGGCTGGCCATGATGAGACCGAGGATGTTCTGGTAGGCCATGGGCTCTGTTGGGGATTGGGTGGTTTGGGGGCTGTTGTCGGGGAGTATATTAGGTGGGAGGACGAGCTCGGCGATGGCGCAGCATTGAGCGACGAAATAACCCTTTGCAAACTCGCCGAGGTCTTTCGACGATCCATGCAAGGCAGATATGTAGAGGATGGACGCTAGGAGAAGGGGAGATGGCGATGCGAATGCGCTTTGGTCTTTGAGGAAGTGGAGGAGTGGCAGGTTCTCGACGAAGCTGAGTGGATGTCAATCGGCTCAGCCCTGACACAGAGAGGCGTTGATGGCGAACTGCTCACGTACGAGTTCCAGAGGTGTCTGACGATAGGACGGGTCCAGATCGCATCCTCTTGAGGTGGCCGCGTGATGCTCTTCAGATGTGTGACAGCGTTCCATAGGCGAGGACACCCGGTTCTCTCGTCATCATCTAAGCCTTCACTGATAAGCGGCAACGAGCCTTCTCTTTGGTATATACCTAATCTTCTTTCGATGCGATCTAATCGGCTGAGGATCGACGGCATCTCGGGGCTGGGATCCATCGATGTCTGTAGTATGGGCCCCAAGTCTCGAGCTGTAGTTGCAGCCTAAGCATTGTAAGCAGAGATTGACTTTTACCGGCAAATTCAGAGTCAAACCACCTCACATTTGATCTAGGTCTGAAAATGCAGGCAGCATTGGTGTGGCGACATCGGCGACATGGCGGCTTGCCGTCAGCCACGCATTTCATCTCGTAGGCAGTCAGCAGCGTTGATGTATGTTTTATTTATGGATGCATAAACCAGTAACTGACCTTCAATCTGCGGCAGTTGACTATTAGAGTGCATTAGTTCACCACTTTGGCGCGAACATGAAAGGCTTAGGCATATGCAACTTGCCGCATGCTTTAGTCGGTTTAGGCCCATGGGCAATAGCGCCAGTCTTTTTCATCGTCGCATTACTTGCTGCTGTGCATGCGCTTTTCAGCTCTTGGGCACGAGAGTGAGGAATTGTAGTCTTGTATTGCAGGTAATCCTTCGACAGGATGAAAGTGAACAAGCAAGTGTTGCGCGACACTAAGAAACTAAGAACAAGTCCGTCACCACGTGAGCCGGGGCTAATCAATATGACTCGACATTATCATTCATGCTGATAAGTCAGGTAGATACCACCCGTCTATATACGAGGGTCCAATAGTAATACCAGTTGTGTTACGCCCGTGACCTTCGCCAATGACCGAATTGTGGACAATCCACACATACAAAGTGGCCCTGGCTAAGCTACGCCTGTTCTCACGTTTTTAGTCCGCCTTGCGTAGGCTTCAAGGAAGTCAAGGAGGGTCTGAAAAACGGAAATAAGAAGTGTACCATGAGACCTAGAGAGACTCGTCAGCCTCAGGTTCACATTCTTGTTGATCTTGCGCGTGCTCCTATAGGAGGACCAACCATCTGCCAACATGGTGTTTCGAGTGGAGATGGGGTAGGTTGTTCTTGAAATGCGCGTTTGTGAGCAGTCGGGGAGAGTGACAACGAAACCAAGACAGCCGAGAGAAGAGTGAGAAGGGTATTATGCCGACAGAATTCTATATACATGATCTTTCGAAGAGGGCGGACATCATAAAAATACATTGGAAATATGGTACACATGGCGAACAATGAATCGCCATGATGGAGGTCATGAGGTCAGAGGTGTTGGGGTGTTATGCTTGGCGCAGTCTCAAGGATCCGGTATCTGCAGATTTAAGCAGATGCAGCGGCACCTTCGGCATGTTCGAGTCCCTCCTCTGCTACAGTCATGGAAAGCCTTCGCATATCCCAACCATCGGACTCTATCCAATCTTTCTTCTCACCTAGCAGGCAGACAGATCGCTGAGAGCCATCAACCAGGAAGGCCTGTGCTGCCTCGTTAACATCCTTTGCGGTGACATCAAGGACCTGTTCTCTCCAGCGCTGGTCCATTTCGTGGGTCACACCACTCATGAAGTACCTTGCGCCTTCCTCGTCGACGCTCATTGGGGCGTCAAGGCCTTGGAAGATACCCAGCTTAGCCTCGTTGAGCTCCCGCTCCGACCAAGCCCGGTCTCGGGCGAAAATTCCGCTGTTTTGGAACACCTTCAGGGTGTTGGTGGGGTTGGGATCCCGGTAGCTGGTAAAGGCAAACATTCCCTTGACTGGGCCGTTACTGGCTCCTGCACCGTAGGCACCACCCTTTTCACGAATCTCCGGATGGAGGTAGTTGTGCGTCAGGAGTTGAGAAAGAACACTAAGCTTGGCGCTAGCGGAGTGCACAAATGGAACAGTGTGCATGGCTAGGCCTGAATAGTACACCTTGTATGGCATGTCGAAGAACGTTTTAATCATCTTGGAACCCCTCACTGGGGAGTCAAAGGCCGCTGTGGGCGAGCGAACCTGGGGCAAACCCGCGAACCACTTCTGCAACACGGATTCATTCTGACCGGCGCTCTCAGGCTCGCAAACCATGCGGACACGAAGACCGGACGAGCTAGAGATGGCGAAAGCTTGGATTGTGCGGAGCTTCTCGATCAACTCTGCCAAACGCTCGGGCGACGTTTCCGCGTCCCGCAGGAGGTTTGCTGTTGCCTGCAGTTGTGCGAGACCGGACTGCTGCTCTTGTACCCAGAAACTGCGCGAGAGGTTTGCCGCAGCCGCGTTTAGAGCGAAACGGTGACCCGTTCCTGCAACGGCATCCAGGGCACCATTGGTAGTCATTCGGAGCAACTCTTGAATCATCGCGGGTGCACTGGGACTTGTGAAGTCGGTTTCGGTCACAAGGGTGGTCAGTATCTGCAACATGTCGGGGATATTCTTGTCCAGAGCAGATCCGGAGAATTGAAGACCTTCATTGAATTTTCCAAGCTCCGTTGGGGAAGCTGTGTGGAACGTGGAGGTGGAGATACCTCCGGTCTTCAATTTGATCAAATCTTCCCATTGCTCCATGGACCGATTTGCTGTACCAAGTCGCATGACACAGTCGTTGAAAAGTGGCATCAGCAATCGAAGGTCATCAGGGAGGCCATCGAATGTGTTCAAAGCCTGGAAATAGGTCAAGCCGTTGGTAGGGGCTTCACGCCAAAGAACATCCACGCCGTCAACCTTGGATTCCCGAACGGGCTTGCGCTCCTTCTCGCGCGAGATGTCAGACACCCGAAGGGAAGGCAAGCAGCTCAGGTCAGCGTTCTGTGCCTTTTCTTGAACCTCTAGTAGCTGAAGTTCCTCCGCCTTTAGCTGGGCAATAGCCTTTTCCATGGACCCATGCTGTTTAGCGAGTTGACTGAGCTTTGTATCCTTCCGCACCAATTCCTGCTCGTCAAGCTCCTTGTTGAACGTAGGTGTGCCAACCATCGTGAATGTCAGACAATTATCATTCATAAGATACTTCTGCATCAACGACTCCAGGTAGCCGCCCTGCGCATACCTCCTCTTGAACTCATCAATCACTTCATTCCAAGCTAGCTCTTTCATAGGATTAGATCCATTGAACCAAGAGGAAATTGTTTTCTCCATGACACCAATGCCGAAGTTTGACGTTTTGTGCCTGAGTGCAAGTTCAAGCTGGTGAAGGATACCTTGGACCTTCTCATCACTGAATCCCGTAGCGAACGATTCCTCAAAGACAGTCTGTATAGCGGTCTTGACCTGAGAAGCCGATTCTTCGCTGACACCAGTCACACCGACTGAAAATACCGGCACGCGGCCGGAAGTATCGAGTCCTGTGTTGGGACTGAAAGAAGAGCCAAGGCCACTTTCAATCAAAGCCCGGTACATAGGTGAGCCATAACCATCCAGGAGCAGAGAAGATACAATCCCGGCCGAGAAAGCCTCCACAACATCAGTTGAATCTCCCATATACCACGATGTTGATGTCTTGTGCTGCTTGTCTTCGCCAGCAAATGTGTCGATGGGGCCTGGAACAGTCACACTCTTAGGACCCTGGCTAAGGTCAATAGGTTGTTTGATAGAAGTATCCGCTTCGCCATTTTGGAATCCATCCAGAACCTTGCCGATTTGCTCGAGATGGTCAGTTAAAGGCATATCACCATATGTGAAAATTTTGGCATTGCTGGGGTGGTAGTTGCGCTTGGAGAAGTCGACTAGTTGTTTGTGCGTCAAATCGGTAATGTACTGGGGATCACCACCCGAGTTGTTCAGTGCTGGGATGATGCTCTCTTTATATTTGATATAATAGAGGTAGTTTGCGTCCGAAATTTGTCCCTTCATCTCATTGTATACGACGCCCTTGAAGAGGATGTCCTCGGGGTTGTGAGCCGTCTGACCCTCGATAGCACGGGGGTCCTCTGGCCCCAACCGCCAACCCTCCTGCCTGAAATCCTCCTCCTTAAGCAGAGGATGGAAGGTGGCGTCCAGGTACACTGAGAGTAGGTTCCGGAAGTCCTGCTGATTCGTGGTAGCGAAAGGATATGTGGTGTGGTCGGCGGAAGTGAATGCATTCATGAAGTTCGACAGCGAGCGGGGAAGCATCTTGAAGAAAGGGTCGCGGATAGGATATCTGAAGTGTGGTAATATGTGAGCCATCGTTCTAGTGCGACGTGGGAAGTATGCTCACAGCCGTCTGAGTGTACTTACTTCTCGCTACCGCAGAGCGTGGTATGCTCTAGGATATGAGGAACGCCAGTAGCGTCCGGGGGATTGGTCTTGAAGCCAATTCCAAACACATTGTTCTTGTCTTCCCTGGCCACGTGGAGGTAGTCCGCATCGGTCTTATCATGCGTTAATCGGACGGCCGTCAGGTGTAACTCCGGTACATGTTTCTTTTCTTGAACGGTGAAGCCGTGAACCTTGTCTCCGATTCCGGGAAAGTTGTCTAGATTTGTCACGGTTGAAGCAGATCTTCTCATCTGACCCCAGCGAAGGAGAGTGCTGCCAGAACCCAGCAGACGTCCGTTGGCCGACTTCGGTAAAGCAGGCATGAGACCTCTGCTCACCCCCAGAGTTGAGCGCAACATGGTGACTCGTTTCGGGAATTTAAATACGGCGGTTCTTTCACAAAGTATGGCACGACTGACGTACTGTAGCGAGTCCGCAGCAGCTTCTTTGCGCACCGAAGGTTGTCGGTTGCCGTTCACCGGACAGACCGGGCAGCTCGGAGATGAGTGCGAAGATCTGGAACGCGCAACGAATAAACGATTGTACTCTGCTAGACCAAAGGTTGCAGACCAAGAGAGTGGAACAAATGAATGCCCCAAAGAAGTAGAAAAGGAGATAAGAATACAGAAAGAGAATGATAGGAAAGAATTAAAAAAATGGTTGGAGTGTTTGAAAGTAGCTCCGTCGGCGCGACTCAATTGCTTAGAAAGACAGGCGGGCAGAAAGCGACGGACGGTTGTGCCAAGAGAAGTTTTCGAAAGAGGCTAGTGCAGGTCAAGTGCGCATCCCCCCCTCTTACGACTATTCCATCCAATCTTCCCCGGCAAGTTCCTCGAAGAGTGACCCGTTCGTCTGTCGACTCTTCTCGCAGTCGACACTCTCGCCCAATACCTTTCGTTCTGTTCCGCCTTAAAGGCATAGGCACGCCTTCGCTGTTGATTCCCGACGCCTCCCGCAAGTGAGCTTCCGGTTGGCTTTGCAGGACTTGCATTCTAGTCAACCTTCGTGGGTTCCCGTTACCTCCGACTTCTGCAATTATAGGAAGAGGCCACCGAGGTTCTCCACTAGACTCGCCGGGTGGATACGAGTTGCCTTCAATCATAACACCTGCTACCGACTATTGTTCGCTTTGTCGCCGCGAAGAGTTTCCCTTCTTGTCTTGTCCTCGCGGCTATCGGAGGAAGTGACGCATTCGTCCCTGCCATCTCCCGTCAAATCGTTCCAACCTGGCAATTTTCACCGCTGAGAATTGGCCACGCGACCACTCTCAACAGCATCACAACCGCATACCTTTCGAAATATTCTTACGACAAACGGCGAACCATGTCGTCCGCGGCCATGTCCAAGAAAAAGCAGGGGAAGAAGGTTGCAGATCCGAATGAGACCTCGAAGCTGCTGGCCGCCAAAATCTCGCAGCTGGAGCAAGATGCTGCGGGAGAGAAGGACCAAGAGGCCGAGATTGGTGCGTGCACCCACTGATTTCTACGCCTGGTGTATCGATCACGCCATTGAATCTGGCTGGCAAAACGTGAATGAATCTGGTTGCTGATACTCCCACAGAGCGCGAGGTTAAGAAAGCCACGAGAGATCTCAATCAACTCCTCAACAATATCGAATCCCCGATGACGCGGCTCGAGACTGTGCACAAGAAATACACCGAACTTCTGGCCGACATGAAGAAGCTGGATCGCGACTATGCCAAGAGCAAGAAGCGGGCAGATCAACTCCAGAAGGACCAGGACAAGGGCAAATCGGAACTGAATAAGACCGTCACTATGAAGGACAAACTTGAGAAGCTGTGCAGAGAGCTCACAAAAGAAAATAAAAAAGTGAAGGTGGGTAGCTACAACTCGCCAGCATCGCATTCCCGAATCGAACAATGCAGAACCAGGGCTAAGGGAAACCGTGCACGCAATAGGACGAAAACAAGAAGCTCGAAGAAACTGAGAAGAAAGCAAGGCTGATCGTCAACGAACGCCTCGACTCGCTTCTGTACGATATTCAAGACGTCATGGCTGCCAAAGGAAATCCCCGCAACGAGAAAGTGGATATCGATTTGGACGAAGCGTGAGTTGTTCTTTCCCAGTCTGCCTATTGAGCTGGTATGTTAAGCTCTCTTCATACCACAGTCTGCGTGCGAAGATCAAAACGATCGGCGAGAAGTTCGAAATGCGTGAACTACACTACAAGGCATTGCTCCGTAGTAAGGACGCGGAGATACAATGTCTTACCGCCAAGTACGAAGAACAACGGCGAGCAGCGGAGAACGAAGCTGCCCGCTGCCGGGCATTGAGTTCTCAGGTGTCAACTTTCTCGCATACTGAGGCGGAGTTGCGCAGCCAGCTCAACATCTACGTCGAGAAGTTCAAACAGGTATGGCTTGATACTTGATGGCTGTTCCAGCCAAGTCTCTATTTTGACCGCTGGTAGTAATAATATGGCAGGTGGAGGATACGCTGAACAACAGCAACGAGCTCTTCCTTACATTTCGCAAAGAGATGGAAGAAATGTCCAAGAAAACTAAACGCTTAGAAAAGGAAAACCTCACTCTCACGCGCAAGCACGATCAGACGAATCGCAACATACTGGAGATGGCTGAGGAGCGCACAAGAAACCATGAGGAGCTGGAAAAATGGCGGAAGAAAAGCCACCACCTCGAAGCGCTCTGCCGACGAATGCAAGCCCAGGGGCGGGGGCAAGGTCTTGCGGCGGATCTGGAAGGCGATGACGAGGGTACGGAGAGCGAGTACGACGAGGATTACGAAGACGAAGAAGACGATGAGGGAATTAGCGATGACGATTACGAACTGGAAAGCCGGGACGGCGACCTGAACGGAGACCGCAACGTTGCTCAGCAGCCCGAGAAGCCTGTGTTCGGACCCCCTCCGCCACCTAATCTACTGGAAGCGCGAGCCAACGGAAATAAGGCGATGATCAACGGATGTCACTAATACCCTTTTTTCCGCGCAGAAGTTGTTTTCGAATATGGTCTTTTGGGCTTGTTCTTGATATCAAATGGCAAAGGGATTTCCTGGCGGCACTTACGCCACTGCCATCAGTCTGAGGGTGGGTCATGGGCCTGATGAGCTGAAAATGATACATTCCCTGAACGCTATGAGTTGACCCGAATAATGTCAATGCTGGCCTCTTCATGTAGGGTGCCATCGCTGCTCGATGCAACACTTGTAGTCGCACCAGGTGTTGCAAAGAGAATCGGTGCTAAGGCTCCTCATCCAAAAACCCATCAAGGCCATTGAATTGCAGTAAGCACTGTCAGAGCCATAGGCCCTTTGCGAGTTGCGATCCTTTGACATTTTGTTCATTTTTATTTCTGTTCGTGTACTTGTACATGCTAGATCACCAGCATCCGGACGTACTTATTACGTTACCATGAGAAAATACCACACAAAGTGATGTCATGCCAACTACTACAAAGATTCCTTTCCACAACCTCATAGTCTACTGGCTGGGCCTTGTATGTAGGAGCTCCCCTTCTTCAGCATCTCGACAGCTTGCTGGACCATCTCTTCCACAATCTCAGCCGCCGGCTTGATACTGGCCACATTCGCTGAAACATCACCCATCAGGAACGGTAAGTCGACATCCTTATCGTTCTTGAGGTCATATTCCATGGGGACAATGCCCTGGGCCGTCAAGCGAGCGATCTCCTCCGGCCGCCTCTCCCAGTCCTTGACGTACTCATTCGGCAAAACTCGCAGCGGCCGCCCCGACACGACGAGAGTCCGCATGGTATCCCCATAGGTGGCGCCCACGACGGCCTCCTTATGCAGCCGACTGGCCCCGCTCTCCTCGGACGCCACGAAGCGCGTCCCGACCCAAACGCCCGCGGCCCCCAGCATCAACGCCGCCGCCAGACTGCGGCCATCGTTCACGCCACCCGCCGCGACCACGAGGGGCGGCTGGCCCGTCAGCCGACTCCGGTACCGCTGCGCGACATCCACAACGGCCGGGATGAGCACCGAGAAGGGGATGTCGCCCGTATGCCCGCCGCCCTCGCCGCCCTGGGCGCACACGATATCCACGCCGCGCGCCAGCGCCTTTTCGGCGTGCTTGGGCGCCCCGACCATGTTCATCACCAGGATGCCGGCGTCGTGCAGTCGCGTGATGACGTGCGCCGGCGGCACCCCCACCGCCGACACGAACAGCTTCGCCCCCTGCGCGATCACCACCTCGATCAGCTCGTCCAGCTGCCCGTGCGTGTAGTCGTGGTTCGTGGCGCGCGCCCCGCCGCCCACCTGCGGCAGCGCCAGGTCCACCCCGAACGGCAGCGACGGGTCCCGCAGCAGGCATTTCAACTCGGTCAGGATCTCAGAGAGCTGCGATGGCGTGTAGCCCAGCCCCCCGACGGTGCCTAGCCCTCCCGCGTTGGAGACGGCGGCGGCCAGCGGCGCGCTGGAGGCCCGCGCCATCCCTGCTAGGAGGATGGGGTGTTGGATGTTGAGGAGGGTGCACAGCGGGGTTTGGAGGGACATGATTGTTCTTGGGTCTCTGGGTGGTGGGTAGTTGCTGGGCTTTTATTTGGCTGGGTGTTGGTTTTTATTGGGTTGTGGTGGTGGTGGTGGTGGTGGTGGTGAGTTTGGAGGTATAGAAGTAGTAGCACTCGCTGCTTGCTGGCCGTGTAACGCGAGATCTAGGAGATTCTCAATGATTGAGACTATGACGAGGTGACACTAGACGAAGATTGAGATGGATTGTAGAGGCATTGATGCATGGTTCTTATGGCCATGGCGACTTTTCAATGCCCCGGGTTTTATCTGTGAGGTGGGAGTTCCCCAGAACCATCTGATCGACGCTGTGCCTGGACAAATGCGGGGAAGCTCCCGACCGGACCGAGGCACCATCCATCACAGGTTCGCTGCTCGGCATATTTGGGGTTCTTATGCTCTTATGCTCTTATGCGACATGTACCGGGTACTATGTCGCATGTTGCCTTTCTGCTTGACCACACCTTGGACTACTACTGGCTGTATTGGACTAGGAAGCTGCATCATGAAACTAAATTCCAGTCTAGAACAGAGATGTCTGACAAGTTATACAATCAAATTAATCCATACTTATTGACAGTGAAATGCGAAGTCTGAGAGACACAGGTAAAAAGATAAAAGCAACAGCTTGCGCGCAGCGCATAATGCTCTTGGAACCATATTTACGAGATGAAAAGACACAAAACAACCGAGAGTACGACAAGACTTGATTCCAATGTCATACTCCTTCCCGCCATCGCCGTCTGTGTTGCTTGAAGCACGGCCTGATTCTTCGTCGCTGTGCCGACCAAGACTATCACGTTCTTCTCCGAGCTACTCAGATACGATGGGTCAGTGATGCGCCTTTCCATAGGATTCGGGATGGCCTCAATGTGCAGCACTTACTCTGCATCCCCAATGCCTCCATTCTCGCTCAACTTCTGAGAAAACGCTGTCGCACCGGCCGGGATGGTGGTTGTCGTGGTCGGTCGATGGACAGGCCCTGGGAGAGGCTGATACCCCACCGCACCTAATGGTGCTGTTGCAAGCGAGGCTGGCAGGCTTCTGCGCAGTAGGTTTGATGGTAAACTGTGTAGGAAAGTCCCAGGATAAGCGGAGGTGAGAGCGCTGGCGAAGAGGCTGATAGCCACCAAGTTGCGAAGTAGGCAAGTAATCAAGACCAAGACCCTCATCTTTGGAACAGGCAGTGATGACAGATTTGATGTGGGCTAACGTGATGTAAATGATAAAAATCAGAGGGTCATTCTACCATCGGTGAATAATGATCAATAACCCGCGACGCGAAGGAGGGGCATCGAACGCCTATATGTAGGCGATCAAATTCCAGCTTGGGAAGATCAAGCATGCGAGGTATGTTATGTCTGAGATGGCATGGCAAGAGCTCGGTACTTCATTGCTTGGTTGACTATGGGCCGGTCATGTAGAGCACCTTCCTGGATACCACAGAAAGGTAGTCTGGAGTGGGAACATGGTTCCCAAGACCCCCTAGCCAGAACTACCGTGGGCGACAATGTTAGGGTGAGAGAGAGTGGGAGAGAGATCGCATCATAAAGTTGTCCTACAGGCGTAAATGAAGCTCTGTTGAGGGGTGCGAACATGCCAGGCGAAGCCGGGAATGCTCTCAAGGCACGCCCTATCTTCATGCTAATACGTGATACCTATGGCATTCTGACATAAGGTCAGCTATGAGCATAAAATGGCTTTTTCCATGACTGCGCTGTAGATGTCAGCGACTCGTAGCTGTCAGCGACCTGTAGCATTACTACCTTGGTTGCTTCATCATTCATGACATGCACGGAAGTATTCCGGTGGCTGGAAGCATATTAAGGGTTATTTCAAGAGGAGGCCCGTCGATAAGGACTTGGGACTAAGGTAGGCAAAGAAACCTTTCATGAGTATTTATACAACCTGAGAGCAGTTATCACTGGAAACAGTATGGATGGTTGTCAGTAGCAATGCAACAGTCCGTACGTACTATCACATAGCATGGATGTAGGTAAGGTACTAACGTTACTAGTTTCTAAGCCAACCCCAAAGCGGGACTGTAATTACCGAACGCCAAAAGACGCGTGGTTCGCGTTGGCCGAAGAACAGACCCGAAGACAATCAATACACCGCAGCTGCCTCCGTCCGCGGGCTGCGTCAAACAACTTCCCAACTCGCCTTTGCAGCTGGTCTCTCTGCGGCTTCTATGCGACACACTTATAGCCTTCGAAATGACGCCCAACACTTCAGAGAACCAGTTTCTTCGCGCTCCAAGGTTCGCTTGTCCGCATATTACATTAGCGATCGACGACATCACTGACATTTTGTCCGGACAGCGATCAGGAGTTCGAGCCCGTTTATCGTGAACCCTCCTTTTACAATCCTCTAGATACGTTCCGACTACCCAGTGGACAAGACCGACACTACCAGCAACAATATGGCGATATGTATTTCCTGCGACTGGCCAAGTTGAAGCCCGCCGTCGAGGAAATTGCCGTGGAGGCGTGGGAAGGATTTAGCGTCAGTACAACAATCCCTTGCTCATGGTTGAGCAAATCTCTGATACTGGGATTTGTCCAACCGACCCAGCCTGAGGGTAAGCTGCTAATTGCGCTTTCGCCTACAGATCGCGGGAGAAAATGCACGTCGTGTGGAAAGAGTGCTAGATGTACGACAGGGAGAGCTCTGCTGGGTTGCAGGAACCATTTACATGGATATGCCACTGAAGCCCAATATTTTGGACGATTTGACCAAGGAGGTAAGGCACACTCAATCAGCACATATGCGCACGTGCCGTTCAACTGACTTCGCATCGAAAGAACTATACTCTCGCCCCTCCTCCTCGCCCGACCTATCAAGACCCTGCCCACCCCGAATTGACACAAATCATGTTGGAAGATGAATCCGGACGACTGCGCCTGACGGGCAATTCGCTCAGCTCTACACAGCTTGCGACCGGCGCTATCATTGCGGTCCTGGGAACGGAGAATGCCAATGGTGACTTCGAGGTCATTGACATCAAGGTGCCTGATTTGCCTCGACAGCCTCCTCGCTGGGAGAGGGATGAGGTGGATTCAACACAGAAAGAGTCTAGCAAGGGCAAAGTTGCGTTCGTTAGCGGCCTCAGCATCACAGGCACATCGAGTGATACCCTCGCATTAGAACTCTTGACGGACTATCTCCTGGGCTATGCAGGAAACTTCTCGACGGAGCAGGATGATAACTCGCCACCGAAACCCTCCGCGATTACGAGACTGGTCATTGCTGGAAACTCGATCGGTACCAATATGACTACCGATGCTAGTGCCGAAGATGCAGCCGCTGCGAAGAAGAAAGCGGGCACCAAGAAGTACGGATACGACGCTTCCGCATACAACGCATCGCCAATCACGCAGCTAGACTCCTTCCTGGCAGAGATTTTACTCAGCATACCTGTTACTCTGATGCCCGGTGATACCGATCCCGCCAATTTCTCTCTCCCACAGCAAGGCATCCACCGTGCCATGTTCCCACGAGCCAGAGCATACTGCGCTCCACCCCCGGCCGGAGACGAGAAGCAGGAACCAGGCTGGTTTGATAGTGTGACGAATCCATGGGAAGGCGATGTTGAAGGGTGGCGTCTGTGGGGCAGCAGCGGTCAAAATGTGGATGACGTCCTTCGCTATCTGAATTTCTCAGATCGTGAAGGAAACGCCGCCTCTACAGATGGGGATGTTGAGGCCCGGGTGCGGATAATGGAGGCCATGTTACGTTGGAGGTGTGGAGTCCCAACCGCGCCTGACACCATATGTAAGCTCGATTCATCGTTTTACGTGTCGCAAGATCGAGCTAAACTAATTGCAACAGGGTCGTATCCTTTCCAAACAGATGATCCTTTTGTTATCGAGACCTGTCCCCATATCTTCTTTGCCGGCAACCAACCGCGCTTCAAGACCGCGGTCATCGAGGGCGATATGCCCCTGAAACTAAACGGCGCAGACACAGAAATGACAGGCACCGAGGTCGATGTTTCCGTGCCGCGGGTTCGTCTTCTATCGATTCCCAAGTTCAGAGAGACTGGCGAGCTAGTCTTGGTTGATGTCGAGACACTAGAAGTTGAAGTGGTCAAGTTTGGAGCGTTCGCCGGCCAACAAGAAAAACAATGATATGCTCCGACTTCCACCGCAAACAACAAAAATAACTATAGATATCATGAATACCCAAATGTACTCTTTATACCACCAATTTTCGATCCTGGCGCATACGCTCCGACGATTGTATAGTTTCCTTGAGACAGCCGGCCCGGTGCCAAGACCTGCGCGGAAAAGCTACGGTTCGTCGGCCAAATTGTGGATTTTTGACTGCATACAACCCAACCATCAATCCAATCTACACGGAGGGTCTCCGCCGCTTCGACCTGCAACAGATACCTAGGATAAAACAATAGATTGGACAACAATTGGCAAAGATGTTACTCAACGAAAAGACCGGTAAGCAGCCGGAAAACCTTCCGCCGATATGTTAGCCCCAGCCAAGGCTCCTAAAACCGGGATCTATATAGCCATTTCAACCTCCAAGGTGCTGCTTGTACCGTACTCCAAGTGGCATGTCCCCAGATATCATGAATGGATGAAGGATGAGGTAAGATAGATCTGTGTCACATACCTCCTTGAACTCCCTCGCGTACTTTTTCTGGGTCTCCATCAATGCAACCCCCCAAATCAGGGCAAGCATATCAACTAATCCAAGATAACCAGGAAATCCAAGAAGCCACTGCTTCTGAGCCCCTCTCCCTGGAGGAGGAGTACGCCATGCAACAAAGCTGGCGCCAGGACCCGGACAAACTGACATTCATCGTCTGCCAACCTACGACAACAACAACGAGCTCCTCCTCTGACTTCGCTGGAGAAGGTGAGGTCACAAAACTCGACGACCACACCGCCGACGAACCCCACCACATGGTGGGGGACATCAACCTCTTCCTCCGCGTCGACGACGGCGAAGAAGGGGAGTCGGACCCGCAACTCGTCGGGGAGATCGAGCTCATGATCGCCGAGAAGCGCAACCAGCGGCGCGGGTTCGGCAAGGCTGCGCTCTACACTTTCCTCCGGTATATCGTGGACCACGAGGCCGAGATCCTGGAGGAGTTTGTGGCGGGCGATGCCGCCGCGTTGCAGGCCCTGACGGTGTCTGGGCTGCAGCAACCACCGCGGCCGTGGAGGTTCGCCTGCCTGAGTGTGAAGATCGGGCAGGCGAATGAGCGGAGTTTGGCGCTGTTCGAGGGCGCGGGGTTCCGGAAGGTCTCGCCGGAGCCGAACTATTTTGGGGAGTTTGAGTTGCGGCGGTTGCGGGAGAGTTTGGAACGCGGGCTGGTGGATGAGAGTCTTGATGGGGCTGGGGTTGCGGGGTATACTGAGTTGGAGTATACGAGGGTTCAGTAAGGGTTACTACTACCGGTCATCTATCATTGGGTTTGGGCTGGTGCTTCCCTGCGGGTTTGCAGTCATACCGCAGATTCCGCGACGTTACATGTACCATCTGCACCGCTTCCTGCAGTGAGCCGGCGTCGCTATGCCGGAGCAAACGACTAGTGAATGACGAGTGTATGCTGTGTCAATCCGCTCCATCGACAAAAGCAATAGCAATGACAATTGCCAATGATCACGGGATATTCTTTTTTTTTGTCTTTGATCAAACGCCGTAAGAATCCAAAAAGAGCTCCGACGAAAACCGAATACTGGCAAACGAAACCCAGTCATGTTTAGGAGTTCTACGTCCGGGAGGAACTCGATATGCCAGTGATGCATCATTGGCATAGCAGTTGCCGGCCAGGCGGGGGACGACTCAGCCCCTCCCGTGTATCTCACCCCAAACAGAAGCAATTCCATGCAACCTGTGGAGATGACACACCAGCGCCCCATTCAAAAGCCAATCAATCTTTCAATTATCAATCGACACAAGAATTCAATTCCTGTTGCTTCTTCGAATAAGAGGTGATATGAAAATTTCCATGCGCCGTTTGTTCGTCCGTTTTCACTTCCGAGCTCCACTTTCTTCACCTTAAACGCTTGACGTTTGACATGTCGAGGATCGTTTCGGACGAGAGGCAAGCGGTGTGCAATATAGGAAGGTTGGGCTAGGTTTTCCAAATTTACAAAGCCTTCTTCTTGTCACCGTTGGTGACATCGACAACCTTGAGAGCTGTTTGTTGGGAGGAGGGGAAAGGCCATTGACGTCAGCGGATGTTGGTCCCGAGGTAGGTGTGGTCTCCCCAGATTTCCCTGAGAGCTTGGCGGGGAAGGGAAACAGAAAACTATATGAAGGGCTCAAGACGCACCAGGGGGAAGGCTCTGCTTGAGCTTGTCGGCCTTGTCGGAGTCCTTCAGGACAAGGGTGTAGACGTAGCGGGAGCAGCGGACCTTGAACTTGATCTGCTGGGTGTTGCGGTTGCGCTTGATGCGGGCAGCTGTAGATCATGAGACGATGGAAGAGAATTGTATTAGCCTCAATTGCAGTGACTCTGAGCATGTGTTTTTATCAGGAGTTGGGGTCGGGCCATCATGTTGGTTTCTGGGCCCTCAAGTGACTCGACTCTCCGCGGATGATCCCCCCCGCCTTGGGTTGGAACCCCAAGCTTCCATATCCGAGATTCGGTCCAGGTGTGCCACTCATTTTCGGGTGATTGGGGAGGGGGAGGGAAGGTCAAACGTACAGGACGCATCCTTGCGGCGGCAGATCTCAATGAACTGCTTGATGTCGGAGACTTCACGAGGCATGATGGGCAGAGGGGGTGGGTATGTGATTGGTAAGTTCGGGAGTGGTCGTCGTTTGAAGCTGAGCTGGACTGGCGGGCACAGTTAGTTCTCTTTCTCTCTACTTACTTCTCTTTTGCGCTAAGCTTGATAGGGTGGGCGGTGGGAGTGTCTCCTCGCCGTTCTGCCCCCTTCGGCCCGTGGGATTGACCGGGCCTCGCTGTGTGGGATGTAGGGTTGCCGCCCCGGGAAGCCCTGAGGGCTGTCCTTGTCCGTGCCACATCGTGGCGGAGCTTAGCTTCATTGCTTGACGGGAGCTGACGTTGTTCCTGTGGCGGTGCTGGCTAGACTCCTCCCCCGACAGGCGGCCGCTTTACTTCGACCCCCGTTGGTCTATCCATACCGTCTACCACCCACATCGGAGCCTGAGGAAGGAAACTATATCGCTGGTCTACATGTAGCATATCTGGCCAGTTCCATAAGCCAGATAAATATCCTAGCCAACCACTACTGCCCATCGTGACTTCTGTATCCAAATCAACCTTACGTCAAGAATACATCCAAGATGCCAACGCCGTTGGATCGTGCTTTGAACTCCAAGGTACACACACCCTCAGATGTGAAGTCTATCATAATTAGCTAACGTACAAATCTCTCTAGAATCTCTTTTTGGGTATGGTCTTGAGTGAAACATGCAGGTGTTTCTCGGAATCAACATTCTAACTTTCTTTCAGGGTTCACTGGGATGGTGACAGCTGCGGCCGTCTGGGCTATTTGGGGTAGCGACATGTTCCCTGCGGAGCCAGACCCGACAGGAGGTACGGGTTGGGGTCCTTGAGCTGTATTATTCATGCGTTGACGTCTTTTAGACCCCGAAACCTGGTCTCATGATGAAATGCGAAGATGGCTTCGGGCGGTAGGTCTGACCCCGTGGAAGTTCCTTCGAACCTTGCGCAGATGAATAGGCAGCTCCCTAACAACCAGATAGAGAGGACTTCTGCCTCATGAGAGCGCAACGCGTGAAGAGCTGCTTGAGCGCATAAAAGCCAATCTGCGCGTGCCGCGCAGAAGCCAAGCTTGATTTCCGAGTCGGGCATGGTATATGGACGAGCTCCGGAATAGTGTTTTCTTTTATCGGCATGTCATAGCGTTTGTAGGTTGAATGTTTTTCTTTTCCTGCGGTGTATCTCAAGCTGAAACAAATGTCGTTGAATGTCTTTCGTTGATTCATAGCGCATTATGTGAATTGTTATTGGATGACGCGTCCGCCTCGCGCGATCATGCCTCCATTGATATCCTCTCCTAAACCACCAGCCGGAAGTTCTGAGTCTGAATGAGCCATTCACGCCTGCGCTTTCCCTTCGGTCCATCGGCAGTGGGGTTCGGGACCAGGACGAAGGTCTCACTGAATCCGCGCTGTGGTAGATCTCTGGATTCGCCGAAGCGGACAAAGCCGCTGACGATCACGAGGATGGACATATCCTTGACGGTGGTCTCTGTGGGGAGCTTGAAGCCCGTAGCGGTAGGTGTGGGATATGTGCGATTGATGATCTGGCAGTCGAATGACTGCACTTCGTAGTGAGTGGGAGTCATCTGGTTGACGAAAATCTCCTGGACGGCGGCGCCATCGGCGACAACGTTTCCGTTGAAAAGGATAGTCGAAGCCTGTTGGCTGTAGAATGAGGAAATGGTGGCGCGGTTGGACTGGAGTGCAGGATAAAAAGAATTCACAAATTCAGTTGCCGCTGTAGGTGTGAGAAAGTTCCATCAGTAAGAGGTCACTAGATTTAGACGGGCAAACCCACGTACCCTCCGTGGAATGCTTGACCAGCGTGTCTTCAGATGCAGGGGCCATTGTGAGCTGTAGCAGCGGTTTCTTCCTATAATAATGAAGGGGGAAGATAGCGTGTGAGAGAGCGTGAGAGAGCGTGAGAGAGCGTGAGAGAGCGTAAAAGAGCGCACGCGAGAGGAAGAGCGGGATGGTTGCGGAGGAAGGAAAGAAAAGGCAAGGCCAGGCCGAGCGGCAGAAAAAAGGCACGGAAGCTTGGACCACCTTCCCGGAGACGAGCTTCGGAGAAGTCGCAGGTCCGCAATTATTCCACCTTCCTTTTCTCTCCAGACATCCCCAACAATGGCAGTGCTGAGAGCTGGTACTTGTGCTCTGCCATGGGCAGGCCGGTTCCTGGCTTCCAGTCGATCCTCCTGGAAACTTGCATCGTGTAAGGCTGCGCTCACCGCCACAATTGCGCGTCCCCGTCGTTTCGCAACAGCGGCCTCCGAGCCCACTCCGGGGAAGCCGTACTATATCACGACCCCGATCTTCTATGTCAACGCCGGTAAGCTGATTGCAATACTTCTTCTCAGCTGGGGGACACGTAAAGCTAATGACTGGTTATTTCTAGCTCCTCATGTCGGCCATCTGTATACCATGGTCATTGCCGATGTCCTGAAGCGATGGAGAACATTGCTCGGCGAGACCGATGCTCAGCTACTGACGGGAACCGACGAGCACGGAATGAAGGTATCCCAAGGCCTATCTTATCGACGGAAACGACGCCGAATGATAATGAAGATTGACTTGTCGCCGTCATAGATCCAGCAGGCTGCTCTAGCCGAGGGAATGGAAACGCAAGCGTTGTGCGATCGGAACTACAAGAAGTTTGAGGTGGGTATCTGTCAATCATCGGCTAGCTTATCTCAATCATGCTGAGTTGAAATCCATCAGGACCTGGCGAAGGCTGCAGACTTGGACTACGACTACTTCATTCGAACGACGGAGCCTGCGCACAAGGAAGCGGTCCAATACTTTTGGGTATGTCAAGCCATGCTTCTACCATTGGCTTCCACTAATAACGGTATAGGAAATGCTGCAACATAGGGGGTTCATCTATACCGCCAAGCACGAAGGATGGTACTCGGTCAGCGATGAGACCTTCTACCCCCAAACACAAGTGCATAAATCACTTGATCCGAAGACGGGACATACGAGGATGGTGTGTCTATATCAAGCTTTGCATTGGACATGAATATCTAAGCTAACTTAGATTAGATTTCTGTGGAAACAGGGAAGGAAGTGGAGTGGTCTTCGGAAACAAACTATCATTTCCGACTGTCAGCCTTCCAGGAACGCCTACTAGATCTATACAAAACCGGCTTCATTACCCCAACGAATTATACAACCAACATCGTCAAGTCCGTTTCTGAAGGTCTTCAAGATCTGTCGATCTCCCGGCCTTCGGAGCGTCTGACGTGGGGTATTCCAGTACCCGGAGACGACACGCAAACCATCTATGTCTGGGTAGATGCGTTGGTCAACTACCTCACTAAGGCAGGCTATCCCTTCGCTCCGGGCCAAGGGGCTCGCCTTGGTTGGCCGGCGGATGTACATGTGGTTGGGAAAGATATTGTTCGGTACGAGTTGGTCCTTTGCGATTCTGCGTAAGACAACATAGCTAACCATATAAAAGCTTCCACTGTGTTTACTGGCCAGCCTTGCTTATGGCTCTCGATCTTCCGCTGCCTCGCAATGTCCTGGTTCATGGGCACTGGACCTTGAATCGAGAGAAAATGTCCAAGTCCACAGGCAATGTGGTAAATCCTTTCTTCGCAATCCACCGCTTTGGCGTCGACACGATGCGCTTCTTTCTCATTCACCAGGGTGAACTGGCGGGAGACGCAGATTATGACAACGCTTACATCATCCGCGATTACGAGAAGGTGTTGCAGAAGGGCCTCGGCAACCTCGCTGCACGGACGATCGGGTGTGCGAAGAAAGAGTTCCGGACGTACATCGTCAATGGAGTAGAGGGAAGGCTTCCCTCGCCGACATCTGCCGATACGGACTATGAAGGGCAACTGAGAGAGCTACCCACGAAGGTTGCAAACCACATGAACAGCCTAAACCCGCGTGCAGCCCTGCAAGAAATCAGGGCTATCATTGAGTTGGTAAGGAGCCATACACACCTCTTCCTCTCCCCCCTTATCAAGCCCTCGAACTGAACTGACGAATTTGGCATCAGAGCAATAAGTACTTTCACAATACGGCACCCTGGCAGAACCCTGGAGAGACCCAGCGAGTCATCTACAATGTCGCCGAAACCATACGGATGAGTGGTATTCTGCTGCAACCATTTATGCCCACCAAATCGAAGGAGATTCTGGACATGTTTCAGGTGCACCCACAGAGCAGAAGCTTCGCGTCGGCCGAGTATGGGTCGGACCCATCCTACGGAGAAGATACCAAAAAGAAAGTCCTGTTTCCCCCGCTTCCTTGTCGATTTGATAACGAATAGGGCCCGGGACCCAATCACGACATCCAATCTGGAAGTAAGGCCGGTCAGCCCGGTGTGGCAGAAGAGGAGAAAAGGCGGATCTCCTGGGAGGGTCACGATCTCCGCTCCCAGCAAGTGCGGGATTCCAGAGCGTTCCTTCGACCCGGTCAGGTCAGTCGCTTGATAAAGGTTCGCCAACGGGCGCTTTATCCCTGACCTATGCCCCATCTGCAAGGGAGGTTTATGTTATGTCATCGGTGGATGGCGACTGGAGCAAGGTTTCGTAATGTTTATCAGCGGGAAAATGGGGGTGGTGAGTGGTGGTGGTTGCGCTCCGCCCAGGCCTGGGAGATATCGGTTCGGGAAACTCAGGGAGAGAGGGTTTCCCGCGGCAAACTGGGTTGGTGTGAGAGCCGACTATATCGGGAACCGTGCGTTGTATATCACATTCACTGGGGTGGTTCAGAGGGTTATATCATGAGGAGAAGTATATCAGGTTTGTTGGTTGAGTTTCTCTGACGGATGGTTTGTGAAAAACAACGCAGAGGATCTCATCTTAACTCATTTCTACCTATTCTTGGTTCTCTCCCCTCCTATCTTGTACATTATCGTTTCTATCCTTCACATACAATCACTCATCTATACTAGATCTTCCATACTTCCACAAACAACGCATTTCCTTTCATCTTATTCTTCTGATCTCAACAGACCGGGTCTCATCTCCCTCCTCGCCCACCCTTGAGGAAACACGCCCACTTTCTCTCCCCACGGAAAGAGCAAACCATACAACCATGGGCAGCATCTCCCTCTCCCAGACGGATCCCACCGCCACCAAGAACACAGACCTCCCAACCCTCAAAACCCCATGGCACCCGACCCCGTTAATCGAATCCACCACCCTCTCCCGCGCCGCCGGGTGCCGGATCTTCCTGAAGCTGGAGAACCTGCAACCGAGCGGCTCCTTCAAGTCGCGGGCCATGGGCAACCAGATCCTGTCGCACCTGCGCAAGCCCGAGCACGCCCACCGCGCCGTCCACTTCTACGCCTCCTCCGGCGGCAACGCGGGGCTGGCCGCCGTCTGCGCCGCCCGCACCCTCGGCTACCCCTGCACCGTCGTGGTGCCCGTCTCCACCAAGCCCCTGATGGTGACGAAGCTGCGGCGCGCCGGGGCGGCGGACGTCATCCAGCACGGGGAGACGTTCGCCGAGGCCGGCTTGTACATGAAGGAGGTTGTCATGCAGACACAATCTTCTGGAGAGGAGGGGGAGGAGGAGGTGGTCAAGATCGCGCTGCATCCGTTTGATAATGAGCCCATCTGGGAGGGCAATAGTACTATCGTCGATGAATTGGTGCATCAGATCCCTTCGCCGGTGGGGCCGGAGGAGGAGGCTGCGCAGGCTGGAAGGGCGTTGCCTGTCGATGCGATTATTTGTAGTGTCGGGGGAGGCGGGTTGTTGAATGGGTTGGTCGCGGGGATTGAGCGGGCGCGGTTGTCATCGTCGTCGTCGTTGGCTGAGCTGGTCAAGCCGGTGCATCTGCTCGCCGTGGAGACCAAGGGCACGGATTCCCTGGCCGCCGCGCTGCAGCACGAGGAGCTGGTCTCCCTGCCCAAGATCACCTCGCAGGCTACCTCGTTGGGCGCGGTGCGCGTCTCCGAACGCACCTTCCAGTATGCCGTGCACCCGCCCCCGGGCGTCAAGGTGCACAGTGCCGTGTTGTCGGATGCGGAGGCGGCCAGGGGCGTGTTGCGGCTCGCGGACGAGGAGCGGATGTTGGTGGAATTGGCGTGTGGGGTGTGTGTCGAGGCGGCCGTTGGCGGTGGTTCGTCGTCGTCAGCAAACAAGAAAAGGAAGTATGTGGATGAAGGCTACGGCGATGATCGGCTGTCGGCTGGGGAGAATGACGACGACGAGGGCTTCTCGCCCGTGCACCCCCCTTCGCCTGCGGCGGCATCGCTGTCGTCGAAATTGAATCAGTTGATCCCCGACTTGAACGAGGACAGCCGCGTGGTCATCGTCGTCTGTGGCGGCAGCAATGTCACCGTCGATATGGCGGCGGAATGGCGGAAGATGCTGAGTGAGGGCTGGGCTTGACTGCGTTGGGAGGTTGGGTTGTGTCCTATACGAATAGATAGGCTGCTCTCTGGGTTCAGAACCTGGATGCGTAGGTCTCCTCTTACGATCTTTAATGAATTCATGATTGTTTTTAGATTCGCTTTGGGTGTATTTTGCCTCTGTAGCAGGAGAACTAGAGCCGGATGGAATCTGATGCCGGAATGCTATCTTCTTCTGTTGTTTGTTGGGTAGAGGGCAATGATCACTGTGTGGTAGGGGGTGTTGCCCGAAACTCGGTGGGGACAACTCGACGGTTCTGCATGCATATACACGTTCTATAACCAGACTGTCAGTATTTACCTTCCTGACCATGGAAATATGTATTCTGCGGCAAAGAGGCCTCTTTGGCTTACCCTCTGTTTATCACCGTCTTCCGTGACATTCTGCTTGCTGATCGTGACGGCGTCTGAACGTGCTTATGCCGAGCTTCATCACGTCAAGCCGGATCCCACCATGCCCGCATGCTTCGTGCACCGTGTTGACTCCAAACTACCTGCTTAGTCCCATTTTCTTGTGCCTTAATATGCTATACAGGTGCATCATGATCATGGCCCCCCTGGATGTCCTCTCCTTCCCCATCGTCCTCCTCGTCCTCCCATTCTGAGTCCGCCTCGCTTTCTCCCTCAAAAGGGTCAGTAAAGGTGACTATCCCCTCGTCTTCTTCCTCGTCATCTAAATCTTCGTCGAGCATGGTTATCAGTTCTACCAGAGCAGGTGAGACTGCCACACCCTCAAGCGGTAGGGGAGCTTGTTCGGGACCCCACAAGTTTCTCCCGGCTGCAGCCGAGTCCTCAGATCCGTTGGCATCTTGGTTCGACTTGGGCGTATCACCGTCAAGTTTGGGTGCTAGGTTCAGTACACGAACTGCCTTGATGGGGAAGATACGAGCGGGGCCTTGCTGTGGTTGTGGAGGTGTGGCTCCGGGGAGATGAGGCAGCGATTGACGCCATGCGATAGTCTAGTCCGAATGTTAGTCCTGCGTATACCAATTCCACAGTTGAAAGAAATGTAACATACAGTGTAAGTAGTCATGATCGCATCATCATACAGAGCCATGAAACTGACCGGCACATTAAGATGCACCACGGAGCTGGTGACTAGTGAGAACGACCCGCGGGCAGGACGATCTCCAACTTGTACTCGATCCTTGTCATCAAGCCCGACAACATACACCCGGTCTTGGATTTCGAACATCACGCGGTGGTTACGCACTGACAACCACCCGCCCAGGTCAAAGCCCCGCCCGTTGGAATCACATTCAATGAGATCACTATGCGCCGCCATACTGGCTGGACTTTCGAGTGCCTTGCGCCAGTTAGAGCACACGAAAACACGACCAGCACGGGAGAAGCCGGTGAAGAGTTCACCATCTAACATGCCAGCTCCCCATTCGTCCTCCCTGTTGCGAATATGCTCAGGGTCATTGGGCGTTGGGAACGGGCCCCGTTCGACCTTGATCGGGACCAGATGATCTTTGCGAGATACCCCCTCCTGGTATGATGAACGCGATGTCCCCTGACGCACGGCGTCTGCAAAGCCCGCAAATGCTGCTCTTGGGGAGGGGTGCGCGACCGCTGGCGGGCGAATGTGATACTTCTCCGTACAGAGTGACGGCTGCAACTCACCCAAGAACGCTCCCGACTTTTTATCGTAGACGTGATATCCTCTTGGACCCATGGAGTAGATCACGGCATCCTGACTCTGGTCGAGATGACCCACAGCATCATACTCAATGTCCAGGTGCGTAGTGAGCTGGGGAGGTCTCTGTGTCATATCGTACACGAAACCCTGCCCCTCGGTCGAAACCACGCAGAGTGTTCCGTACGAGAGCTGGAAGCCTCGCGTTTGACAATCATGGTCCAGTATTGCGATGCGCCGGAATTCGCCACGCTTGGCCCCTTCCAGATCCGCCTGCCAGACCTCCAGTGCATCGCCCTCGCGATCAAAGACGGCCATGCCATCCTGGTATTCCAGATGCGCAAAGGGGCGGACCGCATCCTCATCGCTATCCAGCGTCGAGGGAAGGTTCCACAGATTCAGGCCCGTGTCCATGTCAGTAACGTATAGTCCGCCCGCATGCGATGTTGAGATGAAGATTCGACGCTTGAAGTCGGGGCGGAACCGCCAGATAAATTCATTGCCGACCTGCAGCACTGACTCTCGCGCAGACGGTTGCGACTCGGCCCAATTGCGGGTGAGCAGCGCATGGCGCTTACACAATTCTTTGCATGGTAGAGCACCTTCGAATAACTTGGAGAATGTGGTGTTGCTCAGCTGAGAGGAGCGTCCGGAGGGTTGATTATTCTTGAGTGCAGCGGCGTAGATCGCTTGTTGGTGTGTGACGTCGATAAATTGATGCCAGGCTCTGGATACCGCGGTAAGAGACGCTAGGGTGGGTGCGGGGGTGAATTCCAGGACCCGTAAAACAACCTCTGGAGGTAAAACGCTTAGAGGATCTGCTAAGAGTTCAAGCTCAGACATTCTCAGTTCAATGGGTGTTCTATGAGGCAGGAAGTCGGAAGAGAAGTTGCAGAGAGTTGGAGAAGAGGGGCCCTTGATACTGATGATTCTGTCTCGGCTCACCGCCCCCGATAAGGATTACATTTCTTATCGCTCTGCTCTATCGGAAATGCGGAAGAGTTGCGATAAAACTAAGTGTATACTTGAGTTTCACTGGGTACATGCAATGCAATTGGAATGGCTGAGCCTAAATCAGAATTCACAATCATGCCGAAATCGTCGCCTCTGGTCCTGTGATAGATCGAATCCGATAATCCCAGTAGTTTCTCCGAATGGGATCATACTTCTCCTTTAGCAATGTGAGCATTTGAACCGCTTTCTGGCCTGACGTTGGCTCCGTTTCCTCTGCAAGCACATCAGCGAGCCATTCTATGGCATGGCTGCTCTTCACCTCGAAGTCGTCGTGCTTTTCCGTCACAAACTTTCCAGCAAAGTCCTTCCACTCCGCCAGGGGTCGGCCTGCAGCGCGCAGCACACCCCTCGCGTAAGACCATGGACTGCGATTCTCTGGCGCCCGGACGATTTTGGACTGGGCGAACTTCAACTCGGCGTCGACTACGTCCTCATCAACCACTGCCAGCCGGCCCTTCTCCGCGGGGGGTCCGTCACTATTTGGCATCCCTGCATCGGGCTCCCCGTCACGAGGTCCAAAACGAAGCATAAAGCGGTGATTCCAGGCGGAATTGTTTCGAACGTCCGAGGTCAACAAAGCCTCCACATCCTGAATTTCACGTGGAGCATCCCACAGCTTGAAATGCCGCACCAACCAATGGCGGTAGGTCCACACGTGGTAGTTCTTGGAGTCTTGCGCAAACATTTCCATTAAGAAGTCTGCTTCCTTGTGTGGAGGCGTAGGGAAGAAGTCCTCGCGTGATACCAAGACTTGGCGATGGTGCCTGAGAGTATTAGATGGCTAAAGATACACACGAAACTTAGAGGGTAGCTGATCATACCAAATCTGATAGTTCTTCAGATACTTGAGCGATACACCGTTCAACCATTCCAGTTCGTCCTGAAGGTCTTTCCCTAAAGCAAAAAGAATCTTTGCTCGGTAAATCCTTTGTTCGGTCAGCCTCGCTTTCAGTATTGCTTGGGGCTAGTCATGAGTGAAGGTCATATTAGCTTACCATACGGTATAATGAGCGGGGTTCATTGCGATGATGTCTTGAGTCAGCTTCAACGCCCTTTCAGACATCTCGTTGGCGGCCATTACTGCGCGCAAATATGAGGTGGCTTCGAGGTATGCTTGGGGATAAGCAATGGTAGCCAGAGGCTGGGCACCGGATTCGGAGCCATCGTTGAGAGGGATGGGTTGGATTGAAGCCCATTCGGGATCGGACGAGTATTTGCCCTCCATTTTGATTCGCTAGAATTGGGATAGCAACACAGTCCTGGGGAAAGATGGACAGCTCCTGAGAGGCGACACAGCACGTCCCACAAGTAACCAATTTTAGACGATGTCGAAATTTAGTACTATGTGTTGACACAGCAAGATATGATCACAAATCCTGGCACTCGCAACCACGGAGACCGGGTTAGCTGCAAAGATAGGGTCCTGTGTCGGGTTTGGGCAAAGCAAATGATGCAGCTAAATTCAATCACGGGATTTTCGACCACCAAACACAGAGATTCTGTTCAGGCGATAGTACACACGAGTCTCCGAGCTCATGTACAGGTGTGTTATGTAGATGATTGGTTCAAATGGATGCTGTTGGCATTGATTTGGAGTGCTCTGAAATTGATAGATCGAATCGAAAGCGCAAGTGTGTTTGGGGGGGTGAATGGAAGGTGGTGGGGGTATCCTCATGCCTGAGGCATCTCAGAGACAATATCAAGGCAGCCATCCATGCAATCTATTGTTCTCAATTTGTTCTCATTCTTCAATGCCAAATGCTCTCTTCTGCTTTCCTCCACAATTGCGATTCGACCAGCGTTCAGTTGCTCTTTGCTTCTGGTCAATGTCAACATCCGATTCATGTGTCTTTCAGGGTCTCTTTGTCTTCATCACATACTCACTGCCCAGAACTCCGGCTACTTTGGATTAAGTCCAGACCGCAGGATTTCCCAAAGAGGATAAAATTCCCCTACCGGCGTTGCGCCGCTGCTCCCCGCACATCCCCCCCAGTCCGTCGTCACCTGCAACCGCAGCCAGCACATCCTTCCTTCTCGTTCGCCTCCCTCCTAACATGCCAATTCAATCACTAGCCTTATCCTTAACCTACCATGAGCCCGCTATTGATTGATAATGCGTCGCGTCAAGAAATCCCGTAATGGCTGTGCTAGGTGCAAGAGCAAACGGGTGAGTCGCCCTCCCTATCGGTGCTATCAGTTCCATTCCCACACCACACAGCCCACGAAAATCTAATGATACCTTCTTTCTCCAGGTCAAATGTGGAGAAGAAAGACCTCACTGCAGTCGATGCACCCGCTTAGGAGTTCACTGCCCTGGATACGTTCAGTCGCTACGATGGGTAACCAAATACCCAGACCGCAACCCTGATACAGCCCATGAGACTTCCGATGAAACTACAGCTGAGCCGAGCGCTCGATCCGATGCTAGACCTCCGGATAACTCAGGTTCCCCGGATCATGTCGACCCCCCCACACAGCCTTCATTAACCGCTAACGATGGCTCTTTCAATCTTACGTCTCCTGACGCCCAGGTCGAGTCGAGCACGCTGGCACTGGGCGGCCCGCACGCTTTATGCGATAGTCTCTGGGATTTACAACAGTCCGGTACACTTCCCGAGCTCGCAGATTTATGCAATCAGACTCCGACTTCTGCCTCGGGGCCAACTCCAGCGCCTCAAGACGGCTCGATCTTCAATTTCGGGTCGCCCAACCACGGCGACGATCCATTTGGTCTATCCTCCTTAGCAGCGCCCATACTGCAGGATGAACCTCGCAGCTTCTCCGGGTTCTCACCATCCACCATCGTACGCCATTATCCACCTCCCAACTCGAAAGTACCGCAACGAGACTTCACCTCGATCTCACAACCTCTAAATAACCCATCATGGACCCTCATCGAATACTATTTCAAAGAAGTGGCGGCATTATTCTCGAGCTATGACAGCCAAATGAACCCCTTCCGATCAACAGTGTCTCGGCTCTGGGGCTCATCCCTCGCTATGTGTCGGACTATGCAGAGCATGGCAGCGGCCACCCTCGTGAACGACTTCCCCGAGTTCGGACCGTTGGGCCGAAAGATGCGCAACGAGGCCGTCGACATCATCAGCAAAGAGTCGAATCTGGACGACAAGTCCCTGCTAGCACTTCTCATGCTGGGCCAAACGGCAAGCTGGCACGATTCCAAAGATCTTGGCATCTCGTTCTTCAATCTACTACGGAACCATCTCGATACAAGACCCGAGAAGAGCCCAACAACAGGCCGCGGCAACAACCATCAATTCTTCGAAGAGGCCTTGATCTACTGGGAAATGCTCCTGTCCTTCGTCGCCGACGATTCCGCGGTCCTGTGCGGGACCACGGCCGCGGGGCCTGAGGAATCCCTCGTCCTACAGCGCGTGCCTCACCCGTGGACGGGGATTGCGCGTGACACCCAATTCACCGTCCAAGAGGTGGGGCGGCTGGTGCGCCGCGAGAGAAAGCGGATGCGCTGTCGCACCTTCACGTCCCACGCCGACGTCGCACAGGCGCAGCAGGCCATCGAGCGAGCAGAGGAACTCGAAGAACGACTGTTGGGACTCGCGCACCCCGCGGAGGCTGAGATCATCAGTCCCGGCGACGACGAGACCCCCGTGTGGCATCTCCTCACCATGGCCGAGGTCTACCGCTGCACCGGGTTGATGCAGCTATACCGCGTCTTTCCCGATCTGCTGCGTCGACGACTGCGTCCACAACGGGCCTCGGGCAGCAGCCCCCCCAGCGGCGCCGAGGATGCGTCGTCCATGTCCATGTCCATGAACAACCGCGATCCCTTCCTGTCCCCCGCGTTCGGCAGCTCGCAGCACTGGTTCTGCGACCCTGCCCTTCTGCATCCCAGCCCTGGCGAAGCCCCCGCCGCCGCCACGGCACCGCCGGGGCCGCCCCCGTTTGAACCCATCCCCGCGCCTGCGTCGGCCTCCCAATACGACACCTGGCTGACCGAACTCGCCCTCACCACCCTCTCGCGCCTGAAGACCATCCCGCTCGAATCCCGCACCCGGTGCCTGCAGCCGTTCCTCCTGGTCGCCTCGAGCAGCGAGCTCCGGCTCCCTCGGCTTCCACCCCTAGAAACCAACCTCGACAGCAACGGTCCGAATATCTCTGCCCACGCCATCGATGTCTCCCAGACACGCCGGTTCATTCTCGGCCGTCTCACCTCCTTCATGCATGTCCTACCCCCGAAGCCCATCGGCGTCTGTCTGGAACTGGTACGCGAGGTGTGGCGGCGGATGGACGCCGGCGAACCGGAGGTGTATTGGATGGACGTCATGATGGAAAAGGGGTGGGAGACGACCATGGGCTGAATCCTGGGTTAAATAAACACAGGCAACACTTTCGCGCGAGAACATGTACATATATAGTTATGAGAATGAATGCTGGATACCCAGTTTATTGTATGAATTGTATGAACTGCACTTTGCATGACAATCTCCGCGTAAAGAATAATATCGGACAGGATGACTTCTGTCTGCAAGGGTAACTATTTCCTCACATGGATGGTATCGACATTTGACTTCCGACAATTGAACTGTGACTCACATTGAACCAGCGTTTCAAATACCTCAATCGCGTACTGTCCCTTCTCACTCCAGCTAACACCTAAACTAACAATATTTAATAACAAGGGAAAAGGGAGAAAAAAGGCGGTTTGGGGGAGCCCGAAAAGAAAGGCAGAATATGAAGGCGTAGAAAGCAGAATGGAAGCGAATTCATGGAGTTAAAGTGGAATAACCCAAGCAAGAGGCACGCATGCCCAAGTGAAGTCCCAGGGGAATTATGATACACAGAAATGAAAAGGCTGATGAGGTCGAATGGAAAGGAAAAAGTGAAAAGCATCAAGTGCTCCAGATGGGGGTGATTAAACGTAGGTATGAAAGATGCAATCATATAATGCTCGGTCCCCTGTTCAGGGAGTAAGCGGTCATGAGAAACTGCCAAACAGAAATAAATGGCGAGATGAGGAGATCGGAAGCGATGCAGGGGAAGACGAATGTCAGGCCTGTTCATACTGCCCGTCTCCAGAACTTCCAGCCTTCGCGTTTTTCCTGAACGCCGACACCTACGAGTCTTTCAATACCGACGGGGCCGTCGGCGTTCTCAAACTTTTGTTGATCAATTTCCTCACCACCCTCCTCATCGGTGCCGTTGCGCAGAACTGCCGGCCAAAGGACACCGACACCGTCACCGCCTAGAGTGGTCTCGTATTTCGTGAAGTTCTCGTCGGTAAGGTTCTGCTCGAGCTGTCGTAGAGACTCCTCGCTGGCGTCTGGGCGGAGAAGAGAGATTGCACATCCACCTCCACCGGCACCAGTCAACTTGGACCATCCGATGTCGGTATAGTCAACCAGCTCGCGGATTCGCTCCAGTCGCGGATGCGACACGCCCAACGACACAAGCAACCCGTGGTTGATACGGAGCAAGGAACCGAAACGTTCAAGCTCCATCTGGTCCAGAGGTCTGCCATCCGTATTCTTGATGGCGTCTTTAGCAGACACGGTCACCTTCTCAATTGCATCCAGCATCGATTCAGTCACCAGGGGATGCTCCTCTTTGAGTTTGCCCACCTTAGCAACCTCAACCGCGGTGGAGCGGGCCTGTCGCGTGTCTATCAACCAGAGGGGCAATTCGGGGAAGTTGGGTACCGGCACCACCGTGGGCGGCTTGGTGTAATCTTCGCGCCGGAAGAACACAGCCTTACCGCCTGCGGAGACCGTATTATCCACTCCACTCGGGTTTCCATGCATACACATTTCTCCAACGAAAGCCCATCTATTGATGCGCTCAATCTGAAGCTCCGCCTCATCTGGGGGTTGGTCGGGGTGGGGACCAGCTAGCGTGCGGATTTGAAGTAGTAGGGCCGTACTCATACAGACACAAATACTAGCACTGCTACCGAGTCCAGCACCAATAGGGATCGTAGAGCGCAGGGTGTAGATAGCGCCATGACTCTGGGGAGAGCCCAGGGAGCAAAAGAGGTATAGGAATGCTAGGGCAGAGCGACTGTGGATTTTTCGTAAATCCTCCGGCGCATGGGGCGATACGTCTTGGACGTGGGGTATGAGTGCGTCGTACAACTCGGTGTCGAGAGATGTGACCAGGTCGTAATAGTACTTCTTCTTGGAGGGCTGCTTGAAGAGGTCCCATGGTAGCTCATCGATGTTCCAGGTGTGATCGAACTTGATGTCTCGGAAGTTTAAGGTGATAGTGCGCTGCGACTTGGACAGGGTGGTGACGAGGAAGTAGGAGCGGAGGGAGATGGCAGCAGCCATGGCTGCCTTACCGTGTACCACGGCATGTTCCCCGAAGACGATGACCTTTCCCGGCGCGGACACCATGAACGGCGGGGCCATAGGAGACGAAGCTTTCCGGGCCATAGCTTTCTTGATGGAGCTTGCTTCGATGGTAGGAGACGTCGCAGGCAGACTGGAGGTAGTTATGCTGGTAGTGTTGGTGGAAGTCGTGGAGGCGGCGTCGGAGGTGTCAGGGCTATCGTCGCAGACGGTAACCGTCTTTGCACGGGGAGGGAGGGATTGATCGGAAATAATGTGTAACATTGTGCGACGTTGACCGCTCTTAGACGCTCTGAGACTACCAGGCTTGCGACGACCGCGACCGTTGTGCATTCCTGGTGGAATTGACTAATAAGGGGTGGTAGTATAAGTGTGGAGGGAGGGAGGGAGGGAGGGGCGGGTCGTGGATGGCGGAGATGGAGATGGAGATGTAAGGGGAGAGAGCAGAAAGAAGGCGCGAACGAATGTCGAGGTTGACAAGGACAAAGTCAAGGGAGTTAAAGAAGGAGAGAATAGATGTTGAATCGAGTGAAAAGCATCGCGCTTTTTGTAAGAAGACTTGCGAACAAGAAAAAAAAAGAAATTAGGGATAGAGAAGAAGGAATTGGGAGAGAAAGACAGAAAAGGGGAGTGAGTGAGTGAGTGAGTGAGTGAGAGCGAGGGAGTTCAGCTGGAGTGAGATTCGCAAGTGCCAACTGCTAACTTACTATTGATTGGGGTTTCTTGACTGGGGGGAAGAAACTCCAAAAAGGCCTGGGCTAGCCTGAGGTGTCCACCTCTTTCTCATCCACCTCCAGTCCACCAATCACACAGAAAGTATTTCTCATTACTCACCGGCGGTTCTTGTTTGTCCGCACCGTGATAGGCAACCAATTTACGGAGTACAAACAAACAATCAATCAACCATTCTTTGACCCCGGCTGTCATAGAGGCAGCGCTGAGGCGTTTTTCAAGGCCCCGGGGGTGGTGTCCATGAAGACTGGATTCTACACGGTAGCTGTGAGTCCGCCTGTAGCTTCCCTGCTGTCGGCTGAGTTGTTCTTTATGCAGGATTGTTCAGGCTGACACCAGTCAGCAGCATCAAGCCTCAGCTGCAGCTCGGACCAACTTAGTTATGCTTTTTCTATACTTCTAGAACCATTCGGGCCCCTCTTCCCCATCATGGTCTCTACCGTCGCTTGTTTGAGTAACTATATGATCTATGGCTTAGTCTACGCACATAAAGCAGCATGGTGGGTGTCACTACTAGGTACACATTGTCTATCCTACCAGCATTGCAGTTGAGCCCCAACAGAGCCCGAAACTACGAGTAACATGAAGGCATGCGGAGTAAGCTTTGATCAGTAGTCCTATGAGTAATAACAAGATGGCTACACCACGATGAATAAACATTCTGGGCCTCCCATCCGCGGTTGGTGTAACCATGTGTCCTGCTTTGCGGCCGACAAGCTCAGTAATTTCGACTAGAGCACTGACTCATTCTGGTCTCGAGGTCTGTCAGTTCTCTCTTTCAATCTCTCGAGTTTGCATGACAGATAGTACAAGGCTGGCTCAAAGCATACCTCCTTCAGTCACTCCATCCGAGTGCCGGTCGTCGATGCAATATCCATAGCAGCATCGCCTATCATAATCGCAGTTGCTCCGTTGATAGAAGCGATAGCCATCTCGACAACGATGGCAACGTCCACTTCGACCGTAGTCTCGAATCTCGTAACAGCGATCACGTTGACCGGCCACGGCGGTCAACAGGCTGCAGCCGACAAGAAAGGACAGCCAAGAGCTGAGTTGCATGGTGGTTTGAGGCGGTTTCGTTGTGATGAAGCTTGATGATCTGGAGAGAAGGGAGACTTTCAACTCCCCCATGATGGGCGGTTGCAGTCCAGCTTAAATACCCTCGAGCTGCTGCCATGATGCCCTCGCTGGACATCGTCCGTCCGAGTGCTACAGACCTGCAGCCGCAATCCAGATTGCAATCGGAATGTTTTTGGAAGTCAATCTCCCACTCGGACATTTACCTATGCAACACAAAGACCCAGGCATCACACCCAGCTGACCGAAAAAGCTCCCCTCCTGTACAAAGTCTTCTATGCTTGTAGGACACAATACTGCAACGATGGCTACATCTTCATGGACTGATTGGCAGTAGGGTTGATGTTGGAGTCGATGGATCAGCTATGAGCATCCTCTTCGGCCGACAGGTCGAATACCTCGATTGTTGATGTCTCACTTCTCGGAGGGTACGTCTTTTTTATATTGCAATCCCCTCATCTTGGCGGTGACATTATTGTCTGCGAGTGCTACTGCAGCCAGTGAGCATCACCATGAATTTGGTCATGGTCACCAAGTTTCCCTACTAGTCCATACTTGACGACTGCCAAGTATCTTTGGTACTCGGTTCCGCTTGACTTGCCCGACGGTATCTGACACATGTTAGAATAGCTCTTCCATCCTCATGGTATCATGCAGGATGGCATAATGCAGCGGGATAAAATAGCAAACCCCATGCGGAGATGAGAGAACTAGCTGGAGTTCTGGAGTTTCGCCAACGGACGATGACCGGCTGGAAAAGTGCAGGCTATACACATCAACGCGAACGAAGCCGCTGGACTTGCGCAGAAGCGCGCAGACCAGGGCACAGCTACCATCCGCCATGTCAATGTTTCATCGCTGAAAAGTTCTTCACGGCCTCTTTGCCGATTAAAAAAAAAAACCAAGGAAAGTGGCGTCAGATTATCTGAACTTGCTGCCTGGTAATCTCGGTGACTATTTGGATGACAATCAGAATGCTGCATGGGATGAGCACTACGCCCTCACAGCTACTGCCAGGCCGAGTCGTTAAACCTTGTCGCTTAGTCTTCATCGTTTCCTGATGTGGTTATTGCAGGACAATACCGGGTTGGTGGGTCCTCGACGTCCAGAGCATAAACCATTTCAGCAACCTGTTCCAGTCCTACCTGGCCTCTTGTTGACATACCACAGAGCCTCTTTCCCGAGCTGGAGAGACTGCCCGATTAGCCTGACTGTGAAGGGGATTTGGTTTGCTGGGGATGCAGAGGGATAATTCACGCACGGTTTGGCCAGGTTGTGACGAGTGCAGGAATGGACTCGTTGACAGCAACCATGGGCATTGCGCAAGCCAGTCAAGAAGTATATCGCGCGCGGTTGCAGGTTGAAAGGTCTTGGGTAACGTTCGCGGTCTATGTCCGTAGGATGAATTGAGGTGTTAGTCAAGCGTCCAGAGGCTCTATGCAAGCCACAAACCTTGATTGGAAACTGGGCAGCGCAGCAGCAGCAGGTGGCACTTCGGCAGCTCTGCCGCCAGTCGAAAACGAGAGATCGACGACGTTTAGCAGACAGCCGAGTCGAAGGAATAGTACGTCAGAAGTGGAGATCAATGGCCTTGTGGCTGCAATTCTTGAAGCGATTGTTTTCCCAAACTGCCAGGTGTTTGCAGGTCTTTCCTTCACCGGAACAGTGCATGGGTTTAGGTTCGTCTGATGCAGGAAATATGGTTCGCTACCGCCCGGACTGTTGACACTCTATACTTGTCCCATGACTTTGAACTTCATCCCTTTCTCGAAGACTCCACAACGTGCACTGTAGCCATCATGGATGAGTTCATTGATCGCCAGCCTGGAAGCATTGTCAGAGTGGAATTCTTGGGGTCAATGCTGCTCTGGCAGCAATGAAGGGACCTGCGGACTCAATCTATAAAGCCAGGCTTGTTCTCCAGCAGAAACAACCATCTGAAGATAACATCTAAACAAGACAATCCAAACATTATCACAACTTTTCTCGCTGTCTAACTACCTCAATCAATAGAGATTATTAGAGACTCGAACCAACAATCAAGATGACTCGAATCTCGAACGCTGTCACCCTGCTCGGTGCAGGCACACAAGGCTCGCGTCTGGCCTACATGGTATGCGGCATCAAGCTCACCACTCTTCCAGTCCGTGCTAATAACCACTGCTCTCAGTGGTCTCGTCTAGGACGACCCGTGTACATCGTGGACAAGAACTCGAATCAGCTATCCCAAGCATCAAGCACCATCGAGAAGCTGCGCCGCAAAGAGTCATCACCTAGTGAACACGGCCCAATCATCGAGCTAATCGCTGCTGATCTGGACAAGGCGCTCCGTGAATCCTGGCTCGTCATTGAGGTATGTATCTCCGTCAGAAGCAGAAATGCCTGGCTATGGTACCAGTTCTAAAACCTCACCAGTGTGTCCCCGAGAATCTAGACTGCAAACGCTCCATCATCAAGCAGCTCGACAACCAAGCCGACCCAGATATCATCATTGCGTCGAACTCCAGCAGCTACTCAATCACGGAGGTCTGCGACGGCCTGGAGTTCAAAGCCGATGACCGATTCGTGAATCTGCACTCTTGTCAGTCTCCTTTGACCAAACACTCAAACTCCTTCAAATAATTAAACTAACAAACACACCTCATCCACTCAGTCTGGCCACCAGAAACACGAGGTCTGAGCCCTTCCCTCCCCCTTCCTTTACAGCAACAAAAACTGATATATATCCCACAACAGTCCTCGAAATAATGGGCACCGACAAAACCCGCCCCGACATCATCCCCCGCCTCATGGACGAGTCCCGCGAGCATGGGTTCCAGCCCTTCCACGTCCGCAAATCCTCCACCGGATACATCTTCAACCGGTACCTCGCCCAAGCCCATCTTTTCATGAATCTCCCCCGAACCTTTGCACATGCTAATGCCCACGGGCATATTAGGATCTGGGCCGCCATCAAGCGGGAGACTCTGATGGTGCTGGAGGAAGGCATCGCCACCCCGGAAGAGGTCGACCAGATGTACAAGGCCGTCCTGCACACTCCCAAGGGCCCCTGCGAGCAGATGGATGTGGCCGGGCTGGACGTGATTCTGGCGATCGAGGAGCATTACGCGGAGGTCCGGTCGGGCATCCCCGACGGACCACGCAAGTATCTGCGGGAGATTGTGGACCGGGGGCATCTGGGGGTGAAGACTGGCACTGGGTTTTTTGATTATAATGAGTAAAGAGACGGTGTGTGGGTGCTTTGTACTGTACTGTTCTGTGAAGCTTACTTGGCTTGAGTCTGGTTTACGTGGTTGATCTTTATTATCGATTATCGGGGAAGGGCATGTAGAGTATTTTTGGTCTATGAAGTATGGGCAGCCTAGCTGTTTGACTGATATTTTCTTTTCTTGTTTTTCCTGGCATATACTGCATCTCCGGCACTGGCGTTTATTTACTTTTGTTTTTTTGTCACTCCTTGTTTTCATTTTTCGGGTGCGTTTAAGGTATGTTTACGCTTACAAGCTTTTGATGAATATATTCCGTCACCAACACATGGATTACAATCAGAGTTAAAAAAGATTATGAAGATAAGCCCCCTGTTGCCCATTATGAGCATAGGAGTCAGTATCTCTAGATCAGTAGATTTCGAATGGTTGGTATCTTCAATGTGCTGGTACATAAATATACATCAACGAGCTGCTATATCATACATGCGGCTGCCCTTGTAATTCATGCGTCTTTCTTGTCTTCTTTTCTTCAATATATTCTTCTCTTCTCTTTTTTTTTCTTTTGCTGTCTCGTTTTTCTCGGCAACTTTTCTACAACATCAATACAAGAAACATCACAGGTTCATCGTTACAGTCATACTGTTGCTATGCACCAGCAAACAAGGCGGCAAACCCTGCCAGAAGATCTCCAGATCGCTCAGGTACGAAGCACTCGCCGTCTCATTCTGCGCCGTTCCCTCGGACGGTGATGGCAGTGTCGTGAAGATCACCGCGGTGTCTTCGCTATGTCTCACCATTAGCTCGTTCAGAATCAGGTGCTGCGCCCGGCTTGGTAAATCGTTGAACGAGAAGGGCACAGACGCCTGCTGTGGGTACCCAGATGCGGCTGCCGCTCGCGCTGCAAAAACAGACGAGGGCCCGGAGGATGAACGGCGGGTATAGATGGATTCAATTCGGTGGTGAGAGGCGGAGCGCGGCGGGGAGGAGCTAGCGGCGAACATGATGGACGGGCCAGCGCCTTCTTCTTCGGTGTTGACGCGGGCTTCAGGGATGGGGGAGGAGCTGAAGCGGTTGCTGGACGGTGAGCGGGAGGGTTTGGGCCGCGGGAGGACAGTTGATGGTGATGGGGGAGTTTGAGGGGTTCCTGCGGGGTCTGTGCCAGTGTCGGCGGTCATGATGATCGAGGGGACGGGTTGGTCCGGGGTAACAGATTCAGATGATTCTCTTTGTTTGGCTTTGATGGAGCTGAAAATATTCTGCTGGGAGCTTTGGTCGGGGTCATGGGAGTAGTCGTGTTGGTGATGCTCGTCTTCCTCATCAGACTCGTTATCATCCCGGTATGGTTCAAACTCCTCGTCGCTGCTGTCACTTGTGCTGGACTCGCTGGAGACGTCGTAGTCCACGAAAGCATCGAGCAGGCGATGGGTTTGCATACCCAGACTGACGCTTCCGAGGCCACGGAAGCTGGAGATTGATCGTCGTCGTTTGGATGACTGCATGAGCTTTCGCAGTCCGCCAACCAGCTGGTGCGGTGGTCGCTGAATACCACTTTCAGGGCTTTGGACAGGCCAGCTGGACATCCTCTCCCTTGAGTGGGCGATTCTACCAAGTTCGGCTTGGTCATGGGCCTCGAGAACGCTACGAGCTCGTCGAATGTCTTGCCACCAATCTTCATCCTTGAGAGCTTCGTGAACATGGTCGGCATAATCTTCCGTCTCTGGAGTCACTTCACCATTCACAATCATACGGTATGTTTTGAGGTCTCCGCAGGCAAGCCAGAACACCAAGACCTCGGCCTCGATTCTGAGCTTTTCTAACAACGCCTCGACCCTGCCCCGTTCGTCCTCCACGTCAGTCTCGTACTCGACGAATACTGATACCCGCAGCTTGTATGTCTTTTTCCAAGATGGGACGGTGTTAAGGATACACCCTAATTGCAAGATCAAGGTGTAAGTGTCGAAGTTCGTAGTCAAAACATTCTTCTTGCTCTCAGTATCCGCGCCTAGCTCTGCACTCATCTGAATGGGCCAAAGATCGATATACTTTTTCATATGTTGTCCCTGAGGACCGGGCAGCTCGAGGTTTTCGAATCCTTTAGCCACAGCAACGTTCATGCGCAGCTTGAAGAGGAGATCCTCCAAGATAGTCACATAGCTTCGGCAGGCCATTGGTGTCTCGGGCGAGCTGTCTGTCACTGAGATTGCCTCACGCGAGATGCGTCTACCTCCTGAGTCTTTTCGTCCTGAATCTCTTCGGCCTGGAAATTGGAATTTCTCCACTAAGGACCGGCCTTTACGGAACTGATCGATGATCACAATATTCGGTCGCATTCCGCCAAGTCCCGCACTCAAAGCAACATTGCGAATACCCCATTCTGGTGTTGGAGAGACCGTGATATTGACAAAAGCCTTGACTTTAGAATTCTCAACGAACTTGGTCCACGCACTCTGTTGACGCCGGGCTTCCGGCACGGCTGCGGAAAAGTCATCGGTGACAAGAACGTGACCTAGTACAAATAAGCCCCCTTTTTTCAGAGAGTTGCAGAAGGAAATCATCCGAGACTGTTCCTCCAGGTTGGTCACAAATAGTAAGATCTGGGGTCGCCAGAACTTGACGTGTTCTTGCCGAAGCCGAAGCAAATACTTTCGCACCTGGTGGTAGATCAGACTCTGGCTCACATCCCCCCATGGCTTGGGCGGTGAACTATAGTGGATGAGAAGGAAGAGTAGCATCAGTATCGCAACGCAACCTGAAGCATAGACGCCATCCACAAAAAACATGCTTGCCCCGCAGACCAACGCGCCTGTTGCTGCGGTCTGCCAATTGAAATAGTGGAAGGAGGGGCGGAAATTCGGAGCAGATCCGATCTTCAGCAGAAAACAGGCAAGGTTTGTGACAAGGAATGTCATGAGATATGTCATGGTAACGAATGAGGCAATCTGGTTAATGTCAAACAGCATCGTAACCTGAGCGACTATGTAGGTTATGATGATCGCGTAGACAGGTTCATCAGCTTTCTTCGTGCCCTGGCCGAAGATCCCCAGCCCTGGAAGCAGGCCATCTCGTGCAATTGCTTGAAGAAGCTTGGCCGAACCGATAACTCCCATCAATGATGAAAAGAAACTGGTTGCAAACTCCCCCATGAGGATGACAGCCCCGGAGAGATTCGCCTGCCATACAATTAGCACGTGATAATGCGTAGTCTTTTATGCAATCACTCACTACTTGTACAACATTGGCATTTCTGTAAAATGAGTCACGGGTGATGGAGGCAGCCATAGCGACGATCACCAAAGTATAAGTCACAAATGTGAGCCCCAGGCCGCACAGAGTGCCCTTTGGGATGGATTTGCTAGGGTTCTTGAGATCCCCAGACATACTAGCACCGCTGCTGATGTGTGAGTCTCGTATACTATGGTCGTGGGAGACGTACCTACGCGAAAATACCACCAGTAGCAGGGAACAAGATACCAAACAGATCTTGGAAGTTCTCACGTCCTGGGAGCTGGCTGCCTGCCGCACCCTTCGTGAGCTTGGGCTTGAGATTCTCTAACAACGTCTGTAGGCGGAAGCCCGTGAACTCGACTCCGATTCTCGGGATGCTGAACGGTTTCATGATTATGGCAGATAATGGTATGCTGAAGGTTGCGACCAGCAGGATGACCAACAGTCCGTTGCTGGCCCTGGAAAAGATCGAGCTTCCAGCTAAGCATATTCCAGTACAGAGGACTAGGATTATGGTGCCCCAGAGATACTGCCACCAGAAGCCCTCTTCGAGAAAATTGGCCCAGGTGCCGGATTCTGTGCCGAAGTTCTGTTTGAAACAATCAACCAGACCCACCGCATTCATACCAGTGTTCAGCACATATCCAAGGTAAAACACAATGCCAATGGAGCCACCAAACTCCGGGCCCAGTGAGCGAGAAATCAGATAGTATGCGCCACCACCGCGGACTGTGCCATTAGTCGCGATGGCGGAAAGCGACATGGTCGTCACCAGGTTGATGGTGTACGAAATGACAAGTAGACCTTGTTTCTGTCAGTCAGTCATCGGTGTGTCTAGATACGACATGCAGTATATTTACCTAGCATTCCCAGCAGTCCAGCTTGTCCAAGGATGAACCCGAACCGGAGAAACATCAAAATACTCAAGACGTTCAATGTCGTTGGTACAAAGACTCCTGAAAATGTCCCCAGCTTGTCAGGATTGTCGGAAGCTCGGTTCTGAGCCTCGCGCTCTTTCTGGTCTACGCCAGACTCTCTGAAGGGACCTGAAGCTGGGGGTGGAGGAAGAGTCCCTTCCCTGGGAAAGTCGTGTCTTCCATCCCTGCCTTGTCCGCTCCACCACTGGGTAACATTACTGAAGAGATTGGTAGGAAGTGAGTGACGGTGCCGCTCAGGCGAACGTGTAGATGGCCTCAGCGGTTCATATCGATGGTTCTCACGACTTGGAACTGTAGTTGTTCCTTGAAAGACTTTGCTACTGTGTTCCGGTGATGCTTTAGTCGATTCACTAGGGTCTAATCTGGAGACATCCTCCTCAGCGGTGCGCGTGGAGAAATTGGGCCTCCGTCGAGACAGGGAGTCCGAAGAATTGGCGGCCCGTTGGTCAGTCATCGATTTCAGCGCCTCCACTCCTTTTGAGTGAGTGTGTCCGCCTGGCCTGCATGCAAGCACCCCCGATAAAAATTGGGAGGGTGGGGTGGAGAACTGTCAAGTCCGGGGAAAGACTAAGATTGGAAGGGCAGGCGGACTCGGCGATAAGGAATTTACTGCTGACCCAGTCACGAGGAGAGTAATGTGACAACAGCGACAGCAGTAATCCTCGTGTAACAGAATGGAGAGTAAAGGGAAAGGAAGGTAAGCAAGTAGCACGAGCACGAGATATGGGGGGAGGAATGGATGGATGGATGCCAATCGCGTGTTTGATTAACCGTTATCTTCAAGCAAATTCATCGGGCGGCGATGACCTCATGTGGCCCCCTAAACAAACAGTGCAAATCGTCTGTGCTTCTCCTCGTATTGCCTCGTTTGCGACTAAATCGATGATCTCTCATCATTCTTCTACATATAGACTATGTTACAGGGTGGACATGATTCATTTCACCCGCCTCATCCTTTTTCGGGTTACGTTGCAAAATAGGCTGGAGACTAGCTAAGTCAACTCACAGGAGGCTTAGCTAGTTAGTGTCCCTGTCGGTCTAATGCGGTGAATCAATTGTGGCTTGCACTTATCCCCGGCTTTCTTTCGACCTTCATTAGCTATTCTTCTTTCTCCCCCTCCACACACACACACACCCTCTCTCTCTCTCTTCTCCCCGAACTCTGCTCTTTGACCAGCATCTGTCAAACCGGTTATTTTCTTAATCTTGGTTCACTTCCGAAAACTCAAATAGACGAATTGTTTTCGGGATTGTTCCAGGGTTTGTCTGATCCTTGCACAAGGACACTTCTAACTCATCTGCCAAAATGTCATCCCCAAAGGCATTCGACAATGGGGAGGGCTCTTCGTCTTTACGGCCCCGTTCATCGTCGCCAATTTCTACCTCTGCAATGCGGTCTAGATCTCCTGCAACCGACGCCTCGGTGAGGCATGCCTCGATCGCCCGCCTGGCGTCCCCGATTCCCTCTCCCTCCAATCATTCTTACTCATCCCGACAGGTGCCCGTGCCCGTGCAGTCGGCAAGTGGCACCGTCGATGATTATCGCAAAGTCGACCATCCCTCCTCCATACCAGGCCCGGGCCATTCAATGATCTCCTCTGCTCTCCAGGAGTATATGGGTAAATCGCCGCCAGCGAGAGTAGGAACTCCGCCCAGACAGACCGCGTCTCCTGCTCTACTAAACCAACCCATTCGATCGAACTACGGATCCTTTGACGGACGAGAGGGCTCGGAGTATTCAGCGGGTCCTTACGAAGATCCGGAAGTTGTCAAGCGGCATCTGGTACAACCTCAAAATGGAGAAGGCCGAGATTACTATTTCTCGGGCGATGCCGCCAGTAACGCGGACGACGAGTTCTCCAGCTTGCAGCTCCAGGGTGGTGACATAACCAGGCAGGTTTACAGATGGGCGGAAGATGCAGAAGCTGGTAATTCCCTGCGTAAACCGCAACGGAGTAGGAGTTTCAGCCATAACCGGCCTCTGCCCCAAGACGAAACCATGAACATCAACAGCATTCGTGTGCCGGGAGGGTTCCGCAGGGACTATCTGCGAAGAGCTGTAGGCCCTGGGGACTCTGAAGACTCAGGTTTGCAGGTGCCCGTCAGCCAACCTCAGTTTCCGACAAGCAGCTTTCTTGAGTTCTTGACCCTGTATGGTCACTTTGCGGGTGAAGAGCTAGAAGAGGATGATGAGGTGCTGGGTCCTGACGAGTACTTCTCGTCCGATACCTATGACGAAGTTGAGGGTAGAGAACCAGGTGAAGACTCGGCTTTGCTTCGCCCGGATACGGCTGGTAGAAGAAAGCGCAAGCCGCGCGGTGGCACTGGAAACAACACGGTGACAGGAGCGGCTCTTCTACTACTTAAGTCCTTTGTGGGAACGGGAGTTCTATTCCTTCCAAGGGCTTTCTTGAATGGAGGGATGCTGTTCAGTAGCATGGTTCTGCTTGCAGTGTCGCTTCTCAGTTTCTACTGCTTCATACTCCTGGTCAACACCCGGTTGAAGGTTGATGGCTCGTTTGGTGATATTGGCGGCCATCTCTACGGCAAACACATGCGGCGCATTATCCTGGGCTCGATTGTTCTGAGCCAGCTAGGCTTCGTGTCGGCGTACATCGTGTTTACCGCGGAGAACCTACAAGCCTTCGTCCTCGCCGTGAGCAACTGCAAGTCTTTCATTGACATCAAATTCATGGTGTTGTTGCAGCTAGTCATCTTCCTTCCTCTTTCGTTGATCCGCGATATCAGCAAACTTGGTTTTACCGCACTGGTCGCTGATCTCTTTATTCTGCTTGGTCTGATTTATCTCTTCTACTATGATTTTCTTACCATCTCGAACCAGGGTGGTATCTCCGACATCATCTCTTTTAACCCGTCCACGTGGACTCTATTCATCGGAACAGCTATCTTCACGTACGAAGGAATTGGCTTGATCATCCCCATCCAAGAATCTATGAAGGAACCTCACCGCTTCCCCGGTGTTCTGGCTGGCGTCATGGTCATTATCACGATTGTGTTCCTTTCCGCTGGCGCCGTCAGCTATGCAGCCTACGGTTCGGCGACCAAGACTGTTGTCATCCTGAACCTTCCCCAGGATGACAAATTCGTGAACGCGGTGCAGTTCCTCTACTCTCTAGCCATCCTTCTCAGCACCCCGCTGCAGCTCTTCCCTGCCATTCGTATCATGGAGAACGAGCTGTTCACACGTAGTGGAAAGTATAACCCCTGGATCAAGTGGAAGAAGAACTGTTTCCGATTCTTCCTCGTCATGATTTGCGCATTCGTCGCCTGGGGCGGCGCCGAAGATCTCGACAAGTTTGTGTCGCTCGTTGGCAGTTTCGCCTGTGTTCCATTGATCTATGTATATCCGGTAAGCTCTTGAGCCCTTGCACCGCTCTTCCCGTCCTTTGTCACCTTATCACTGACAATGTATCACACAGCCTCTACTTCACCTCAAAGCCTGCGCTCAGTCTCGCAGACAGCAGATTGCCGACATAGCTCTGGCCATCTTCGGTGTCCTCAGCTGTCTGTACACAACATCGCTGACGCTGAGCAACTGGATCAATGGCGGTGACGTCAAGCCTCCGGGATACTGCGACTCCTGATCTGTATAGATTGCTCCACGAATTGTCTACTGAACCTCCTCTGATCTCCGATCCTTCCTTAACGAATTGTCCAGTACGTATATGATGGACTTGTGATGCCCACTACTGTTGTTACAGATACATAGCTCTTCTGTCTGTTCGATTATCTTGCTTACTTGCTTGTTCTGTCTCTGTGCTTGGTTACGAGACCATTGTCAACATCAACCCAGCCCTTCCCTATCTGCTCTGGTTCCCTCGACCGGTTTCTTGCCATGTTCGATATAGACTCTAGACGAGATTGCCAATTTACGCACTATACATCATGAACCCACAAGACAATCAAGAGCTCTGCGTAGACACTTCAAAAGACTATACGAAGAAGGGAACCTAACCGGACCAATATCCAATTCTAGTAGGACGCGATAGAGGGAAAAAAGAGAGAGAGCTATATACAAAAAAAACCAAAGCAACCCGCCATGCAAGAACTTGCTAGTAACGGAAAGCGGAGGAGCCGGAAGAAAGTCACGAGAACCCACAAAACCGTGTAATCAGAAGCAACAGCAGCAGCCAGCCAGCCCCCCTTTACAGACAAAGGAATAAAGGAAAATGATCCGTAAATCCCTCTCCCCTTACCTAACTGCTACATCATACAGGTTCCCAACACCCGCAATTCCATTCAGCGAACCACCCCCGCCACACCCGCAGCACAGAAAAAGAGGACGAGAAAACCTCATAAGGAGGGAGCGAGAGCGAGAGAGACAGGGCGAAGAGGCGTTGTCTATTGGCCGGCTTCGGTGGCTTCCTTGCCCTGCTGAGCGGCCTGGGCGAGCTTGGCTTCACGGCCACCCCAGCTGTTTTTGGGATAGATATTAGTTTCTGTGGTCTGTTGGGACAGTTTGACCGCCACGTAGGTCGGATATTGGGAGGGGTCTGAGGGGGGAAAGAGAGAACCCACTTCCAGTAGTTCAGGTAGCGGTAACCTTGGGTCAGCTGGGCGGAGAAGTTGACGGCGTGGCAGGCGAACAGAAGGTAGTTCTTGGGGGAGACGGCGAGAGCGTAGCGCATGAAGGTACCGGAGTAGATCACGAGGGCACCAGTCATTTGGCCGGAGATGCTGTGGGAGGCAGGGGTTTGATCAGCGTCAGGGCTCCGATTTCTTGTTTTTGTGTTGATGATTGTTTCAATGTTCTTTGGGGCGAGATGCTCCTTCTTCTCTCACTTTTCCGTCTTGGCCGCGGGACGAAAGGTGAAGGCGCGATGAAAGGGGGGGGAGGGAAGGTATTGGGTGAAACGTACATCTCGGGGTCCTTCTGGGTGTCCATGACAGCGGCGATGGGGATACCGAAGTTGGAGGCAGGGCCCCAGAAATCTGCATGATAATAAAGAGGTTAGTCGAGGACATGAACTAGCAGCTGGAAAATGTGTATGATCCCAGCGCTGCGAGCAATTGCCCGTTGTGAGACGGAGACAAGCTGTTTCGTCGTCTCTTCTGTCCGTCTTACTGCAGGACTTCATTGCCGGCCGATCTCGGTCAGGGCACGGGGAAGGGAACCGGGGCGCAACACGTACGTGTAGAGCAGACATAGTCCAGAACCTTGTTGGAACGGATCTTAGCATTGATTGCCTTGATTACAGCAGCCATGTTGAGCGACGAAGGCAAGAATGAATGGAGCGGAGAGTGACGCTGAGAGGAGAAGAACGGGTTAAGAAGGCAGAGAGAGCGAGGGTTGCTTTGCTGCGCTCCCCGTCACTGCGCCGTCGCCGGGCGGAGAGACTCGGATGAGGTCACGTGTTGGCCAGTTGCCGGAGTTCGTTGACTCCGGTCTACGGGGCTTTTATGCAGTACGGAGTGATACGCTTTTCCTGTCCGACACCGTGAAAGAAAATAAAGCTCTGGGTCTCATTATAGTTGAATAGTACAGTGCTTGTTGGAAGAATATCTACCATTGCTTCCGCCGATCCTAGCCTTGTTGTTTTCAGTCGACCTTTTCTTATCTGAGGAGCATCCGCACACGCCGAAACGCCTTTGCCTGATAAATTGAGGATGCTGTGCTTTCATTTGTTGAAGCTTCCATAAGCCAACCATGAGCGAGAGGTTTGAGCCTCATGCTCGACGTTCAACTCGATTTCTGCCATGCTTGAAGTCATGGTCAGATTGTACGCTATCATGCCACGCCACCTACTATCAAATCACCGTCCGCCAAACCCGGGAGGAGGATAGCCCCGGCCCTGGCCCGGAGGCTGGAAGCCCGGAGGAGGTTGGAAAGCACCCGCTGCAGCGAAATAGATGTTAGTTAACGTAGAATATAGTCAATGGACATAGAGTTACTTACGAGGAGCACCTTGGGGCGCAAATCCAGGAGGGGGAGCGAAGCCAGCTAGATTATCGCTTAGTCAATCAGGCCAATGACGGCTAATATAAGAGGTACTTACGAGGTCCTCCAGCAGGTCCTCCGCGACCAGCAAAGCCCGGAGGCGGCGCGCCGGGGAAGCCACCCGGAGGGAAGCCGGGGAAACCACCAGGGGGAGGGGGCGGGCCACCGACGCCAGCAGCAGGGCCTCCAAGTCCGACCGGCAGACCACGTCCAGCGGGTTTGCTAATGCCAGGACCAGCAGCAAGGGTAGCAGCAGCGGCAGCGGCAGCACCGGGGACGCTTACTCCCAAACGTGCGGAGGGGTCGGCGGGTGGGGGTCCATCAACGGAGCAAGAGACGACGTGAGTACCACGAACGATGGTCAAACCGAGGGTTCGCTTCTCTTCGGCCTCGACCAGGCTCGCGGTGGTCGACCCCGCGGCGGGCTTGGATTTCCGCTTGACGCGACGGAATTCTTCGGTGTCGGCAAGGACAAGGTTCATGTGCTGCGCAGAGATGTCAACATGCATCCAACCAGGCAAGGTCGGAGTGAAGTGTAGTAGCTTGGGAGAAAGTAAGTACCTTGTCGAAAGCAAGCATCTGTCCTGTCATTTGTCGGCCATCGTTCAAGGTAACTCTCATCCGGTAGTTGATCTGCGGTCAAAGTCAGAGCTGAATCACGGCGACCACCAGATGGCATCATAATCATCATCACGGTTGGAGACTCACGAGGTTTTGCTAGAGGAAGTAAACAGTTAGCTCAAATTGTTCTATGATACTCAATCCATCCATTATCAAAGGAAGAGGGGGTGGGGGGAGGTGACGCAGCTTACCATCTTGCCCTGCTTGTTAGCCATGTTAGGCGGTGTTTTGCGCACGAATGCGACTTGGATAGGATTCAAAGAATGGAAGTGGGAGTCAGGAAGAAGGGGAAAAGAAGAGGTGCTTCTTTTCTGGTTAACTTCACTCCGTGATCCGGGGGGAGACAGCAGGCGCGCAAGTAGGTTAGCAGGCTAGCTGGAACTTTTGGCACCGACTGACTTGAGCTCGAGCCGACCTGGACTTGAGGTTCCCAACTTGCCCATGTCAGGTGAAGCGCGCGGCTCTTGCGGTCTTGGCGCCGAAGCGCCGATGCCAAGCCACTAAGGGCTCTCGCTTCCCACACGGCCAACCCACACATTTCCCTTTTCCACACTTTTCGATCCTGTCTCTCTTTCACTCAACCAGTCGACCAGTTCACGCCAAAAGCAGTCGCCATGGTAGGTTTCCCTCCCATCAGCTCAATCTCCAGCACTTCATTGTCCAGAATCTCTGGATTTTGCGATCGATCTCGAATTTCTCCCTCCAAAACTATCGAAGAAAACCCAATTTTCTAACATAATTTTTTTCTCGCCATGCAGTCGGAAGGAAAGGACAAGAGCGCCAACCCTATGCGCGAGCTGCGCATCCAGAAGCTCGTGCTCAACATCTCTGTCGGCGAGTCTGGTGACAGACTTACTCGCGCTGCTAAGGTGCTCGAGCAGCTGAGCGGTCAGACTCCGGTCTACAGTAAGAACGCCCGATCCCGAATCCGATGAATGAAGAACGAAAGGACGACAAGGAAAAGAGGAAGGAAAAGAACACCACGCAATGAGGGAAACAGTTGGGCTGATGGACCACTTTTTTTGCAACCTACAGGCAAGGCCCGTTACACCGTCCGTACCTTCGGTATCCGCCGTAACGAAAAGATCTCCGTCCACGTCACCGTCCGTGGCCCCAAGGCTGAGGAGATCCTCGAGCGTGGCCTCAAGGTCAAGGAGTACGAGCTCCGCAAGCGCAACTTCTCCGAGACCGGTAACTTCGGTTTCGGTATCTCCGAGCACATCGATCTTGGTATCAAGTACGACCCCGGAATCGGTATCTACGGCATGGACTTCTACTGCTGCATGTGAGTGGCCCTTTCGACTTTGGGGAATACCATATCCCCCAACCAGATCTCGTCTCCGACTCGATTCCTGACAATGGTAATCCAATAGGACCCGCCCCGGTGAGCGTGTTGCCAAGCGCCGCCGCTGCAAGGCCAGAGTCGGCTCCCAGCACCGCATCAACCAGACCGAGACCATCAAGTGGTTCAAGAACCGCTTCGACGGTATCGTCCGGTAAATGCCTTTCCCTTAGGAAGTCATCTTGATTTCTCTCCCTTACGAAAGTCTTCAATGACGGGAGAAGGGAAAAGGAAGCAATTCTGAAAGGGCTATGTGCTTTTATGACGGAAACGGCACCGAACTCGGGACCGAAAAGAAGAAGAAAAAAATGGACAGAAAAAAGAGGGCAGGCGTTTTTCTTTCCAACTTTTTTTTGTCGCTCTGCTCTGAAACTTAAATGCTTCTATCACGGCAATGAGGTTAGGCGTGTTAGAGATATGAAATTCCCCCCCAATTTTCCTCAAAAGACACATCCCACTTTTTCTCTCAATGAAGGCTTTCACACAGGGTGAATGATTTTCCGCATAACCATTGATTGAAAATTTTACTGGATGACATATGATGCCATTCATTCTTCTCGGATGCTCATTGTCTTCTTGCTCTGCCTCCTGCCTGCCCTATCAAACGGCAGTTGCATGGTGTGCATCTCGGCCTGCTGGCTTCGTCTATTCTGGAATTTGCCTTCTTTTGGTTCCTTTCAGATGGCGAGTCAGTCTTTCCCTCTTCTCTCCTCTTCCCCTTGGGATGTCTTGTCTTGTTTGGCAATCTCCCTCGAGGATTCGTCTTCTTTCCTGGATTAGTGCTAGAGGCATGGGCATTGTGACCCGGCTCTGTGTTTCCAGTCTGGATGTAGATCGACCGTAGCTGTAGGGTCGTAGCAGACGCGAATTGATCGGATCTTGAACTCTAGACTTCTTTACCCCAGACGGCACTAGTCCAAAAGCGCCTTGACCTTGATGCTTAATCTCATGCCCCGGTCGATCATACCGGCCTTGCTATCTCTGGGTCTAATGTCCCATGTTTATTTCCTTTCACCAACCATCCGGGGGTTACTGCTGACCTGGAACCCGTCCTCTGGACAAACACCCTATCTAGGCCTTGGCCAAGACTGAACGAGAGAAGCCATGAACCTCTTGAGCCGAACACTGATCTCATGAGAATACACTATGACTGCGATGCATATTTGACATAATATCGAACCAGCCCGTCAACATGTTCTGCTCCCATACACACAACAAGGACATCTGAGGGGTTTCCTTTTCTCTCACCACAAACACAAAACAAAATATGACAGCGGATACAAAAGACTAAACTTGTTACCTACTACCAAAGATATACACCTCCTGTGGTTTTACTTTCCCTGGTTAGATCCGCGGGTGTATCCATCCCACCACCGGGCGAACATCCCACCCGTCTGAGCCTGCTCGGTATAGCTCTCACGGCGTGACGCAAAGTTGGGGTCGGCCGAGTTCCGCTTCTGACTAGTCAGACCCTCGAACAAGGATGAGTTTTGGCCACTGGAGCGTCTCCGGTCCGGGGCCCGAGGCGGACTGCTGGACATGTTGGTGGAGTTGGAAGACATATCAGAGGAACTCGAGCCCTATTAGATGTGTCAGTAGAGTGTTGTGAGAGAGAGAGAGAGAGACTGTGCTGTGCTGTGCTTGCTACATGAGGTTTGCTGGTCTCTGCTTTTGCGACTCCAACGCTTGAATAGCATATGACGAACACAACACAAAAGGCATGTGATACAGGAGGGCTTATGAGAATAGACGAAGACATACACGTCTATCGGTAGTCATCTCCGGTCCGGTCGCGGTAGTGTACACCGATCCGCCTGGCACCGAAGGACGGCGGAAGTAGGGGGAGGACGGACCACCGCGGACCCAGACGTTGAGATGCTCGTGACGGTTCCCGGGGTCTCCGTGCCAGTGACGGGGAGACTGTGGCTGGTCGTTGCTCATGGTTTCAGTTGGAATGGGGGGTTGAAGAAAGATGGATGGGCGAAGATGCAGTGTCAACTGCTCACTTCGTGAGTTGAAGAATAGGAGACACAAGAGGGGGAAGCATGGGGATGATGTGCATAAGCCTGTGACAGTAGGTGCGACAGTGGTGTACAGAAGGGTACAAACGCTGTGGTGTGTACAAAGTTACATGACACTTGCGCCCAGATTAAGATTCGACACGACAGTCTCGGCGTCATTTTGATGGCAGCGAAAACGAGATAATCTCGAAGAAGTCAGATCATGAAGTCAAGTCCACTTACCAGAGGTTGACAATAATGTTAGAACTTGGTTTGGAATCGGCTTGCAAGGAAACAGTATACTGAGTTCTTGGAAGAAAGCAAATCTACCTAAGCATATGGGACGACGGAGTAGGAGGTAATATACCTCTGGAGGGGTCAAGAAGAGGGGGGTCCGGGACAATACTGTGAAACAGACCCTGGGAATGATGATGCATCAGAACCACAAGCTCATCGTTAAGGAGGGGCAAAAGTACGAGTCTAGGCCAAATGAGCCAATAATGGAGACGTTGAAAGGATGGGCAATGAATCATCATCCATGATTCATCCATCCATGGATGCTCCTCCAGTCCCAGTCATAGTCACCGGACCGGGCTGACGTATGCGGGGATCGGAAAGAGGAGATAATCGAATGTTGTCTCGCTGATCATGATTAGAAAGAGAGTACCTAGTAAAGTGCCTAGTAAAGTGCCTAGGTAGTAAATGTGAGTGGCAGCAGGCTAGCTCATCCAGCTGCAGCATGTCAAGCCGAGAATCCGGGGACAGTGGCGGCCTTGATGCCTCAGGCCACCAGTCATGGTCGGAGTCCAGATCATGAGCCGAAGCGGAATGGCACCCTCTCTTTCTCCTCTTCTCCGCATCTTCTTATCATCGAAATTGTTCTCTGGTGCCAATCACCATTCCGCGCGCCCTGGTCTCGGCTCGGCTATCAGTCAAACAATCTTCTTTTGTCAATAGTTTCGATTATCAGTCCCTCGGTCGATTGCTTGACTCCTCGTCCTTATATAGTCCCAAGCCGGTCTTTTCGGGGGGGCATTGTTTACAGGCCTGTACATACATACCCACTTCTCCAGTCCCCTCCCCACCTCCTCACCAGCGCATTGAACCAAATCACAATCACCATGGAATATACTAGGCACCCCTATCGCCAATTCCTCGGCCAACACGGCTACATCGAAGGAGTTGCTTTGCACGAGAAAACCACCAAAAAACCCTACTGCCACTACTTCGGCGGGGTACGCTACGCCCACCCGCCCCCGCAACGTTGGCGCAAGGCCCAGAAGCTGTCCACCTCCTACTCGTATGGCTCGAAAGATCAACCAGGCCGTGCGGACGGGCGTACGGGGATCTGCCCGCAGCCTCGATTCCTGGATGTGGTCTCCGAGGACGGCTGGACGGAGGATTGTTTCCAGTGCAACATCTGGGTTCCTACAGGCAAGGCACCTGAGAATGGTATGTGATATCTGTCTCCAACCCCAACAAGGAGATAGGACAAAACCAATTGCTGTCCCCACAATCCCCCATGTGCTTTGCATATCATAAACCGCGCGCTCAGACTCAATTCTCAACATCAAACAGGCTGGCCAGTTCTCTTCTTCATCCGTAAGTCGCCTTTCCCTTCTGTTCTTCCATGATGATTAACAACCACCTCAGACGGTGGATTCCTCCAATTCGGAGACCCCAATGCATTCTCCGCCGCCGCTCTTCTCGGAGAAGCCCAATTGAACGCCATCGTCGTCCTCCCAGCCTACCGCCTGAACGTGTTCGGCTTCCTCTACTCCTCCGAGCTGGAGCAAGACGCCGCCTCCGTGAACGAGAGCGTGGGCAACCACGGCTTCTGGGATCAACGCCTGGCCCTAGAATGGACCCGGGATCACATTCGTCTATTTGGGGGGAATCCCTCCGAGATCACCGTAGCAGGATACTCAGCAGGTACGCTATCCCGGTGCCAAAACACCATCATTTTGCAAAAAGGAAATCACCATCCCCTACCTACCCTACCCTCAAACCCCAAACCCCTAAACTAACCACCTCAAAAAAAAGGGGCCTACTCAACCTTCCACCAACTCTCCCACGACCTCTCCCTGCCCCCAGACCAATCCATAATCAAAAGAGTCTGCATCTGGTCCAACAGCCCGGTCGCGCAACCCAAACCCCCCACCACCGCGCAAACCCAATTCACGCAGCTCCTGCACCAGCTGTCCATCCCCTGCACCCTGCCCGGCCCCGAACGCCTCGAACGCCTGCGGGCCGTCCCCGCCCCAACCCTCCTCCAGGCCGCCATGGCCCTCCCCAGCAACAACCAATTCCGGCCCACCACCGACGGCACGTTCATCGCCAGCGACCTCTTCACCTCCCTCGACGACGGCACCTGGGCCCGCCGCCTCCGCGCCCGGAACATCCGCATCCTCTGCGGCGAATGCCGCGACGAGCGCAACCTCTACGCGACGTGGTTCCCGCCCACCGAAGACTCCCTCCCCGCGCTGCGGGACCGCCTGAGCGCCGAGTACCCGCGGCCGCTGGTCGAGACCCTCCTGCAGCTGTACTACCCGGACGGAAAGCTCCCGAAAGGCGTCCGGGATTGGCGCACCGATGCCTTTGGGCGCGTCTATGCGGACATGCAGGTGCATAAGATGCAGCGGGGGTTGGTGCATGCCTTGGCGGAAACGGCGGCACCGGAGGGGGGGGCGGGGGAGGCGGCATCAACAACAGACAACCTGGTGTATCGGTACCGCGTCGAGTATCGGCTGAAGTGCGCCGATAAGTCCCTCCCGCCCAGTTGGGGCGTGACCCATGCCACCGATCAGTATATCTGGTTCTGGGGCAATGGGGAACGGGTCGAGCCCCAGGAGAAAGCCGTCATCTGGAACGCCCTGGTTGAGCCCCTGAAGAAGTTCGTGCACGGGGAATCAGATCTCCAGTGGGGGACCGTGGGTCATAAGCAGCTGAGGACCCTGCTGCCGGATGGCTCGGTCCAGATCAAGGAGGATGCCTTCTGGGATGAGGCCATGCGCGTCTGGAAGGCCTTGAGGGAGGTGGGTGAGCCAGACAGCGCTTCCGTTGCGAAGCTATAATCATGAATCTCGAGCCCATCCTATCCACTGGCATTGAAATGTGTCTTATCTATGGTCTTCTGGTTGACAACTAGAGAACCGACATGGCTTAGGTGACATTCCATGCATATACAAAATGTATGAGTATTATCTACGACGTACGACTTTTGCGTATTTGTGACTCAAAAATAACTCTACTCATTCATATATATGGCCGATATTATGTTTGGAATGGCCAGCTCGCGGTCAGAACGAACATGAAATAAACGGGAACAAACCAACCCGGAAAGAAACGCTTGAACACAAAACACCTCAAATCCTCACAACCAAGCCGACAACAAGCGCGCATCGCGAGGAACATAAGTCATAGATTCTTTTAACATCGTGCAATGTTCATCCTACATCAGGCTTTGACGATCTTGCAGACCAGGTCCTGACCATCGACAGAGTCACCTTCCTTGACCAGCAAGCTGGAGACCTTGCCACTGTGCGGCGCGGAGATAACCATTTCCTAGTATATATTAGCATTGTGTGTCGTATAATAGATATAGGATGATCGAGACATACCATCTTCATAGCGCTCAGGACGGCCAGAGGGTCACCCTTCTTGACCTCGAGCCCGTCGTGAACACGGATCTCCACAACGACACCGCTCATGGGAGCACCGACCTGGCTGCTGTCGCCCAAGTCGGCCTTGGCACGGGCGGTGTTGTCGACGGACGCCTTCTTGTCGTCGACACTGACCTGACGCACCTCACCGTTGACCTCGTAGAAGACCTCACGCTGACCGGTCTGCTCGGAAAGAGGACCAATAGCCAACAACTTGAGGATCAGGACCTTACCCTTCTCCAGCTCGACGTGGAACTCCTCGCCGATCTCGGGCTTGGCCAAGAAGTAGCGGGTGGGCAGAACGGACAGATCACCGTACTTTCCAACGAACTTCTTGTAGTCCTCAAAGACCTTCGGGTACATGGCATAGCTGGCAACATCGTACTCAGTGGCAGCACCGAACTGCTCGCGGATCGTGCCCTTGATCTTAGCCAGGTCCAGGGGCTCCAAGTAGAGACCGGGGCGCTTCTCGAGCTTGCGACGGTCACGCAGGGCCCGCGAGCGCAGAGGCTCGGGGAATCCGCCGTACGGCTGACCCATCAAGCCCTCCAGGAACTCGAGGACGGAGGCTGGGAAGTCGAGCTCACCCGCACGCTCCACAACATCCTCAGCGCTCAACTTGTTGGACACCATGAACTGAGCCAGATCACCAACAACCTTGGAAGTGGGAGTGACCTTGACAATGTCACCCAGCAGGTCGTTAGCAGACTCGTAAGCCTTCTTGGTTTCGGCCCACTGCTGGCCCAAGCCGAGCTGACTGGCCTGGAAGATAAGGTTAGTCAGCTGACCACCGGGGATCTCGTGCTCGTAGACCTCGGGGTCGGGGCCGGTCAGACCAGCCTCGAAGGGCGAGTACAGGAGACGCAGCTGCGCCCAGTAGGTGTCGAGCGCGCGGACCTGGTTCAGGTTGAGACCAGTGTCGTACTCGGTGCCCTCCAGGGAGGCGAGCAGAGCGCCAATGCTGGGCTGAGAGGTCATACCCGACAAGCTGTCGGTGGCCGCATCAACGGCATCAGCCCCAGCCTGGGCGCAAGCAATCATCGAGGCCACACCAGTACCGGCGGAGTCGTGGGTGTGGACGTGGATGGGAAGGTCGGGGTAGCGCTCACGGATGGAGCCAATCAGGAGACGAGCGGCCTGGGGCTTCAGCACACCAGCCATATCCTTGATACCCAGGACATGGGGCTCGAACTTAACCACTTTGTCCACGAGGCTAAGGTAGTATTCGAGGTTGTACTTCTTGTGGGGGTTCAACATGTCACCACTGTAGCAGATAGTAGCTTCGACGACACCCTCTGCGGCGTGAACAGCCTTGATACCGACCTCAAGCTGGTCGACATCGTTGAGAGCATCGAAGACACGGAAGATATCGACACCGCACTTCTTGGCTTGCTTACAGAAGTGGTAGATGGCATTGTCGGGAAGAGAGGAGTAGGCGACACCGTTGGCACCACGCAGCAACATCTGGAAGGGGATGTTGGGCACGGCCTTACGGAGCTTGCGCAGACGGTCCCAGGGGTCCTCGTAAAGGAAGCGCATGGCAACATCGAAGGTGGCACCACCCCAGCATTCCAGACTGTAAGCGTTGGAGAGGGCGTGGCTGGTCTCGTGGGCAATGTTGAGCAAATCGATGGTACGCACACGGGTTGCCAGCAAAGACTGGTGGGCGTCACGCCAGGTGGTGTCCATGATCAAAGTGCCCTTGTTGGCACGCACGGCACGGGCCCAGGCCTTAGGGCCCTCACGGTCCAGGATCTGCTTCCACCCCTGAGTGGCGGGAGCAGAGACATCGAGAGGCTTGCCCTGGGTGTCATACAAAGTGGGCTTGATGATATCGCCCTTGAGCTTGGGCTCGCCGATCTGACCCTTGATGCTGCTGCCATTGACAGCCACGTCACCGAGGTAAGCCAACAACTTCTGAGCACGGTTCTGACTGCCGACAAGAGCGAACAACTCGGGGGTGTCGTCAATGAAGGTAGTCCAGCAAGTGCCGTCCACGAACGTGGGGTGGCTCAGAAGGGAGGTCAAGAAAGGAATGTTGGTCTTGACACCACGAATACGGAACTCGACCAGGGCACGGACAACCTTGCGGCGGGCGATCTCGTAAGTGGAACCACGGCAGGTACACTTGACCAGCATAGAGTCGTAGTGAGGAGTGATAATGGCACCAGCAAAACCGTTACCACCATCGAGACGGACACCGTTACCACCAGCGGAACGGTAGACCTCGATCTTACCGGTGTCGGGGGAGAAGCCCTTGGAGGGATCTTCAGTAGTGATACGGCACTGGATGGCGAAACCGCGGGTGGAGATCTTGTCCTGAGTCAGGCCCAACTGCTGCAGGGTAGCACCGGCAGCAATCTGGATCTGAGCCGCAACAATATCAATGCCCGTGATCTCCTCAGTGATAGTGTGCTCGACCTGAATACGGGGGTTGATCTCAATGAAGTAGTAGCGGTTCTGCTGGTCGACCAGGAACTCGGCAGTACCAGCGTTGCGGTAGTTGACGGACTTGGCCAGCTTGACAGCATCGGCCAGGATGTTGTCGCGGACGTCCTGGGGCAGGTCCTTGGCGGGGGCAATCTCGACGACCTTCTGGTGACGACGCTGGACGGAGCAGTCACGCTCGAACAGGTGGATGACGTTTCCGTGGTTGTCACCCAGCAGCTGCACCTCAATGTGCTTAGGCTTGTCCAGGAAGCGCTCGACGAAGACGGTGCCGTTACCGAAGGCCGAACGGGCCTCGGAAGTGGCACGCTCGAAGGCATCACGCAGTTCGGCTTGGTCGCGGACGACACGCATACCACGACCACCACCACCGAAGGCGGCCTTGATAATGATGGGGAAGCCATAGGTATCGGTGAATTCCTTAACTTCTTCGTAGCGCTCGACGGGGCCGGGGGTACCGGGGACGACGGGCACTTCGCAGCGAATGGCCAGCTGACGGGCGGAGACCTTGTCACCCAAAGCCTCAATGGTCTGCGGGGTAGGGCCAACGAAGACCATACCGGCCTCCTCGACCTTGCGAGCGAACTCGGCGTTCTCGGACAGGAAACCATAACCAGGGTGGATGAGGTGAACGCCGTGCTCCAGAGCAATCTTGACGATCTCATCGATGGCCAGGTAGGCACCGACGGGGGTATATTGACCACGGTGACCGATCATGTAAGCCTCATCGGCCTTCTGACGGTGCATGGAAAGACGATCCTCGTGAGAGTAGATAGCGACCGTCTGCAGAGACAGTTCGTGGGCGGTACGGAAGATACGGATGGGGATTTCACCACGGTTGGCGACGAGGATCTTCTGGAACTGCATGATGGCCGAGTTGGCGCGCAGACGGGTGTGAACGGAATCCCGGTGGTGGTCATGGTGGTCGTCGATGAACTCAGTGTCATCAATTGCCTCCTCAGGCTGGCGTTGAGGAGCAGCCATGATGAAAATGTGTGATTATGTGTGAGTGATTTGGTTGAGAGAGGGGGAGAGGGAGAGAAGAGGGAGGAGGAGAGGCAGGAGAGTAATGGAGGAGAGTTGGAGGGGGGGGAAGCTGCGGTGACGGAAAGTGGGTAGGTAAGAAAGGTAGATAAGAGGATTATGACGTTGTGGGGAGGGGGGAGAAAGAGAAGTAGACAGGGAAGAAGCTCTGGAAGAACCACGACAGGGCTGGCTGCAGAGACTATAAAAAAGATATAAGAATTGAAACAGTTAGCCGACAAACCAATGATAGCCGGAAAAATAGCAATCGTGAGTCACTTTTAGGAGAAACAAACTCCGGGGGAAGTTGGACGATTGGGGGACGGGGGGACCGAGGGGGTAAAGAAAAAGGCCCGGTTTCGGAACGGCAGAGCGAGAACAACACGCGGGGAAAGTCGAGAGGGAGAGGGAGAGAGGGAGGGTTAGGGAGGGAATGAGTTTCTGGTCCGAGGAAGCACTTACCCGAGGAGGAGTGGAGGAAGATTTAGGAATGACCCCGGAAGGTGATTTGAATTGAAAAGTAGAGGAAGAAAAGAATGAGAAGAAAAGAAGTTGATGAAGAGGAAGAGGAAGAGTGAAGAATAAGAAGTAGAGGAAGTAGAAGTAGAAATGAAGAGAGGAGCTGCTGCAATAGGAAGGCACTGGGCGGGAAGGCGGAGAGTACTATGGGAAGTATGGATGGATGGACAGTCCAATTCCGGGGTTGATGATAACTTACACTGTATACTAGTTACTTCATCCTCACCGGTACACCGGACTGCAGCTTGAGGGATGGTCCCCTCTCCCCTCCCCATTCCCAGATCTGGTTTCCAGATCGCTTGCTTGCCTACTTGCCTACTTGCCTACTTGCCTACTTGCCTCTCAATTCACCCTCCGTTCGTCCGGTGAATTCATTGGTTATTCGGCTTATGACTATTGAATTAACGTACTCGTCCTCCCAAGACAAATGATAAGCAGATTTGCCCCTCCCCACCAAGAGAGATCACCAGACATCCGCCACCTTCAGAACCTAGACTAATAATCTACTATGTACAACACAGGCACAATAAAAACCACACAGTCTGCCCTCACCTCCATAAACAGAACCCCAGATTTACATCAGAGCTGGCCGGGGCATAGACCACCTCTCTCGGGTGAAATAGGACGACCCTCCATAGCAATGGCGAACCTCGGGTGCTCGGGTTAATAGTTTCCCTCTGGTTATGAGGTTATGTGAACAGGAGGGCGGCGCAGTGAGATCATCCCCATCGACCCCCGTGAATAGGCGAAGAGGGCAGCGCAGCGCAGGGCAGCGCAGATCGTCCCGCGCATGCCCGCTCGGCCCAGCCTCTCCCTCCCTCCTCCTCCCTGGGCCCCTCCAGACTTTCTCCTCCCGCTTCGAACTCCCAAGGTGACAGACAGACACCCCCCCCCACCCCACCACCAAGAACAAGAACCATCACATCGCCGAACAAACAACGAACGGGCATCCCCTTTCCGTCCGCGCTAATGCCGAGGATACACAATCTTGCAACATGCCAAGTGTCAAGTGGTTTGATAGGACCAGATGGTCGATCCAGACATGAGCCGAGAAAAAGAACAACAAAAGAAATTCTGCTTGGCTCTAGACTATTGCTCCGGTGATACCGACCACCTACCGTACTTACTGTACAGTTCATCCCACAACCATCTACTCCGTATACATGATCCCATCCCATCCCTCGGCCTCCATGCACCATCCACACATGTCCGAACAGCACAGTACCCCGAGAAGAAAGAAAAAAAATAATCCCCCCAATGGCACTTCACCGATTGATCAGAAGAAGCTGTAACCCGACCATCGTCGTCCGTTTTTACTTCCCCCGCCCCCCCCGAAAAAAAAATCCCAGGGCGTGTGCAACTTACAAGACTTCCCGGAACGTCCACCGGTCCCCCCGTCTCCGTTTTGTGCCACCGGGACAAGAATGCCCTTCGTTCCCTAGGTTTCCCTCCCTTCACCGAAGGACGGAGTTGTAGCCGGTCAGGCCAGGTCAGGACACCCTTCTTGGCGCAAGTCGATTGTTCCAGGAGCATGAGCCAGATTCCAGGCCCTGGGTAGTCAGTCAGTCGATGGATGACTTTCCAACCTTTTCCATGGTCCTGAAGAAAAGAAAGTCATGCAGCTATCGTAGCCGTGTATCATCTACAGCAGCAAGTGACCAAGTATCTCCGGACCTGTCTGTCCCGAACCCAACAACAACAACAACAACAACAACAACAACAACAACAACAACAACAACAACAACAACAACAACCAGCCTAGCCCTAAGGAAACCCAAACCCGCCCCGCAGCGCTCTTCGAAGTGGCACCTACAATACGTATCTACGTACTCTCATCTTCTAATCCGGTCCGATCGGCTTCCATGAGTAATGCTTCAATTTAGAAAAAGAATACAATTGCAATAATGACAACTCAGGAAAATCAATCCATCTCCCTCTCCGTCCGTAGACTACCAGGAATCCAGGATAAATCCTTATTCTTCCCGTCGAGTACACGGGCATCCCTGTCCCACTCCCACTCCCACCCCCACAACTTCCATCATCCACCACCCACCCACCACAGTCGAGTCGTCGCGGGGGGCTAAATCCTTTACCTGCACGCCGCAGCAGCAGCCACCACCACCACCAGCTTCCCTCCGGGCCCTGGTTCCTTTTCGCCGAACATCTATGAACTACGTATGAACGAACGTATACGTTTGAGTAGAATCCCTAAGCGGAACAAGATACCGAGCCTAACCCCGGCGGCCGCCCTCCAGCTGCGGCTGCATCTGCCGAGATCGTCGATCCCTTTCTTGGAAGTTGGAGCACCGATAGTTCATCACCACTATTGACGGCTGTCTTACCCGCTGCCCAAGTCACGAGGCAAGCCGGCCTCCTGTTCCGGTGATCGACTACCAATACTACTACGTAGTACTGGGTACCTACAGTACATACCACCTCTAGTAGTCTTACTGGACAGTAAATTCACAAATTTCCATCGATCACCGTCATGAAGTCAATAATCCCATTGTACTAAGATAAATTACGGGAATCCTCCCGGGTCCACCCACGAGACAAGTCACCTAATTTTGAAGGCCAATCGAAATACATCAGGAGGAGAAGAAGGAGGAGAAAAAGAAGAAAAAGAACCACTCAATAAATGGAGAATAAGAACGAGAAGATCATCAAGTAACAGAAGGGGGCTCCGAAGCATCCGACCCAGAAAACAACGAACTGAGTCTGGCCGCAAAGCTTCCCATCGCTCATGCTATACATACACTAACCCCTCGGAAAGAAAGGCATGACAAGTCGTACGTTTAGAAGGGTCGGAATCCAGTCGCCTGCGGCGTGATTCCATTGGCGTACCCCATGGGCGCGGGTGCCGGCGCCGCCGGGCCCTGCGTTAACATCAACCGCGAGCCGCCCAGAATGGGGGTGTTGTCCTCTTCCACCTTCTGCGTCTTCTCCCGGGCCTTCCGCTCCTCGTTGTCCTTCTTCAGCATCTCAATCGCCCGCGTCTGCTCGCACAGGAAGTTGATCATGAACGGCATCGTGAAATCGTGCAGCCCGTGGCGCCACGACAGTTCCATGATCACATCCGGGCGGATCAGATCGTAGCAGGCATACAGCATACCAACGTAACACTCGCGGCTGCCAATATCCACAAACTAGAGTCTCGGTTAGTCAATAAATTCGATACTTGTTGGGAAAGAACAGAGACTTACGTAGCGAAGGAGTTCTTCAACCACCTCCGACTTGCCGGAGATAGCGGCAGTCTCAATGGCATCCTTGTAGAGCTTGTCCTGCTTCGACAGTGCAATCGACTTCTCCCAGCGCTTGTTGTTGCGGTAGATGTTGGCGGCGATCTGGCGGAAGAAGATCAGGTCATGCTTCTCCAGCCGTTGTGCGAGGGCCACGGCATCGAAGTTATCGTAGTTGTCCACGGAGTCGCGGAGCGTCTTGTAGTCCTCCTCCTCAATCAGCAAGTCATTGATCGCATCGTTCACTGCCCGCTTGTTCTGGGTCTGAACGTTGAGCAGGAAGGGCTTGATGAGAGGGATGTTGTCTGAGGACTGGAAGATGCGCACAACACGGTTGACATCGACGCGGGAGGTGAGGGACTGGAGCAAGTCGGTCAGCAGCAATGGCTGCTCCTGGAGATAGAAGTTGAGGGCGCGGTAGTAGATCTCCAAGTTCGCAACCTTGACAATGATGTCCTTGAAAGAGTGGTGCTCCCACGCGTCGGCAGCACGCTCCATCATAGCCAGGGCTGCGTTGTCCCATTCGTCGTAGTGGCAGTACAAGAAGACCAACTCAGGCCACAGACTCGCTTCTTCGCAGGCCCGGATCATCTTGGGGATGTTGATGCGGGACCAGAAGAGCTTTAGGTGCTCCATGACGCGGTCAGGATGGTACTTGGACAGCGCAATGCCCAGCTCGGTGAACATGCCCATGTGAGCACGCTCCAAACCCAAACCGGCTTCCAAGACCGCAATGAGCTCATCGAAGTATCCATTACGCTCATATTGACGAACAAGGTCCTGAAGCTCTTCTGCATGGACGATCAGGTTCAGACCACAAATCTGGGCGAGACGGAATTCCTTCTTGTTCACGCAAGCCTCGTTGACTTCCTTCCACACCTTGACGCTGTTCGCTTTGCGGGCGCACTCCACGGCCGCCTGGTAGTCTTCCAGGTGAACCAGGGTGGTTGCCAACTTGGCCCAGTTGGAGATACTGGTGTAGAAGATCTTGGCCGCCTGGTGGTATCCTTCTTCGTAGGCCTTGTCACCAGAGGCTTCAATATCGGCCACATTAGTGGTCCGTAGGAAGTCCTCTAGCTCGGCGAGCAGGTCAAGACGGGCGTAGCAGAAAGCGAGACCGGTATCAATGGCAGGCTCACGCAGTGTCTTGCGGGCCATCTTCAAGAACTTGACGAGATCCTCATCCTTGCCAGCGTGGGTGGCGGTCTCGATAACCTCAAGGTAGTTAGAGGGATCACCAGCACGGATGTACGATTCAATCGAGTCAGAGATACGGAGACCATCGAGTTGCGCCTTGGCCACCTTGCTCCAGACCTCAGGCAACTCAACACGCTCAGCGAACTCCTGAGCACGGTCAATGCTGACAATGTTCTCAACCAGGACATTGACAGCGGCGAGGAAGTTGTTGACCTTCTTGTAAATCTCGAAAGCCTCCTCGTACAGTCCAACTGAGATACACATCTCGGCAATCTCGTCGGGGCTGAATTCGTTAAGCTGGTGGATGTAATCCATCAAACGGCTCTTGTCGGCCTTAGCAGCAGTCAACATCAGCAGGTTTTGGAGACTGCCATTGTCACTGAAAGGCGAGGGCTCGAGGATAATCTTCTCCAGAAGCTCAATCAGCTCACCGGGAAGATCAGCCTCAAGGAAGGCTTTGACGGCGACGGACACTTTGTCCGGCTCAGTCGACTCGGGCACTGCAGTGGCAATGACTTGATCGACCAAGGAGCGACGGTGCTGGTTGTTCTCGCTCAGGACAAAGGACCAGATCTCGGGATCAGCCCGCTCAACAAGGTAGCGCGCCTGAGCACGGTACATGGCATTCTCGTTGGTGATGTTGATGAGCTCGAGATCATTCTGTCCCTTACGGTAGGCGATGTATGCGAGGTTGGGATCCCGCTTCTCGCAGTATTTTCCAACGGTCAAAGTGTCATACATGTCGTTCTCCTTCAAGAACTTCTCGGGATTGTTGTTGCTGTCGATGTAAATCTTGGCCAATGCATTGTAGACGGCTTGCTGCTGGTTACCCGTCGCAAGGGTAGCCTCAAGGAAGGGCAGAAGCAACTTCAACCGGTTGCGACTCTCCACCTCGGAAACAAGCTCGTCGATGGGGATCACAGCCGGGTCAACAGTAGAGAGAAGGTTCTTGATGATGCTCTCGTCACAGTCGACGTCCAACAGACCACCGACGACAGCGGGCGCACGCGAGGGGTTGACACGCTGAACGTAAACCTCGATAGACTTGTACTGCTGGTTCTGGTAGAGGTAGAGAACCAAGTCGTGGATGAAGTTGAAGCGATCGCACACAATGATCAGCGGCAGCTGCTCGGTCAACTTGGCCTCTTTCAAAAAGTTCTTAACCTTGTCGGGGTTGTAGTAGTTGCTCTCGCGACAGATGCGCTCCACTTCCGTGATCTGATTCATAGCAGTGGCAGCTTCAATGTACTTGAAGTGCACCTCGGGGTCTTCGCTAAGGTTAACAATACTGCCAAGGTAATAGTAAAGACCCTCGGCGGTACGGTATTTCTCCAGCAAGGCAATCAAGCGAGAGGGGCCAAGGAGGTCGGAGAACTTGGTACAGATCTGGACAACGGCTTGCAGATTCTGGCGGATGTTAACCTGCAACATGGTGTCCATGCAGTCAAGCGTCTGCTCAACGGACAGCTTGCCGAAGTATTCCATCAACCACTCGGGGCTCAATTTGTCGGTACGAACAATATTCCTCTTGATGGCCGCCGGGTCCTCGGTGTTTTCAAGAGCACGCTGGATGAGGCCAGCATTCTCGCAAAGCTGGGAGATCCGAGGACGGTCGTAGTGCGTGAAAATCTCATTGCCAAGAATGGCATCAGCAACCTGGGGGGCGTTGACAAGGTTCATCTCGAGCAAACGAGTCTGAAGATGGCCATGCTCGGGCTTGTTATCCTTCAGGGCATCGAGAAGGAACGAAGTGGCTTGCTGGATCATGTTCTGGGACAGGAACACATCGACAACGCGGTCGAGATCGATGAGAGCTCCCGACTCCTCGTTGGCGAGCTGCGTAGCGAATTCGGCACCCTTTTCGGGGTTCACACGAACGATGTGCTGCAGCAGCTGGGTGTAATCCGGCTGGTAGCCAACCTGCTTCGAGTACGCGAGGATCTTGTCA